GGCCACTTTAGATAGATATCCAGAGCAACGAAAAAATAGATATCAATGCTTTTCTTTGCTAGGTTCATACATCCTACTACAATCGTACATCTCCCCCCAAAACGCACAAGTCCCACACCACCCTCATTTCTTTTTCATCTCCTCCAAAACACTCTGCCTCCTAGCATCACCCACGACCCTCCCAACCTCACTCACAACCCACCTCCCCAGTACCACTGCAAGAATAGCAACAAGTACAATCCACCCAGCAGTCGGCACCAACGAGCGCGGGAAAACATTAAACAAGAACGGGTCAAGAATCAAGTCCACTGCCACGGGCGGGACATTCTGCATCAATGCCTGGTCGGCACTAAAGTAATCTGCTGCGGCGTGCACATGCAGAAACAAGACCGAGTCACTAGTCGGCGCAGGGTCAAGGGGATCCTTGCTGCTGCGTGAATTGGCACGGCGCGGGATGACATTTCCCTGGAGTTTTGGGTCGAGTGTTGCTAGTCGTGCTGATGTGTACATGCTCAGCGAAGACAGGAGGGTTGTGTCTTCGATTGTTTTTGACAGTGGGTAAGTGGTGAGGGTGAATGTTGTTGGTTGCTAGTTGGGGGAAGGGGTGTTAGTTATTTTTATGTGTGGTGATGGGTATTATTATATATTCAAGAAAATATATAGAGAGAGGGAGATGGAGGAAGGATTGAGTTGGGGAATTGGTGGTCTTACTGTGGCTAGCCAGCACACTCGAACTTCATACCGCTGGCCCGGGTTCAGGTTTTCAAGGAAGAACCATGAGTCTGTGCCGTCGGGTGCGGCGGTAGTTGGGAATGAGGCATTGAGGTGAGTGCGCACCACGGGCCTCTGTGGTGATAGACGCTCTAGACCTAGGTCGTCGAGGTCGGGCTCGTCGGACGGGACGGTTGCTAGGGCTGGTGCTAGGAAGATAGTCTTTTCCACGTTTGCTTGCGCCACTGCTGTGAAGAGGGGGAGTATGAGTCCCAGCGTGGGGATGAGTTTGATATGCATGATGAGAGATTTGATGTTTTGCTGTGCAATATAGGGAGACTTTTAGGTGGATGAGATGATGTTTTAGAGATGTCTTATTCTTGGTTCATGGCGAGGCTCAACCAGTCACAATAGTAGTTCTAGTGGTCAATTAGTATTCAAACATTGAATGTATAGTGTTGGAAGTGTATACGGAGCACAATACCGAGATGTGTTGTCTTAGTACTTTGGCTATGTTATGGCCGAATGGTGGTTCGAGGTGGTTCCCCCCCGAGTGGATCCGAGCTGACCGAGTATTCAGATAGCTCCAAACGCCTTTATCACACCACACCACCCTTTTAAGGAGTTGACCACATTGAGCACCCTTGCACAAGCTGGATATATTTTCGAAAATCAAATTTTCTCGTATACTTATTTAAGCTTCGATATGTCCTTTTTTTTAATACCTAGTTAACTAATATATTACAAACGTATCAATGATATCCATCACGTGAAATCACGAGACCAGTACGAGGCGGTCAGTAACCGCTGCTCCTCACCGGGAAGGGGCCAATCAAAAGGCCCAACGCGACCCAACGAACGGATCAACAACGAAGTTCCCCCCTGTACAGCACAGACGGCTCCTCCTCCACAACATTTCTGGTCGACTTTGTTTTCCCTTCCATCTTCTCGTCCATTCCTCCATTCTTCAGGTAAGGACATCCCCCGCCCCCTTCCATCGTGCATTTACCTGTCAATTTGAACCTAACCGAGAGTTTCAGACCACCGCGTTTGTTGTTTGGGATTCGTTTTCCCCTCCTGATTTTTTAGCCTGAAAAACATCGACTCGATCACAATGAGAGAGATTATCAGTTTGAACGGTATGTCAACTTCGTTCATCTACTCTACTCGTCGGAATTGATGAATTTTATTCAATGGACGCGCTGACATGATCTTTCTCGACAGTCGGCCAGGCCGGTTGCCAGATCGCCAACTCCTGCTGGGAGGTAACTATCACCACCCCCATTGAGGGATGACTTTTCGGTAAACTAACAACATCGATTTTCTAGTTGTACTGTCTGGAGCACGGTATCCAGGTACGTTGAAATTCCAATCAAACTCGTGGTGGCGCCCAATCTTGACTCGGGCACCCGTACCCCCTATTTTCTTGCCGAGAGGTAAACACCCGCAACTAACATCGATGATAGCCCGATGGATTCCTCACTGAGGAGCGTAAGAAGGCCGACCCCGACCACGGATTCAGCACTTTCTTCTCTGAGACTGGTATGAAAACCCTGATTTTTTTTTTTTAAAAAAAATGTCCCCCCGCCTTGATGTGCAAAATTCCAAGGCATGGCTTCCTAACATTCTTTCTCCCCCACTTCACAGGCCAGGGCAAGTACGTTCCCCGTACCATCTACGCCGATCTCGAGCCCAATGTCGTCGATGAGGTCCGTACCGGTACCTACCGTTCGCTCTTCCACCCCGAACAGATGATCACTGGTAAGGAGGATGCTTCCAACAACTACGCCCGTGGTCACTACACCGTGGGTAAGGAGATGATCGATGAGGTCCTCGACCGTGTTCGTCGTGTTGCCGATGCTTGTGCTGGTCTCCAAGGTTTCTTGGTCTTCCACTCCTTCGGTGGTGGTACCGGTTCCGGTTTCGGTGCTCTCCTGATGGAGCGTCTGTCCGTCGACTACGGCAAGAAGTCCAAGCTGGAGTTCTGTGTCTACCCCGCTCCTCAGAACGCTACCGCCGTTGTTGAGCCTTACAACTCCATCCTCACCACTCACACCACCCTGGAGCACTCCGACTGCTCCTTCATGGTCGACAACGAGGCTATCTACGACATCTGCCGCCGGAACCTCGGCATTGAGCGCCCCAGCTACGAGAACCTGAACCGCCTGATCGCTCAGGTTGTTTCTTCTATCACTGCTTCCCTGCGTTTCGACGGTTCCCTCAACGTCGACCTCAACGAGTTCCAGACTAACTTGGTGCCTTACCCCCGTATCCACTTCCCTCTGGTCGCCTACTCCCCCATCATCTCCGCCGACAAGGCCGCCCACGAGGCTCACTCTGTCACCGAGATCACCTCCAACTGCTTCGAGCCCCACAACCAGATGGTCAAGTGTGACCCCCGCAACGGAAAGTACATGGCCACCTGTCTGCTCTACCGTGGTGATGTCGTCCCCAAGGAGGCCCACGGTGCCGTGGCCACCCTCAAGACCAAGCGCACCATCCAGTTCGTCGACTGGTGCCCTACTGGCTTCAAGCTCGGTATCTGCTACCAGCCTCCCCAGCAGGTCCCCAACGGCGACCTTGCCAACCTCAGCCGTGCTGTGTAAGTTTTCCTTCTGATTCTTTTGGGTCTGGAACCTGATTCCAAACTTTGATACTAATTATAATATAGCTGCATGCTGTCCAACACTACCGCCATCGCCGAGGCCTGGTCCGCTCTCGACCACAAGTTCGATCTCATGTACTCCAAGCGTGCCTTCGTTCACTGGTACGTTGGTGAGGGTATGGAGGAGGGTGAGTTCTCTGAGGCTCGTGAGGATCTCGCTGCTCTGGAGCGTGATTACGAGGAGGTTGCCTCCGACTCCATCGAGGGTGATGAGGAGCTGGAGCCCGAGTACTAGATTAGCCATTTTATTTGACCGGTTTTCGGGACTCTTGGTTGTTTCACTTCTACGGGTTGGCTTGGGGACCAACGTGAGTCTAGAGCTTCGGTCTGCATGTGGCTATCGGGCTTCTTGCAAATAGAAGGGAACATAAGTTTTGCTGCCAATGATTTTCTGGCTTTGTTGTTCGATATATCTTTAATATCCCTTAAGCAGCGATGAAATTTCCCCTCGTTCCATCCGCCTTTTGGGTTTCTACATACGTATGTCATTGTTATTACTGAAGTTGTCTCTCCTTTGTATCATAAAGTGTGCATGTTGTAAGTAGCTAGGTTTGACTCTTGAAGTGTGCTGTCTTATAGTTGGAGATTGGAGAAATATCTTGGGTACCGGATTTGATCAACATCATGCAGCATATATCCATGTTTACATACACTGTACGAAAACCTGAAATGAAAGGCAACATCATTATTGCATTGAACGGTTTTCGGGGAGCAAGGGAAGAGATGCATACGACTCACTCCAGTCATAGTAAGTAGGTAAGCTCTGGTTATGGTATTCCGTGGTAAGTTATCTCCGGGGTCGTACCTAGGGGCTGGTAGTTGCGTGATAGTTAGTTAGTTCTTATCGTTAACTAGCGAACTTTACTAAAGTCCTCTCTATATACCTGGCTTTTTGGAGTAGGTTTGTGTAAATGAACCTTGGATGAAACAGGTTTAATGGGGTGATCGGAATTTTATTATTCCTCTTGCGTTGATTATTCATGTTGACTCTCTTACCTACCTAGGTAGTTACCTAGTTAGGTAGTTGACTCCCTGGTCATCAGCAGAGCTTCCAAGGTGATTGTACTTTGCTTGACCCCTCAAAGCCAAAGTTGTCACTGTACTCGACATTGATACCCATACACAAAAGCAGTCAATCATCGAATATCACAGCTCAGACCTAACCTTTTCTTGTACACAAGTCAACTTCTCTCTTTCCAACACGACGTTATTTCTTCCTCATCCTTCTTCGACCCGCAGCTACCGGACCATGTCATGGCGGCACCCGAGCATATTTCCCTCGACTACGGGTGCTCGAATTGGCGGATCAGTAGCCAAAGAGCCGCAGATTTGTACAGTTCTGGTACCAAGCTTTGGACTAGAGAGGATCTCAAAGACATAGAACAACAATTGGGCCAATCCTATTCCAAGGACCGATTTTCAGTCCGTCTAATTGATGGAAACATAATCCAAATTTCTAATCCCTTGTTCCAAGTACAGAATCCTATCTGGTACGTGGGTATGCTATTCTGACCTAATATCAGCCTGTAATCTAAGTCAAGATTTGCTCGGTACAAACACCACAAAGAAAGTTCTCTGCTTCGGGCTCGGTGATTTTTGCCGCTCCGCCCCTGAATGGCTAAAAATGCAGCATGACTCTTGGGATAAGGCCTCTGATGTGGAAAACGTGATGGGCTGTATGATCCAGCATTCGATGGCTCTCACTATAGCTCAACTTTGTCGTGGCAATGAGATAGTGCCATCATTACTTGCTCAGGACCCGGATTATACAGAGGTAGCAGAAACCATCCTAACTAAGAAGGGATTCAAGGTTGTTGGACCTCACGGTGCAGGGGGATTCGCGGAAATCGAGGACGAATCAATCGTGATATCACCCTTTGCTGCCGCCCCAGTCAAGCAGATTATCGCCGATCTCGCCCGGCCTGTGCTCATTATTTCCACCGGCTTTGATGTCTTCAATGGCAATGAGTAAGTTCGCCTTCATCAATCCTCGAACCTGGCTAACCATGGCACTTGGCGCTTCACAGAAAACCATTGGCAGATGCTGAATCTCCGAGAACAAGGCAAATGTGGCTTGATTATGATGTCTTTAGCCTTCCAAGCCACTCTGATGATGTTGAAATATGCTCTACATTGAAAGGATTATATTTGTATCACAGACGCCAGCAACCTCTGGAATCGCAAGGAGCTTAAGCTCACAGAACTTTACATTTAGGGATTGTGGATCACAACTATAGCAAATACGAAATGGATATCAAAACGGGATGTTATGTATATGTATAGAAATAAAACTATACGAAGATAGCCAGATAACCATAGCAGTTTTATCGAACATGATGGGTTCGGATACTAAGACGAACAAACCTTTAGAGAACTAAGCTCGCTAGGGACTTTGGAAATTAGACCTAGCAACTTAACTCCAGCTATATCGCTAAGAGGAGAAAAAAGGCTGACTAGCGTAGTGCTAGCATTGACCTTTTACGGAGGTTTTGTTGTAGGTCTATCTAGTTATATATTCTGGTCCTAGCAACAACCATACAACTGCAACAACCATACAACTTATATGTCGTATTTCTTATAAGATCATGTTGGTATTGCATGGATAATATACTACCTTTAAAGGGAGATCGAAGGCACGACTTGAAGGTTCTAACATTCAACTAGTCGGGGTAGGAGCTGCCAGGGTTGATTTTGTTTATGCAATGTCTATACTTCCGGCTTTATCTGGAGTACATATCAGATCACCCTCTGATTTTTTTTTAGAGACGCTTAGCCATTGAATATTAAGCTATGTTTTGCTTTTCTTTACCCGTCTCTTTCTAGCTGTGATATCTTGTGACAGTCGCTGTCTTTGATGTACTATATAGGTATAATTGAGATTCGGAAACCACACAAGTAACAACTGATTCCCTTCGGTCCACTTGTATAAGAACAATTTTCTCAATTGGTAGTCTCCAAGCTCTATCAATATCTTTCAATTGTTCTTTGTAGTTAGCATTCCCCCTTTCAAGGCGAGACAGCGTGTTGGGATCCGCTAGACTGACTGACCGCCTTGAGAACCCCAGGAACCTGGTTCCCTACGACATCGACTCCAGCCACTTTCTATCCCCATTCCTCTTGAAAGTTTTATTTTTCTCCTTGGAGCTCGAGATTCATTTATATCTCGTGTTCTTGCCGTCTCTGTGAAATACTGCGCTTCACCCATGCTTGTCGCATACTCAGACTAGGCTGACAGCATCCCGTGTCTCCAACTTGTCCATCAAGGACCCCAACTATTGTGAACTTATTGGAAGGCGGGGAGTTAAGCTCCTCCTAGGACACAGCAATGGCTGATACCGGTGAGTGATACTTTATACTCATTGTCAGACCCAAAATGAATTGCAGGAGAGCTTCGGCGCACTTAAGGAGAAGGCCCGCCGACCTCCGTTATCACCACCCCTCTCCTTCATACACCCGCATTTCCTATGCACAATCCAGCGGAGCTGACGGATCCTAATATTATAGCCCAACGACACCCGAACCTTCACCTCACTCCTGAGGAAAAGCGCGTTTTCTTCCAGCTTTTCCAGGCTGCTGATACCACCAACCTCGGCGTAATCACTGGTGAAATCGCCGTTCCATTCTTTGAGAAGACTCACTTATCCCCTGATACTCTCGGCCTGGTATGTGGATATAATATGGGTGCTGGATCGCAACAATGAGAGCCATGGCTAATTATTGGTGGCGTAGATATGGCAAATTGCGGATAAAGAGAACAGGGGTCTTCTGACCCCGTCTGGCTTTGGTATTGTTCTGAGGTTAATTGGACATGCCCAAGCTGGCCGCGCGCCTTCCGACGAGTTGGCTCTACAATGTGGGTGATGTTCTATTGAGAGAAGTGGAACCCATGCTAATCTCGCATCTGCTTCATAGCTGGCCCTCTGCCTCGTTTTGATGGAATTGTGGTCGACACAACGGCAAGCATCCCGGAATCGGGAACCAAAAGCCCTCCACCTGGACCGGGTGGTCCTATTCGTGTTCCTCCACTTCAGCCGGACGATGCCAACAAATTTGTTTCGCTGTTCGAGAAGTCGGACGTTAAGAATGGGATGATCTCGGGTATGTAGCTCTTCACTGCCGAGAAAGTGTCACCGAATCTAACAAGTTTGTATTCGATATATAGGTGAAATCGCAAAACAGATCTTCGAACGCGCCCGGCTTCCCAATGAGGTTCTGGGTCGTATCTGGTTTTTGTCTGACACCAAGCAGCGCGGTGCCTTGGATGCCACCGAGTTCACCATTGCCATGCATCTCCTGACATCATACAAATCTGGTGCTCTACGCGGCATTCCAGCGACCCTCCCACCTGGTCTGTACGATGCAGCAGCTCGAAGGGGATCCGCCTCGCGTGCGTCTTTTGGGCCGAGACCCGATGTGCCCCCCATCCCGGCCATTCCCCAGCAATTTACTGGCCCTCAGCGAACCACAAGCCCCATGAACCAAGCCAATCGTTCGCCTTTTGTAGGCTCTCTTTCCGCCCAGACCACTGGCGGTGACTGGCTGATTACTCCACAAGAGAAGGCCCAGTTTGATAGCATTTTCGAGACTGTTGATACAGCAAATTTGGGACTTATCACTGGAGACCAGGCTGTTTCTTTCTTCATGAAAGCTCAGCTTCCCGAAGAAACCCTTGCTCAAATCTGGGACCTTGCGGATATCGACGCAGATGGCCAGTTGAGCCGGGAAGAATTTGCCGTCGCTATGTACTTGGTGAGATTGCAGCGTAGCGGCAAGGAGCAGCTGCCACAAGTGGTACCTCCCGCGCTCATCCCGCCCAACATGCGCCGCCAAGTGCCGGCACCAGTAGCAGCTCCCACACCTCCCCAGGCACCCGCCCCAGCTGTTCGGACAGCTGCCGACGATTTGTTCGGCCTCGATTCGCCTGCACCGCCATTTGCCCAGCCTCAGATGCCTCAGTCTACCGGAGGCTCCAATAATGCTTTCCAAACCCCGGGGTCGCCTTCCTCTAGGGCATCCCCTCAGACGGCATCGCACACCTTCAAGCCTTTTGTTCCAACTTCTACATTTGGCCAGAGCCTGCAGCCTCAGATCACTGGTGCATCAGCCGGAACCCCGGCCGCAGTTCGCTCCCCCCCACCTCCCTCGGATGATCTCCTTGGTGACAATGACCCCGAAGAATCAAGCAAGTTGACCAACGAGACCACTGAGCTCGCGAACTTGTCCAACCAAATCGGTTCTTTGGCCAAGGAAATGCACACTGTGCAGGAGAAGAGGACCTCTGCTGAACAAAACATTACACAAACTTCGCAGCAGAAGCGTGACTTCGAGGCACGTCTGGCACAAGCACGGTCCATGTATGAGCAAGAGGTTACCAACTTCAAGGCACTTGAGGAGCGTCTTAAGTCATCCAAGGCAGAGACACAGAAGCTGCAGCAGGAATATGCATTGCTGGACGGCAGCCGCCAGGATCTGCACAACCAATACACGCAAGTTTCGACTGCCTTGGCTTCCGATGAGCAGGAGAATGCTAGCCTGAAGGAGAAGATCCGCCAGGCCAATGCCGAAGTTGCCCAGCTTAAGCCGGCACTAGAGAAGGCGCGATCTGGTGCGCGCCAACAGAAAGGTCTTGTTGCCATTAACAAAAAGCAATTAGCTACCGTTGAAGGCGAACGAGACAAGCTCCAGGGTGAAATTGACGGCCTGGCTAGTGAGACTCCACAGTATTCTGAGGAGTCTGCGACACCGGCCGGCAGTGTGTCTGAGGTTGTAAGCCCTGCTGACTCTACGGCAAGCCAAAACACAAACCCATTCTTCCGTCGAACAGGTAGCTCAAGTGAGCAGGCACGGTCCCCCGATGTCTCGAATGATCAGCAAAGGGCATTTGATAGTCTCTTCGGACAGTCATTCGCAGCTGCCCCTGCTGCTGGGCCACCACCCACTTCGTTCCGCTCCGAGTCGCCACAAGTTGCGGTCACATCTCCTGGTACCTCAGCTGTTCCGACTCCATCAGTCTCTCCTCCCCCTGGGTCTTTGCCTGGCGCATTCCCTGCTGGGCCCTTCTCTGAGCCACCGCCTGCGACCCAGTCCCGCCAACTGACCCCAAACTTCCTGCAGTTCAACGATAATCAGTCCGTGACTTCGTCTACTATGGTCTCACCTCCCGCCAGTCGATTTGGTGGCCCTGAACCCTCTGGATTTGATACGCTTTCTCAGGCGGCTACCAGTGAGTATGGACCTCATTCTGTGGCCGAATCCAGCGACTACAGTCGTGCACCAACCTCGACAGTTGGAGGTACCCCGGTTCGGTCTCCGTTTGAAGAGGAAGGACCAGACACCTCGGCTAGGCTCCCTGAGGCCCCAGCCGCAACTGCCCCAGCCGAGACTATTCAGCTTCCCGAATCTGCAACACCCCCTGTCGCCAATGAGAGCCAGGTGGAAGGCAGCAAGGACCTAAGCTTCGATGAACTGTTTGGCAGCAAGGCACACAAACGGTCGGAATCCCAGCAAGGTAACGACTTCGAGGAGGCGTTTGCTTCTATGAAGCACGTGCCTGGAGCTGAGCAGACAAATGGAGGTGCAGCAGCCCGTCCATCGGAATTCCCCCTATTCAAGAGCTACACCACGACGATGAGGAAGATGAGAGCTCCGATGACGAAGATGCCTTTGGGTTCGATGACAATTTCACGCCTCCCGTACCAGTTGCCAAAAAAGGATACCCAGCAGGATTCCATTGACGCCGCTCAACTGGCTGCTTTCCCCGCCCCGGGAAACTCAGCCAAACCCCCGTCTCCTGGGGCACTGCCGAACCCTCCAGAGTATGAAGGTCCCAAAGAAGATAACGTTCATCTTCCTCCTCAATTCTCTGGTCTTTTGCCTGATCGCGCTGATCCCACCGTTGCACCGGATGCACCTCATTCACTGGACCACACCACTGGTGCGCCAGTCGTAAGCAACGAGACCCAACGAGAGTCAGTCTCGGATGCTGCCATCCCGGCCGGTGGAGCGAAGGTGGGGGGACCGGACTTTGAGGCAGCCTTCGCTGGAATGAACCTTGCGCCGGCAACCGAAGCTGATGACGATGACGACGACGAGCCACAGAGTCAAGAGGCCAAAAACACGACCGACTTTGACTTCTCTTTCGACTCCCCGTCCCAGAAGCAGCAGGCTGTCTCCGGTGCCGATGTTAGCCAATCCAGCTCCTCTCAGTTCTTCGCTTTCGACAACAACGTCCACGCACCTGCCGCCCCACCTGTCGGATCGCCTAGCGAGGGAGAATCCAAGCCGGCTGCGCATGAATGGGACGCGTTATTTGCGCCCCTTGACAACCCCAAGGCCGACACCGGTGAAAACCCGAACGGAGCGAAATCCAAGCAGCCGGGATGGGCTCTGAACAACGACACCGGTGAAGATGACCTGATCCTTCAGCGGCTGACCGGCATGGGCTTCACGCGGGATGAGTCTCTCGATGCCTTGGAAAAGTATGACTACAACCTTGACAAGGTAGGTTTTATTTTTCGTTCGGTTTTGCTTTTGCTTTTGCATCATACTAATTAAATACTAGGCTGCGGACCACTTGACTTCGAAGACTTGATTATGACACCCTCTCTTTCTCACTGCACATATCTCCTACATACTCTTTTGCCTTTGCGCCTATGTCTCTCATTCCTTGATGGAAGCCCTGGACTTGGTCATCAACCTACCAGTGACGTCCGTTGCATCGATGCTTCCCTCTGTTTGTCCAGCGCTGTGTATATCGTTTCCTTTCATTTCTTTTCCTCATGTTGTAACCACATTGGTCTCTCCTATGGAACCGGCTCCTTGTCCAATGCCATTGGCCGGGACCAAGGAATTTGATGTGTTTTGTTTCTTGTTTGCCTGTGTAGTTTACAATAATCCATAATCGTGTTAAATATTTTGATCTCTCTTGGACTTGTGTATCTGCGTTGCCAGCTGTTGTCGCCCTTAAGCTACAGGTCGTTCCTTCCTCGCCATTGCGGTTGAGAGTCCGGGATAACCAGCACCCCAGTAAATCTAGACCCTGCAAGGTTTTAGAGACCTACTTTGGACACATTAGTTACATAGTTTGGAATCATGAATGCTTCTTTGACTATTGTGAGAGAGAATAACACACAATTTATACTTTTGTGTGCCGGGTATGCTCAATGTACGCAGAAATATTTGGCCGCGCTTCAAAGGCCTCCACAAATTTAGCAAGAGCTGGAGGAAGAGTGTCCTAAAGAAGTGGTGAGCACAAACTATACTTGAAATGGGGTACAAATAGCACTCACCGGAATGGTACCCGTTCTTGTATCGTTGTCAATCGACTGATAAATAGCAAAGTCGGCATAGGTGATCTTATCACCAAGGAGGTAAGGTCCCTCGACATCGGAGTAGTACTGAGCGACGAGATCATAGTAACTAGGTATATACTCCTTCTTGTAGGACTCCATCGCTCCTTTCAAGTTGGCTACCCATTGAGACTGTGTGTTGTGTAAGTAAGGTCTCCTAACCTCCAGGGCTGACAGAGAGGGGATTTGATTTGTATTCGTTGGACACGTACCCTCCAGTCAATGTAGATATCCGCCACCGCATCAACCAGGTATTTCTCCCAGTTGGTATTACCATCGTAAGCGCCGAGAGCACGCGAAAGAAAACGCAGAATTGGAATGTGCTGTTCTTCCATCAGGCATGACGCGAGAAATGCAGATGAGATTCAGCGTACCTGGGTGATCACAGAACCACCATATTCAAGGGTAGGTAGTTGACCGGTCCTGGTGAGTCCGCTCTCACGTAGCCTTTTGCTAGTCTCTACCCAGGTGTTGTCGTAAGGGTAGCGGACGTCTTTGTAGTCCAACCCCGCATCTTTTAAAAATAGGCTGCAAAAGGTTAGTTCAGCTAGAATTAATTTGTTGGAAGTAGTGATTTACTTCACAACCTCTCCACGGCCTAGTCTGCCAAGATCGAGATAATGGTAAATAATGGGGGTAGCCATTTTGAGGAGTAACAAGGGTCTTTTGTTATCTGTAAAGAGGAGAAATAGTTTATGTCTGGACCTTAGAGGATGGAGTGAAGTACCTAGGTGACTCTCTAAGACATTAGATTTATAAGCTGGACACGTACTAGATCACCTGATGGTGAGATTGACATCCTGACTTATCACGCCATTTGATATGCGCAAGTCAAGCTTATTTCATTCTTAAATCGACTGTATACTTAGTTTTTGACCATATCACTCCTTCTTTCCCTATTATAATGCTGTCGGTGACTGGCAATCAAGAAGAATTTAGACTTCACCATCCGAGTTCGCCAAGTCACTTCAAGACCGCAGCTTCCAAGTTCACCACAGTCGTGCAGCATCTCGGGGATCCGATATCATCTTCTGTTTGAACACCTCTTGTCAAGATGAGACAAGTGTCAGACAAATCGAGAGCTTTCGCGGTACTTCTAAAAGCTGCAAAAGATGAACTGAGGTACTAAAAGTATGTCAGTTACTCGTCCCCCGATGTTGGCCAATCAATCTCTGTCTTGCAGACTTTTCAATACATTCTATTGAATATGATCGTGCTAGCATGGATTCTTCTTGTGGTTGAGAAGATCGTGGTGCCTTTTGTGCAAAGTTAGGCTTTTCTTTGTTTTGCAGACATTGACAAATGCCAATACTCTCTTCCAAGTGCCCAAGGAGACCCTTTTACGCCCTTTACCAGACTTCACACTAATAGAAGCTAAGGTATTGACAGCTCGCATCCCATTTTCCACAAGAAGCTCCACAAGCTCGTATCAGGACCATACTAACGGAGGCTCTGTACGAGACTAAGTGGAGTCGAAAATTGCGATCGACAGGGTCGTGGGAAAAAAACCACGAATGAACGAGCTTATTACGTCCCTTAAAAAAGGTTCGCAGTCGATCAGATCTATTTGTGTACTAACGGGCCTCAACGATCATCTTAATAGATACCCGTACTCCGTACACTGCTCGTGTTAAACTATAAGACCCTGTGCCAAGTCATTCAAGTCTCGTATATCTGACCCCATCTCGTGTTTTGAATGGATCACAACAACTTATCGGCTACCATCGCCCTTGGCACTTCCTCTTCTAGGTAAGCCGTGTAGGGTGTAGGATGCGAAATAACTTTATTTGGTTGGGCTAAAGAAAAGCCCCTTTCGATCGGAAATGAAACCCAGGCACGGCCCCTATATAGTCTTACTCTTCGCCGCGGCCACATCAGGTTCTGTAACCACGCTCTTTTTCCCATTCTCTCTCTTTCCGCAGAATTTCATACCGCAGCCTCCACAGCTACTCCTTTAATATCCCGGTTCATATATATATCCCATCTTTCATCATGCGTTTTTCATCCCTTGCTATCTTGACTCTGGCCTCTGTCGCCGTCGCCGATCTCAAGACCTGGAACGATGTGGTGGGCGACATGCCCCAGTGCATGAAGACTTGTCTTAACGACTTCTACAACACCGCTGGTCTCAAGGACAAGTGCGGAAGTTCCGATTCAGCCAGTGTCGACTGTCTCTGTGGTGTTACGGGCTCCGTTTCGGATTTCCGGGACGATGCCACCGACATGAGCTCATGTATCAAAGATGGCTGCGACACCAATGAATTGGCGGAAGCTGCTTCCCACATCGGAGACTTCCAGGATCGGTACACGAGCCTCAAGGATCAGTGCTCGAAGGAAGGTAGGTTTCTCTCGCATGTTTTCTAGTTCAATCGTTTATGGGGGAAATACGAATACTAATTGTCAATTGTACAGGTTCTTCCAACGGTGCCAGCTCAATGGTCCCTGGATTCAATGCTTTGCTCGCCTCTGGGGCTCTGCTTCTGGTGGGCGTGGCCCTTTGAGTTGATTTGATGGTTTTGATGTTGTGGACTGGAGATCGGATATACTCTAGTAGACAATCACTTAATTAATACAACCTTTGATTGGAACAAATCCCTCACAAAACGTACCGAGTAGAGAACAGAAAATCAACCGATCAACTTACTATGAATTGACCTTTCTCGAGCCCTATTCCGAAACACGCTAATCCGACTCGCACTTAACCAAACTTCAAGGTGATAGGAGGTGCCAATGCTAGCATTACATATCCCTTAACTCGTCAATTCATGCCCACCTAAGTGGTAGGGTCAAATTAGTTCGCATTTCACATGGTACACTCTAAATTAATCTACAATGGAAACATCGGACCCGGAAAGCCGGCATATTAAGCAGAAATTGCTATATATTCAAGTATCTATTTTATCGAGTTGCAGCAATGTCTTAGAGACATAAGGTATACGGATAGTTTATACCCAGGACTCGCTTCAGCTTGACTAGAGAGCATCGCAGCAAAATAATAGCCGGGGTACAATAGCCTACAAGTTTCTAAGTTAAAGCGAGATTACCTATACTGGTCGGGATGATCCTTGCCGAACTTGGTCCTAATTTAGTTAAGAGCCATGGGTTTAATTAAGTATGGCAGGGCTAGAGAGAGAGAGAAAGAGAGCAGTGCCCCCAACAAGGCAATCTTGTCCCTTCAACAGAAATTGAAGAACCATATGGTTTACTTGCCCTAAATCATTGTCCCATCAATCTCATACAACTTCACCCCCTTCTTCACCTTTCCAAAATCGTCCAGAACGGGTATTCCGCTATGTCCATGACCTTTATATCTTCATCAGTTTGACAGAGAAACAACTACCGCGTTGCGATCGAGTATGGTGCATATAGATTCTATGCGTGATAACACGGAAGGGACTGCACAAAATAATGATAGTAATAACAACAGACGATATACCCGCTCGATTTATCAGGATAGGATGCAAGCCGTATAAAGTACCAGGCAGTTACCGTGGCGATATTTCTCTATGCCTGTAATCCTCTAATTGTGCGAACTAGCGAACTACTGCGAACTACGGAAGGTGGAGGCAAAGCCAGACTCGCGGTAAGAGCGTTTGTTGAAATTCAGGTACATCAGCTCCCCATTGATTTGTCTATATGGCGCACAAATTGCTTGATCCTTGTAAACTCGATCATGATTGGCTGAAAATGAATAATATGAGCCATCATGCATAGTCCGAGCCATCATGTTGTTCGAGATATGAAGTTCTATCGTTATTATTAAGAGCAATGAGGCTATTTAGGATAGAAAGTTCGTGAAATAGCGCAATTTCGCTATATAGTTCTTTTTTTCTTTTTTTTTTCAAAAGAAAATACATTTGAGATTGAATGCAATTGATCATTCGTCGTGAGGCTCATCTTTAATATCTCAAAGCACGCCATTCGGGCCGAAGAATACTCATCGGCGCAACATGATATTGCAAACTCTATCTCAATCGTAATTTATTCAAATAGGATGAGAGTTAGCAATTCTTGGAACTGTCTATCTCGTTATGGTCTGAGACTGCTATGTCGCATTCTCCCGAAGAGCTCAAGGGAATCGCCATTGCAGGGCGAGTCTCTTCAGTTCTCTCGATTCTAGGTTCATTCACAATAATTGGTGCATTTGCTCTTTCGCGGCACTTTCGCAGTCCTATTCATCGTATAATATTTATCAATTCCTTCTATAACTTGTTCGACTCTGTCGCTACGATGATCTCCACTAGTGGACCTGCAGCCGGAAATACTTCATCGCTATGTCAATTCCAAGGCTTTGCTCTTCAAATGTATGTTTTTGGCATTGGCAGGGATTCGCCGAATGTTGTTAGCAAGGCAATATACTGACAAAAGAAATATAGGTTCCCAGTAGCTGACGTGCTCTGGACATTCGCAATGGCATTGGATACATACTTGGTTGTCTTCTATCATTTTGATACCCAATCTTTGCGCAAGCTTGAAATCAAATACATTAGTGTTATTACTATTCTCTCGTTCATCCCTGCCTTTGTTTTCCTCTTCATCCGTGATCATAAAGGTCCTATATATGGTGACGAGACCGTGAGTATTTCTAATCGACTTGCAACTAAACATGTCCTGAGGCTAATTGAACTCTCATAGATCTGGTGTTCAGTATCTCGGAGTTGGATGATCCTGCGCATAATCTTCTATTATGCACCCGTATGGTGCGTATACTTCTATTGACCGACTAAACTACATGTTCTAATGGCTACAGAACAGGCTCATTATAGTCATCGTTCTAATACTATATTGTCTGATCGGAATCGAGATAACCAGAGTCCGCGACGAGTTCAAATTGAGCACTGACGATCATATCGCTCTGACCTCTGGCAACTCCACCACCAGCGTCACGACAACCGAGGAAGCGAATTCCCAGAGAAAGCCTACTTTCACCCCAGAATCTACTATAACAACCGATGAGACAGAACAAAATACATCACAGCGTCCACCTCCATCCAGAAGATCCACCACAACTTATCAAACTCCGAAACAGAGACGTGTGTCGCTGAGGCAATACGTGATCATGCCGTCGCTTTTCTTCCTTGCCATGTTAGCAACTTGGATTGCACCTACCATCAACCGTATATCGGAATTCGTGAATCATAAGCATGGGACCTATTCACTTCTACTCTCTGTGAGTACGTTGGGATCCCTGCGTGGGTTTTGGAACGGTGTTATTTTTATAACTATCGGTATGAAAGGATGGAAGAGACGAGCTTCGGAGAGGAGAATGGCCCTTAGACAGGTAAAATTGTCTTTTCCTCATGCCATCTTATCTATTATCCCGATTGAATAGCTGTTGACTTCGCTGTATTATAGATTAGAAATGGTCATGAATCGTGATTGACATCGATCTCACATCTTCATTATACATATACTATGTGTACCGGATAGAATAGATATCGGCACGAGCTCAGAGTTAGTGAGTGTGGTCCCTAACCCTAAGGGATGTTAGGGCCTAATATGTATATACTACTGCAGAGATAGATATAATAAATGTTGTTTTGAATTATTACCCTGTGTCGTCTTGATCACGTTCTCATGATGTCAAACAGAGTCTGGGCTAACCCTATTCCTTTTTTTACCATAACATTCATTCATCCTCGGCTCTATAACCTTTGTGGTATTGTATGACTTTAATACCGCGAACTATGTTCCTGATTGATCTTGACTCCGTCATTTCTACAGCTACTCCTCTTAACATTTATAAGTGCTTACACTTCGCTACGAGGTGATACATCCCCTCGACATCCAAATATCACGCTAAAATGTCCGGTCGAAATCAAAACCAGCCTGATACTGATTTAGAAGGTCTACCTCCCTCTGTTAGGTGGTATCGTTATGAAGGAAAAGATCACTTTTCTCGAATACTTGCACTTGAACGCGAGCGCCTGCTTAATTCGATACGCAATTCTAGGGAAACTACGACCAACATGGAGCCAGATATTGAGACCACCGAATACATTATGTTCTCCATTGATCCTGCCACTTTTCAACGGGATTTCGTCGACAACGATCGCATTTCTCTTTTTTCATTCCGCACAACTTTCAACCCGGCAACAGAATTGCTTATAGTCAAGATGGCTAGTCCCGAACACACCCAAATCGCCTTCGCCTTCCACAAAGCCATCGACGTGGCTATTCAACGCATGGGGCTTGACCTAGCCATCAATCAGTATGCAGGTACCGTCATCAATGTCAATGGGCAAAGTAAACAGCCCGATATGGGCTGGGGGCCGAGAAGACCCCCTCGAGGCTGTACGAAGCGGCCCGTGGTAATCTTGGAAGTGGGGGTCTCGGAGTCTGAAGCCAAACTCCGCCGGGATGCCGCTCTCTGGCTTAACCCCAATAGGGGAAATGCAAACATTGCGATTACAATCAAGTTGAATCGCAAAAGAGCCCATGTCAAGATTGACAAATGGGTGTGGGATGGTGCCAATGGCACATCCCTTCTATCACAACGTATCGAGGTCTCTGAAAATGACCTCGATGAGGTCAAACTATCTGGTGGTCCATTGACCATCCCGTTCAATCTGCTTTTTTTACGAGAACCTGAGGCACCAAGAGAAACAGATATTATAATCGATGAGGAATGGTTGCTCACGATTGCGGAGTGGGGATGGGAGATGCAATTTCAGTAAATTGCTCTTTCTCTTTCTCTTCTCAGACACGGCCTTTCCAATTTCATATCCTCGACAAGTGTCCCCAAGTGCTTCAAACGTATAATTGCAATTGTTTGTTCATTTCTTCGTTACATTCTTTACTCTCTTCGGTATCCTCAGCTCTCATGATCACATCTCGTTATTTCTTTGCCAAATACATTCGCTCCTCACACAAACACACAACAAATGGAGATTCACCCACGACACCCTCACCCAATCCCTCTCAACACAAAACACCTAGGCCCGATCTCCAATTTGGCCCCATTTTCCGCCTTGATCATCTCTCTCGTCTTGGTGATATCCTTCTTCGTTCGCTTCTACATCCTCGAAGGATTCCTCATCCGTCGCCTATATGGCTCCATCTACACAGAAATGAGCGAGTTGAACCGTCGTGGCTTCGTGAATCATCATATCGCTGGTGCCACCAAAGTGATCATTTTGATTGTGGCCGCATACCCGTTCGTTAGTGTCGCGTTCTGCAAAGGGTCATTCAACACGCCCTTCGTTCATGGCTCACCAGTGACACTGGGTGACATTCTGATTATCGTGGCACAAATGTTGATTGGGATATACATCTTTGAGTTGATCTACCGCATGAAGTTGTCCCCCATCGCCGTGATGCACCACGTCGGGACAATCTTCATCGGCCAAGCTGCTATCGCCATCAGTCTGCGACCGTTACGCGAACCCGATACGTATGTTGAGTTTGTTCTCTGCACTGTCTGGGGTAAGTATATTGGGCTTCTGGGATAACAATGAAATAAAAAGCAAAAAAATACTAATGAAGTTGGGCTTTAGGCGCATTTGACGCTGTCTTCGAGCTATTCCCCCACGTCGCTATCATTCTCTACCGCATCTTTCCTGAACGTCACCCCTTCCTCAGCAAGGTCTTCCTCATCTCCTGTTTTACAACCGTATTGGGTACAATCACCGAGACCATTGTGACCATGTGGCTGTTTGCAAGCATGTGGGACCGGTGGCGGCTTGCATTTAAGATTGTCACGCCGGTCCTGCATGTGGCATTCTCCGCGGCCCAGATTCATGGCAGTTTTGTCTTCTGGCGCATGTACCGCCGACAACGGCGGTTCCAGAGGGAGGCTGACTCCGAGGCTAAAGATAGCTTTGTTGGGGCTGAGAGGTCAGTAAGCCATTACCGATCCAATAGCCAGAGCTGATGGACTGTGGAGGTGAAGGTCAATACTGACTTGACAACCGTGGAGTTGGGGGTCCTGATACTATTTACTATCTGAGAAGGCTGATTAGTGTTTATTTTTTTTTTATATCGCTGGATTCTTTAAAACAGCGTGAATAATATACATTTATTGCTTTCATTCTTTTTCAATCTCGACTTCCAAGTTTTGACCCTGCCTTTTGTGTAAATGATTTGGAACTCCGGTTCAATGGTGTCTCAAATAGTGAGCGGGAAATCGTAGGCTTATACAATCTAGATCTTCAATAATGCTCATATATGGAATTTTCTCAGCTATAGTGACTTACTTATTTATATAACCCTAATGTTCGATCCGGGAGGGGACAGTTAGCCAAGACCAAACAGCCACTTTTCTAACGATTCCTCTCAAGAAGTTTGAAATCCAACCGCCCATTTGGAAATGGAAATCTGCGACAGACATCGAAGCTGATTGGCACAAATATACACTGTTGATCTTTTTTTTTTAAGGTTAATCAGTTCCCCCAGGTGCAGATCTGTTTTATAAAATATATTCCTCTTCTTGGGAATTCCATCTGCAGATCAGTAGTAAAGCCAGAACATACACATAGTATAGCAGTAGGGTGAACTTGGCAGGTTGTAGAGCTCATCTCCAGCTCAACAGGGCCATTTTAGGGCAACGTTGGAACATTTTGTGAACGGTGTCCTTCCGGGCACTTACCTACATACAACATATGCGAAGATGTATCCAGGCCTGTTGACGTGCGTATGCTGGAGGTCCACCCACGGGTACATATTATACACCATGTACATGTAAATGAAGGGGAACGGTCCGGTAGGTTCCTATATACCTAGACAAGTACTAGTATGTCGATCATCAGGTTAGCTGTATAAGTTCCATGAAGCGACATTCCACATTGTTAGGGTTCTATATGCTTGACTCAACGGATTCATTTCCCCAAGCGTGTAGATATCATGGAGCCTGGAAGTATACGGATAGCCAAGACTGTTGCCGGTTGGAAACCGTCAATGTTCCGTGTGCGACGCGAAGCTTAGAGGGTTCCATTCGCGAGGAAATCTCAGTTGCCTGTAGAGCTGTCATTCATTTTGGCGTTGCCTAGTACCATCACTCCGGATACTTCAAAATCCGGACTTTGGGTCATGCCTGCCAAATAGGGACCGCACCGCGCCTGCTTCGTTGCCTAGTAAGGCCACGACGACTACTCGATTCCAAATTTGCTGGTTTGATTATCGAGCCAATTCGGTTTAGGCTTCGAGTGATTGTGGTGGCAACAATTACCACTCCAAAAATGATACTGTATCAGGGGGTTTAGCAAACTATCATCCAACAAAAAGGAAAGGATTCGAGATAAACTGTTAGAATTAGGAGCTGTTAATCACTGTTCAGCATCCGAATAATAATAAGAACCTTCAGGAACGACATCGAGTGTCGCCTGATGAAAAAAACAAGACTTCGTCCCCTTTGTACCCATTGTTCCATCCACCACGATAGTATGATAAAATCATTAAAATACATCGGTTGGAGGTATTTCGCTATTCATCATCATCAATTCATCAATTCACCTTTGCAGCACTGTGCGGTTTCAACCCACAATTAACTGCTCTTCTCATGCTGCTTCGCCATTCGCTGCATGTCAAGACCTATGGCTGGTTAGTTATCTCTGTCAAGGATGCGAGGAAGAATTGAGTCTCTGCTAACTTACCGAAGTCTTCCCAGGAGCGTTCTCTGTCCTTCTTTCGAGGACCTTTGCCATGCATGAGGTTGTCAAATCGTTGCGAGTTATGCATCAAGATGTAAGCCAGTCCGTTCACACATGTCACCCCGAAGGACAGGATCCACACGCGGAGAACAGTTAACCAGGATGTGGCTTCACCAAAGGCACCATACGCGGCCATCATGGTTGCGGTCAGGTCCACAGAAATCACGGCAGCAACAAGATAAAGCGATGGGCACATGGCCCAGAACGAGTCCGATCCAGATCCGGATCCATTGATGCGAGTTATCAGAATCAACCAGCTCTGGGTCAGAGCGATCTCGAGGAACAAGACCTCATCTCGCGAACCCCAGCCTTCGATCACACCTCCATCCTCGCCTTGCAACAGGATGGTGCCCAACGTCACCCAGGTACCGACTGCAAGAATGAACCCTAGAACGATCGATTCTCCCCAGAGTCTTGGCTGGTTCCATTTGACAGGCGACTGAGAATAAGTAGCATTGTCATAAGCAATTGCCAAGGTGGCGACATCGGCGAAGATAGCAAGGAGAACAACCAGGCGAAGGTCGAGGGTCTCGTTCTTGATCACAATCAGGAGTCCGAGGAAAGCTTCCAGATGAATGGACAGCGCGATGCGGAACACAACATATGAGTACATACGGTGGAAGATCCGGCGAGCAATCTTGATCGCCTCGATAATTGCCGACAGACCAGGTGCCAAGAAGACAATATCAGCAGCAGAACGGGCCGCATCGGACGCGCCCTCGACCGCAATACCAGTATCCGCCTTCTTCAACGAAGCAGCGTCGTTCACACCGTCGCCAGTCATGGCCACCAGATAGCCGCGTTGCTGGAGGATCTCAACCACACTGTACTTGTGCTGGGGGTAGACTTCTGCGAAACCATCAGCGGCCTCAACAAAGTCATTCACTTCCGAGCCAGACATGGAGCCAGCGCCAGTGACACCAAGGCGTTCAGCATTGTAGATGTTGGTTCCGAGACCGAGTCGACGTGCCGTTTCGCGTGCAATGGCCACTGCATCTCCAGTGAGCATCTTGACAGAGAGTCCTAGTCCTTGGGCCTCGGAAACAGTCTTGGCGGTATCATAGCGGGGGGGATCCATGCATGGCATGATTCCCAGAATCTCCCATGGCCGGCCTTGACGCTTGCGGGCAACTCCTAGTGCGCGGAATCCTCGGCTAGCAAACTCAGTGACCTTGGCTTCATATTCCTTGAAAAACTGATCGCACAGTGAGGTCTCCGACTCCACCGTTCTCAGAATGGTCATAGGAGCACCCTTCACGCAAATCATCTTTTCTCCATTCACATCTTGAACGTATGCCGTGACTTTCTTCGACACCGGATCAAACGGAGTGAACTCAAGAGTCTTGTACGAGGCGATCTGAGATTTGGCCCACGGGAAGTGGCGAAGACCTTTGAGGAACACCTTGTCGATAGCATCGATCCCGCCCTTTTTGCGAGTTGCTGCAAGACATGCAGTTAGCATTAGCTCTTCTGCATTCATCCCAGGCGTTATGTATGGATCTCCCAATGTCAGTCTGTTTCGGGTGAGTGTTCCCGTTTTATCTGAACAGAGGATCTCCACTCCAGCCAGCGACTCGATAGCTGAGAGCTTTTGCACGATGGCCTTGTGTTTCGCCAGATAAGATGCACCAACAGCCATTGTTGTGGTGACAACCACGGGAAGACCGACGGGGACTCCAATCACGGTGATTGCGAGCGTGAACTCGAGGATCTGAACAATCGGGTCTGAGCGATAATAACTGCTGATCCAGACAACCAGGAGGGTGAAAAGCACCAGAATCAGAAGGACGCGCGCCATCGCGCGCAGGACCCGAGTGAAGTGACCAGTGTTGTTTCCAGCCTTGTTCACCAGAACTGCTGCATTTCCGACAAAGGTATGATCACCAGTTGCGGTCACGATCATGACCCCAGCCCCACGTTTGACCGCCGACGAAGCAAAGATAAGATCCCCTTCATGTTTGTCCACGGCAAGAGATTCCCCTGTTATTCCAGACTGATCAACTTGAATGTAGGCACTGTCGCCCACCAGCCTGCCATCTGCCGCGATGATTGTGCCCTAAAAGGAACATTAGCTTCCATGTCTTCTTTCTTTCTTTTTTTTTTCAATCTCCAGCAACTCACATCTTCCACGTGAATGATGTCACCAACCACGACCTCTTCAGCATTTATCTCCACGATGCAAGAGTTACGAATGGCCAGAGCTCTCAGGGCAAGAGTTTCCTTGAGACTGTCAACAATGTTGCCCGCCTGGTATTCCTGAGCGAATCCGACTATGGCATTCAACAACAGAAGAGCACAGATTATTCCGAAATCGATCCAATCTCGCAAGCCGCCAGCTAGGATAATGGCAATCTGGAATTGAGAAAAAATTGTGAGCATATACTTTTTTTTCCAACCACCTCATAGTGGTCAATGAATGGTTTTGCTTACCTCCATGACCCACTGAACCGGACCATTGAAGAAGGAAAGGAACTTGATGAAATGATTCCGTTTCTGTTCCTTCATGCGATTCCAGCCATACTTCTTGCGTCGGGCGACCACCTCTGCGTCGTCGAGACCATCGTTGGGCTTGGTTTCTAACAGCGAAGGCGGGTATTGGTGAACTTCCCCAGCTCGGATAGTGATTGCGTCCACGTCAGGTTCATTTCCATCTTCGGCCTCCAGTTCTTTAATGAGGCAATCCAGAGACTCTTCGCTCTCTTCCTGGAAAGAGGTACTGGGCTTCAATGTCTCTGGAAGAGAGATGTCGTCATTTTCTTCAACACCAATGACGCTGTCTTTGCTCTCGGTGACGATCGGAGCAGACATTTCAGAGTCGGAAGCCACGTTCAAATCCTCTTGAGGATACTCAGGGGAGATCGGAGTCCGTCCGAGACGACCACGTCGGTCTTCCTGGGCCTTGGCACCCGCAAGCAGACTGGAACGAAACAGTCTAACTTGATCTTGCTGCTCGGCGACCATGCTGTCGCAATGCTCGAATTCCCCTTTCTCGTCAATGGGAGAATCATCCTCCAAGCTGTTGTTCAAGCTGTTGTTCAAGCTGACACAAAACTTGTGGTATTCTTCCTCATCCTTAGCCTCTTGGGGGGCATCGTGTGGCATCTGACTATCGTCTCGCTTTTCTTCTCCGGGAATGTTGGCTTTCTTCGAATGGAATGGAGATTTATCGAGAAGCTTGGTCAGAAAAGGCCGTTCTTCGTTAGTCTCCGAGTCAGAACAGTTCAAATGGCCGGTCGAGGACTTTGGAATCAATCCTCCCAGGCCACTGGTCTGGATAGGGGGCAATTCAGAATGGTCACGACGCTTGAAAGGACTGAAAGATCGGTTGCGGTGCTGGTTCCGTTCCTCAGAACGACCGTGTTGCTCGTCGTCCAGCAATCTTCCACGCGGAATAGCAACGGTACGGGATCCATCCTCGTCCGTGACGCCTTGAGTTGAAGGCTTGTCCGGAGGATGACTCCTAAGCGGCGCATTTCGTTCATCCATCGGGTCAGACTTGGGTCTGGCCATGATGGCGAAACGGCTGCAGAAAGACTGAAAGGAATCAGCAAACTGTGAAGCTGTCAAACAACAGGATACAAATGCACTTCATATATTCATACAAAAGGTGCGAGGCGATACATCAGTGGTCTGATACAACAAAATTGGATGGAACATGGACGGAAGGCACAGGGGGGGATGATGCCCCTTCGGGCAAATACAATATGCTCTCAACAGATGAAGCAATGATAACCCAGCAACACACTCACCTGGAATAAATGTGGGTTTATGATATGTTTTGAAGAACTGTGATGGCAAATGGTGATGGGGGAAGAAGTGTTGTGAGAGTCGCCGAGGAAACAAAAATGGAACGAGGACGACTCGAACTATTTATGTTGAGGGAGCGACGAGTCAGCGACCCCTCGATGACTAGGCGCCATTCAGTATAGTCTGGGTGCGACCCTCGATGACTAGGCGCCAGCTACCATAGTGATCATATGGTTCATTACAGACGCCTGCCTAAGCCTGCTTTCGCTTTGTTCTGGATACACTGTCGTCCATCGTTCTATAGTGAATAATCCTCATCTATGGGGATTCATCGACACTATGGCATTGAGATCCGCAATGGTACGCTTAGGGGGAATATATATAGGCTCATCGGAGCCTATGAATGAATGAGGTCTTAGGCTACGGCACAAAGAATTATCATATTCGCGTTGCGCTGCCTTGACCAACCGCATCCTGTTCGTGCTGCGTTGCCTGGTCAACTCATCGCTGCTTTGAGGGATGCAGAAAGATTGGACTCATCAAATGAGGGCGGTAAAGATCATGAGGGGGGAGGGTGGCGTACCAGCTTATCGGAGCCTGAAGGTGAAAGCGGTGATGCGATAACGATCTTAGAACTCCAAATGAGTTTGGCGTTGCCTACATGTCTACATGTCATGTCAAAGACTTCATCTCCGCGGCCTAGATGGGCAAATTTGAACAAAATTCTTTCATAATCCAACTGAGTTGGTCGCAGTTGACATTCAGTCAATGGCGGAGAATGTAATTCGGGTTCTTGGGTTGATGGTTTTCCAGTATCTGGTATCTGGTGCAATTGGAAAGTGCGATCATTCATATGATACATTGGACTGTTTGATATTCATATTGGGCAAAATTATTTCAATTTGGACTCGTCTGAATTAAGCGCCATGCATATCTTTAAGTCAGAATTGAAATCAGACAAAGGAAAGCTGAAACCCAAATCAAAAAGAAAAAGATATCTGTGTATAAATGAGTGCCGTCGTCGTTTTTAGGGCAGGTATCAAAATTGTGGCCTGAGGCATGAATTTGATATATTACATAAGCCCACGTCACTTCCAAGGTTCCGAGCTTTGAGGTCAGATTCAAAGCTCTCTGATAACATAACTGCATGTTCATGTAAATCGATTTGAGATCTCCCCCATCTCAGTATCTCATATGTTTAATTAAATAGACTGATATTTGTGTTTGTTTTATGTTTGTCTGTGTTGCGGTCGAATCCAATATGGGTGTTCGTTTGTGCTAGACACTCGAAAAGTGAAAGTCTCATGACCAACCATTTCGATAACTTGAACATAGCTGATTGTGCATTCTCCCTGATCTTTACCTTTTCAACATCGCACATCATCAGCAACTATGAATCGTGAAATCCCGGGGTTCTATTATGGTAAGTGGTGTTTTGATGCGTTTCTTCCTTTCTGCCGAAGTGCGCAATGACAGTACGTAAGAGGCGCGTGTCCCTGTGTACCACTCACATACAAAGGCTGCATCGTACTGTCTAGCCTTCTGGCCATTGTTTTTTATCAATCCAGTGGTCAACTACCCCGCTACACACACTAACTCCCGTGTCAACTCATAGACCCGGAGAAGAAGAAGTACTTCAAGATTCAAGCCAACCATGTGGCAGCTCCAAATGCACAATACTCACAGCAATCCGTGAAGCGAAAGCGGTCTGAGCTGACGGTCAGTAAGAGGGACCTGTGTATATTATTCCCATTCGCTAATCAATCACAGACAAGAGAAAACAAGACACGATTGAGACAACGTGAGGAAAAAGAGACAATCAGAAAGTCAGCATCGTTGAAGCATCCCTTGGTTCATCTCCAAAGAGAGGTTGGAGCAGTTGCAACCTCCCGTGGCAGGCAAGAACAGCAGGCTCGCATTCAAGCCAGCCAACTGCACCGTGAGGAACTCCATCGTTTTGAACCATGGCCTAACTCGTACAGCATCCGACATGCCTTGCGCAACCCACGTTCTGGGACTTTGATTGCTAGTGAGTTTCATTGGCTTTTATTATCCTGATGCGTGGCTAACATGCATGACAAGGTTCGGCTCGTGGATATGAATCCTCTGTCTCGTACGTTGGTGGAATTGTCGCTGTCGGATGTCAATGGCTACTAACTAGAGAATAGGGTCTGTTTCCCTGACATTGACGAGTCACAGTGGAGATACGATCACACTATGGAACGGGTGTTATTCAGGGAGCCGTACTGGGTGAGCACATTCATCCCAGCACTTCCTTCCACTGAAAGCATGTTTAACACCCCTTCTAGTTAGGATCGATGTCTTTAAGCCACTCGGGATACCTACTGTATGTCTCCATCCAAGGCTATTCGACAGATTCACCGCTAACAGGTCTAGTGCAACAATGAACGAAGGACCGCAAGGTGACTGCTTCCTTTCGGCTCATCTCCTCCCAGAGCCCGACGAAGGCGGCAACTACCGCTGGCCAACATGTACGGTTCCATATGTATCTCTATCGCCAGACACAACGCTTACACAATACTTTCCAGTCTCTCATCCAATTCGGATCAGACCCCACTACCCGATGTCCTTCTGGTGCTCGGCGGCCCAGCCTACCGGATCAAGCGCACACTTCGCCATAGGAACTTCAGAAGGACTCCACACCCTAGAGGGTACCAGTAGTCATTGGAGCCTATCGAAGAAGCCATTCAAGGGCAATACGGTTTCCACTACCACCAGAAGACGCCCCGATCGACGCCAGAGCCAACACAGCGTGCATGCAGTAGAATGGATTTCACAGGACGTGATTGCGGCGGGACAGAAAAACTCCAAGATCTTCCTCCATGATTTGCGCAGTGGTGGCAGTGCCACGCGCCTCCAACACAACGACTCCGTGATGGAAATGAAGCAGATGGACGAGTATCGGCTCGTGGCAGCGGGACCTCGCTCGGTATGTAGCTCTGTCCACTCTTTTATTCTTTTTTCCCTCCGCCATATGACGCCCGGATACTAATAATTTTACCTCAGCTACGAATGTACGACCTCCGCTTCGCGCCCAAGGCGCTTAAACCTCAGGACGCCTCGAAACCCTACCTCACTTTCCCTGATTTCTCCTCACTTCCAATCCCAACCTTCGACCTGAGCACCGAGCTCGGTCTACTGGCTAGCCGTATGTTTATGTTTCCCTTGAATATCAGAATAGCCCGATTCCCAGTTCATCGGATTCTGACACAGACCTTGCTTTAGCTTCCCAGCACTGCAAGATCCAGCTCTTCTCTCTCCAAACCGGACTGCATGTCTCCTCGCCTCTCACGAGACATCAATACTCCTCGCCACCTAGCTGTGTGCGATTCGAGTACGGCAATGATACCCCGGACTGGCGGGGTCCACATGGACCGAGTTTGTTGGTCGGCACGGATGATGTAGTTGAGCAGTGGACATGGTAGGAGTCAGTGAAACTTTGGCGCTGTTTGTTCCTTTTTTTTCTCGTTCAATTTTCTCTGGTATGATGGTTTTGCGCATGGTCTTTGGTGTTTCTTGGCGACTTTTTCTTGAACTAGTTTGTTATTCTGCGTTGGCGTTCGAACGCAGCAGGTGGATTTATGCTGTATTGTTATTTTCTGCATGCGAGCATGGATTGTGTATGTGAATTGAAGGGTTGGCGAAGTCGAATCTTCAAGATATGTTACAGCTCTACTCCCCTGTGCACACAGTAGGAATCAGCCATTTAAGGGATAACACGATGACTACGGGTCTTGTGGCAAATGCCACAATTTACAAGCTGTTTCAAACATTTTACTACTTTACGGATCTAGGCAATGATCAAGTAAAATGATAACATGGGTATAATTGACCTAACCACAAGTAAAACCAGTATCCAATGCAAGGCCAATAAGCCAAGAACTCCCGTTGACAAAATGCAAGAACAAAGCGCCAGTACAAGGACCAAGTCAGCTCCGTCAGCTCCGACAGTACTCCATCGTCCCCAAGACAAATCAAATCAGTCCAGACCACCGGCCAGCCACTCACCAACCTCGACACCAATACCCTTAGCCAGCTCACCGACCCAGTCACCGGAAACATTGACACACCACTTATCTCCCGCATCAGCAGTAGTATTCCCACTACTAGTCGCCATAGCATTATGGCTAGCAGCGGGGACAACGAGTCGCAGACGTCGCAGCGTTGCCAGTTCAGCGTAGATACGGTCTGCAACGGCGGCAACTCGAAGCCGCGTTGCTGGAGGGTTCGGATCGATCGCATGGTAGATAGCAAGGAGACGTTCTAGGGGGAAAGAACGGGCGGTAAGGATTGTAGACGGGCCAGCAATGCCTGCGCCACCTCCGATGGCGGATGTGGTAGCCGAGGAGGTCGCAAAGGCAGAGGAGAGGGTTGATTTCGTGATGCGAGTTTTGGTTCGCTTTCCTTTCTTGGGGGTTGAAAGGTTGTCGTTTGCGGCCTGTCTCTCTTCTGCCTGGGCTTGGGAGAGGACCTTCAAACGTCGGCGGTGGTGGGCACGCTTGTTTCGGGCTGAAAGGGACGATGAGGAGAATTTGGAGAAGAAGATTGTATCCAGTCGTTGTGGCGTGTGCGAGGCCAGATATGCGGACGTGAGGATCAGGGTCGAGAAATATGGCAGAGAAGGAAGAGCCGAAGGCATCAAGGTCTTTGCCAGCGGGGCCCGTTTCGCACTGGCAGAAGTCTCGTCGGGGACAATGCGGTGCACAAGCGCAGACTCGCCCTGGTGTCGGAAAATGGCTCTGTTTTTGACAAGCAGCCGCGAGAAATCCCACTCGTTGTTTCCGCCTGGGGGCGTTTCGCCATTCACTACAGGCGCGACGAATCGAGGCCACAACCTATCACATATGGACCGGAAGTCCGGTATGGAACCTGCTGTCGGTCCAACCAATGAGTCGTAGACTGTCGATACAAAGTACGGGTAAACCCGCGAGGAGGTTTCATCGGGCAACCCATCCACGGGCGGCGCATTCGAGCTGAGAATAATATGGATGGCCTCCTTGCGGGTATAGGGAGGGAAGCTGATGTGCGGAACCGCTGCACTTTGGAGGAACAATGGCCGTGGAGTCGAACTAAGGACTAGAACAACACAGAGAGACGGAATCTACAAATCATCGGGTTAGCTGCTACATTCCACACCCGGCAGATGTTGTCCAAAGCCATAACTTACGATCTCGCCTAGCCGTGCCAGCGCTGACAACAGAGTATGCGGCGCCTCTCTTTGCCTGTCAATCTCATCCAGCACCAGCACGAATTTGCCTTGGTTGTCAACGGGCCTCGCTGCCAGGCACTCCTCAAGCAAGACTGCAAGACCACTGACGTGCTCGCATCTTCCCTTGCCGGATTTCTCCCATTCCTCCTTCTGTCCCAGGGCCTCTAATGTGTTCCATATGATTTTTGTCAGGAGATGTCGTCCCGTAATGCATTCCGAGCTCCTGACAATGGCGTGTGGCACTTTGAGGGTGGCGAGGACGGCCCGGAGGAGAGTCGATTTGCAGGTTGCAGAGATACCATGGACGACCAATGTTGAAGGACTAGGAACATCAGGCTATTCAAATATCGTTGGAGGTCAGCAATTTTCTCCATGATTGGCGAAAATGCAAGGAATCGTTATCGGCATAGTAAACTCACACTTAACAGACTGGCTAGCTGCCGCATCTGAACATCGCGACAAGGCCATTGTGTGCTCAATGAGCTGGAACTCTCTTTTGGTAGCATGAGAGGCCCAGTCAGTTTGATTCGGAACTTGATGGCTGAATGGTGTCAAATGCAAGTTGCAGCATCTTGCTGAACTTCCGGCTCCTTTGGCACGCACGTGATCACGCGTCGCGCGGCAGATTTAGCAACAAACCTAAAAGGATTACGAAAACAAAGAGAAATTGGAAATCTACGAGTGTTGGAAATGGAGAAAATTGTATGAAAACTTAATTCAGCTTTCCATTGCTAAAATACATGCAAAAGTGTGTGCAGGATCATGTATGACGAAGATCTGGTTCAAAGACCAAATAACCTCAAGCAGCAAGCTAGCGGGAAAATAACCAAGGTCATCGATAGACAAAGGCTCCAGAGCCATTGTAATGTCCATCCTCGGCTCAGCTTGCATGCAACAATGAACCAATGTGGGAAAACGGGCACAACACAAAACGCAGTTCGAAAAAAGCAAGGCGCAAAAAAGTACAACGATGAAGGGGTAAAAATAAAAGTTGAAAATCACAATGTGGAAGCGAAAAAGGAAAGAAAAAGAAAAAGAAAAAGAAAGAAGAAGCAAAAACAACCCAAGCTGGAAGAACCAGTCCTCAAATCAAGGCAATAGAATACCAGATTGTTCTAAGGAACGATCCAAAACCATCGCCAGGTTGCCCACTCAAGACCTAGACATGCAAGGCATTGGGGGAGGAAAACCAGAGGGGAAGGGGAAAAACAAGAAATACAGGATGTTGGGGAACAAACGGAGCAGAGGAACATAGTTCCAACGATGTCTGCATCATGCACGGGTCGCTTCATGAAAGGTATGCAGTATGCAACATGGGCCAAATGCAGTGATCATGGCACATTGCTTCAAAGGTGTATGCAGTAAAACGCAAGTGTGGTAAATCATGGGATAAATGATCATAGCATGTGCAGTTGATGTGGGCCCAGTTCGATGACAGTGTAATAAGTAACCGTAAAATCGTGAAAAAAAAAAAAAAAAAAAAAAAAGGGTTTCGTCGCATCGTCTCACTATGGGTACACTGGGGTTGTGAAAGACAATCACTGATGTGGGTGTCCCAGACCCAATCAGAAGTAGTCCTGGATTTGCTGCGGCCCAAGCTTCACGGACAGCTGGGGGGTGGGCGTAGTGTAAACAGACGAGGTGTCACTTTGTCCCGAAGGGGTGTTAGAGGCAGAGCTCTGGGAGGATTGAGGAACATAGGTCTGGTTGCTGTATCCACCGGATGAGCTCGAAGACTGAGTACTCTGTGTACCAGTACTCTGTGTACCAGGCTGATGGTAGATAAATGGCTTCTGCAGCAAGTTCTTGGGGATCTGTGCAGCGATGGTCATCTCATTGGGGGTGACCTGGCCACTGGTAGTAGCGCTGCTACCGTTGCTACGGCTGTTGGTATCCGCAGCCATAATCTTGCCAGCAATACGACGACCATGGGGAGTCTGACGGATAGACGGAAGAATAGGACGAACAGCCTCCACAATGCGGTTGCGAGTGTCGAGATCACAGAAGTCCATGGCGGTCTGAACAACATAGTTTGCGAAGGAATCACGCAACATCTTTTCAAGCTCATTCCCCCTGAGGAATTCCTCAATCATTTCACGCTTCATGTAGTTATCAGCAGTCCGGAGACACTTCTCGATCACATTGGAGCTGAACTTTTGCTTGGATAGCTGAGGAATATTGCCTCCAAAGGTAGCACATAGCGGGTTGGTGAAGTTAGGCTCCGCAAGGTCCAGAATGTATTGCACAACATAATTTCCGAAAGGATCCTGGACCAAAGCGAACGAGTGCGAGGTAATCTGCGAAATCAGACGAGCCCTCTGATGGCCCGAAGCATGATCAATGCAACGCTGAAGAACACAACATCCATGGCGATGAGTACCAACAACAACACAATTGCCTCCGACAGCCTCGTAAATGAACTCGGCATCCTCAGGAGTGAGGCGGTTAAGGCATTTCTGAATAACGTGGTTGCCATTCAGATCCTGCACCAGATCAACCACGTGATACTGAAGCGCATTGATGACTGTTTGGGTCTGCTCGGAGGTCGAGATGAATTCAATCATCTTCTGCAGTGCACGAGTTCCATGCTGGTTCAGGGCAATCTTAACTAACTCAGGGGCAGCATTGTCAATCAAAGCAGTGCGTTGTTCATCGTTGGAGAATTCGAGTAGCTTCTGGCAAAGATAATTTCCAAATGGATCTGTTCAAGGAGAAAGATTAGCAATGAGACTAGAGTTAAAGGGCAGATGTACATGTTTCATACCGGTCATAAGTTCAATAACATGCATGTAGGTCTCACTGAAAATCAGCTGTACGTGCTCCGGGTTACGCTCCTCCAGCTTGCGTTGCAAGTATCGGCAACCATGCTGGTCCTTACACAGGCTGTACAACTCACCCTTGTAATGCTCCAAGGGATAGTTGCCAAAACGAGTAAGCTGGGTCACGTCATTCTCCTGGCGACGCTGAGCCATGCTGCCTCTGGTTGCAGGTTCATTAAAGCGGAACCCAGAAGCATAGCCAGGATAGGCATTGTTGTAGGCAGAAGCTCCTCCAAAGTTCTGCATATGACCGTTGACCGGAGTTGTTTGGCCGACATAGGGCTGGATTCCATAATTGAAGGCAGGAACCGCAGGGACTTGGAATGGCAACCCCATTTGAACAATCGAATTGGGGACGTGGTTCGTCGATGCAGCCGGAGTGAGCTGAGGCCCAAAGGGTGGAGCGCTCGCGTGCAAAGTCGATTGATTGCCATATAACTCGGTCTCATCGAACTCGGTCGTGGCCTGGCTATTCACACCACTCGGGGGAATCCGACCCATGCTTGTGTTGTGCTGATGCATGTGCTCATTGTGGGTCTTGGGGGGAGTAATAGCGTTGCCAGCTCCATTTCCCTTGACAGTGGGCAAATCGCTAGTTGAGTATGATGACTGCAAAGCATTGGGCCGGCTCGAGGAAACAGGGGTTGCTGTCTCTTCGTGGCGGTCATCGTGGAAGGTGATCTGGCTTCCCATGGAACGACGAGCACCGTGGCGTGAGGTGTGAACAGAGTTGCCGTGATCCTCGTTATTCTGGCTTGCCATCTGGTCCAAGCGCCCGAAGTTGTGAATATTCTGCGGCATGCTCTGGTGAGACGACCGGTGCCGACTGTGGCTGGGATAATTTTCGGTGCCTGGGGCACGAGGGTTGGCAAGATCATGGGCATCAGGGTTCGCCGACAACTAGCCAAATGATTAGGATCCAGGCTACTGTGTTCAATGTTGAGAAACTTACCATGTTTGAATCACCGCGACGGGATAGGGTGGGGAACTTGTCATCAGGCTCGGTCAACTTGATGTAACTCTTGATGTCAGGGGTTGACAGGCGTTCCAGCTCCCTCAGATGGTTGTGAGGCTTGTCCTCATCACTGGGGAAAAGATATTTGGGAACGTTAAAGGTGTCAAGGCGTGATCCATTCAAACCGGAGATGCTAGACCGATGAGAATGGCCATTCTGGTTACCGGAGGGCAGCGAGTATCGATGGGCAGCACTGAAATAAACATTAGCTAGGCCCTGGATATCGCAGCTCGAAAAATGGGGGTTCGCTCACGATGGGCCGGATCGGAAGGGAGAAGTAGGATCGGCAAGGAAGTCGTCCTTCTCGGAATTTCGGCGTGAACCAGGGACAGAGTGCCCAGCAAATCGGTCAATCGATGGCTGGGTGGGCTGGGGAGCAGCCTGGGGCGAGGTCAAGGTTGAAGGAGCAAAAGCATTGAAAAAGCCGGGAGAAGAGGTCACACTCGAAGTGGAGAAACGAGCAGGGCGGCCAAAGGCATTCGAGACAGTGGTATCACGGTACTCAGGCGGGGTGGTTGGCTCACTAACTGGGCCAGAGATGCCAGCCTGAGCCAAGTCCCGAGCGAGCTGGTCCATCTCCAGTTTCTCGCGGGCGTGCTGAAGATCCAGGATTTTCATATCTTCTTCAAAACGACGTTTCTGTTCACGCATGTACTCGATGTGCTGTCTCTTTTTCTCAAACTGCTGAAGAGGTCAGTTATAATTCCGGAATTGAGGTGTTCAAGCAAGAGCGAGAAAGTTTGGGAAAGGTAAGGTATCAGTTTGAACGAAGTGAGAAAAAAGTGCAACGTCTCAAACAGCTCAATCGAGAAAACCGATCAGAACTAACTGCACAAGAGAGGTTTGAAAAGACACTTGAAAAGACACCAAAAAGACAGATCTTCATAGGAACACAAGAACAATCACTGGCATGAGGAAACACGAACCGAACGCGCAATATTATGTCAAGAAAGTGATGGGAATGTAACGCGAAATTAACGGCAAATGGAGCAGATCCAGTAGCACAGGCAGCGAACTTGTTCGGACCCGAAGATTTGGACAGATGGGGGAATTATGAGGCAGCAAAAAAAAAAGAAGCAGCAAAGGGGAGGTGCGAGGCTGTGGTTTTTATACCAACCCAGAACGGATTGCAGCCTAACAGGCATGAATCGATTTGACGTCTGAATAGCCTCAAAGTGGACGGAGTTGAGGCGCCAATAGGCATCAATCGCATCGATCGCGTCACGAGTTTTGTTTGACTGATGAATGGAGAAGGAAATGATAAATAGAAACAATGGGGCAATTGAATATTGAATAGAAGAGATAAAAATGATGAATGGCGGTCGATGAATGGTGATGGATGAATAGTGATGGATGAATAGCGGCAGTCCTCGTCAACTTGAAGCTGCACAGGGTATGCTAGAAGCTGACGAAACTTTCAGAGACATCCTTGATTTTCAAAGAATCTTGCCGGGCTAGACAACCAGGACACCAATTCGAACATCTCCACTCATCGCCTACCAAATATCCAATGGGAATGAGACAGGTATGTGGGTGCAATGCGGGGGAATAATCGCTAACTCAAATAGATAGTACAATCTTACCGAAGACAACAAATCCACTGGATCTTGCATCTGGCCTGAGCCAGAGCCAGCGCTCGAGCCAGATCCCGAGCTTGGATTCAGATAATTCCATGACGAGAACTTGCTCGAATCGGTCGTAAACCGACGCTGCAGATTCGCTCGAACATCACCAGCCGGGCGAGATGAGAACCCGGATCCAAAGTTCGAATGACCCGGGGAAAGAGATGTGTACCCAGGGAACGCAGACTCCGAGGGCGGGGATCGTGGGGATGGGAATCGCAGCTCGTCGAGGCGTTCACTCAGCCCGTGCTTGAAGGCCATTGTGGGCAGGCCGAATTGTTCAACTATAACACCAAAAATGACGTCCGGTCAGCCAATATAGTGATTTGTTGACACCCAAAGAAAAGAAAAACGGATGTTTAGGGGAGCCTTCCGGGGAAGCAATTATGACAAGCCCCAGATAGCGTGACGCGACGTCGTCCAGTCGCCGGGGAATAACCGAATGGAAGGAAAGGGTGGGCTGGCGGTGTGTGTGTGTGTGTCGTCGGCGTCTCAAGCAAGGGGAAATCGAGAGAGGGGCTGAGGGGTTGGTGCCAGGCGGAGACGATCTGCACTCGCAAAAAGGGCCTAACTCACACAATGAACGCCTCGAGAGGAGTCAAATCCGGTTGATGGGAGAAGTGCTATACGATTTCAAGCTGCGCAAGTCATCTATGGGCAATTTTGACAGGAAATATCGTGGGTACCTGACGGTGCGGAGATCAGCAGGGAGTTGCAGAGTGGGATAAGCTCCTCTTACCGCTCCGATTAGCGAACACCGAGGGATCGAGGCGCGGGCGAAACGAGCGTGTCGCGCGACGGGGAAATACAACCTAACAATGACCCAAACGAACGATAAAAAAAACTGTTGTACAAAAGGGAGTTGCAGAGGGAGGGAAAGGGAAGAAGAGGAAGAGGGGGAAGAAAATGGCTGGGAGTCCAGATCAGAGCGGGGAGATCCTTTTTAGGAGATGACTGTGCTCTCTGTCTTTTTTTCTCTTTTTTGTTGGCGATTTGCTTCTACTATTTTTATTTTTATTTTTTCCTTTTTCTTCCCTTTTTTTTTATCCAAGAGTTAAGTGGGCAAGTGATCTTTTGATCTTTTCTGATTTTACATATGTATTTATGTTGTGTATTCTTGAATTTATATATATAAATATTTGTTGCTTCGACGCTCTCTATCTCTCTCTCTCTCTCCGCGTGAGGCGCCAAAACAATATATATCTTCCCCCATGTATTTTTATACTCTAGATATCACCGACACAACTTGACGACCAAGCAGATGATCGGCCAGCAATTACTCGGAAATTGATCGGGTTCAATTGATTGGAGAGCCTCCGTTGTCTGTACAACCTGGGCGCTTTTGTCCCGGGAAGAGCCCGGGGGATAGTCAATGGGCTAGAGCTCCCGCGGGGTCTTGTAGATGTTACGAATGGTCAATTGTATGGTGGACTGGGGACAACCTGGGCTATACACGAGAGAAACCATTGTGCTAGGACTCCAGCAAGGGGGTGGGTTGGTTTCAATGCGCTGGTCGACTAGAGCGTGGCAGCTGCAGGTGCATTTTAGCCCCTCTTAACATCGTGTGGAGACTGAAGTGACCAAAGTGCCCGAAGATGTGACAGCGGATCGCCCTCTAGGGTGGTGAGGCGCCTGTACCTGAATCCTGAAATTACAGTTGAAAGGAGATAAGTATTCCATACATATATATGTTGTAAAGAGAAGGAATTACAACTTGTATTTCCCAATATCAGAAATTCAATAAGATAAAATAGGGGGCTCAATGAAAAAAATGGTTCGCCAACTGCTCACCCATGGGTTCTTTTCTTTTCTTTGTCCTCGCTTCCACGGGTCTACATTCTTTTCTTCCATTTCCCCATTCTTTTATACTTCTGGAATTTCTCGAATCCAACCTTTAAATCTACTTTTTATTTTCTATGTTTGTACCTATTTACCTTCCCCATACAATCTGTATACGATAAGGGCTTTCGCCCTCAACGTCAGGACAAGCGGTGTAAGTGCCACCAGCGCTGATCCGCGTCGCTTGGAGCCCCTGATCCACTGAATGACAAGCATACCAATAGAGCGGGGATCCTCTGAACCCCAGTCAATCCTTATTATTTTTATTTTTATTCACACATCGGAGTGATCGTCAATGGACCACTTTTCTCCCCCCTCTATCCATCTGCTATGGGTTTAGAATTCCGATTGTTACAATTTACGATCGGAGCTGAGTACTCGCTACGGTCTGTGCTGATCTTTGGGAAATAACTACGGAGTAAGTGATGGTGCATCGGTACATCGAACCCCAACTGTACACGAACTAGTGTGCTAGCTACTTGGGGTCGGAAGATCCAATAATCAGTATGATCACATTCGTGATACCAATAATATTCTTTCTAAGCATATGAGACTCAAAACCCACTTATTGACGCCCAAATTGAAGCCAATTTTAATTACTTTCTTTCATGCCCAACGCCTGACTTACGCCTCCGGAATTGACTGGCTGCCTCTTGTTTTTTTTTTTTTTAAAAAAAAAAAAAAAACACGAATCACATTGCGAGATCATTCATAAAATGAACTTACTAGAAAGGCACTATGATTCTGTTCCCAAAGCTACGGAGTACACTGGCAAATAATATCTGAAACTCCCTAGGTACAGTAGTCTCCGCCCCCCTCCGCTTAGCCAACCCCCGCTGCAAAAAGCCCTACAATAGGCCTCCTGGGCTATTGATAACGAACATACCCTGGTCGATAGTATTGCTAATACTTTCGTTTGAATTGTCTCATCGGAGGATACTGCACGGAGTACGGAGTACATATCGGGCAAAGATGACCCCTGTCTCACCAACCACGTGTGGATGGTGTTGCATACTTTCTAGATTATGTTGCAGCGATCAATACCATCTCCAAGTACTATGATCGATACATTGAACCGCTCATTTCCCCAATAGATCCATGCATTCGATCAGAAACGGGGATTTCTTTTTTCCAAAAGGAAATATTGCGGTGCAGTCTATGTCCGGAAAATAAAGGGTGGCAATTTCAAAGTTGCGGTCAAAGCTATTTCGCCACAGACATCAAATAATACTACATGGTACATGCAGGACCGAGTGTTCCCAACACTCGATAAATCATATGCCACACAAGCAGTGCAACTATGGCTACTAATAATAATGCTACTATTCCGTGAACGGATTGCCTTGCGCTTGGTATCTACAGTCAAAACCCGCTCTTCCGCGTTATCTTTTACGTGACCGCTTCTTTTACTTCCTATTGCTGTTCTCTATACAAAGTACTGTTGTAGAGTTGTAGATCGTCTCCCTCAAGCAGAACCAAGTTAATCCTGATAAGTAATTCGTCCGTGCAGGCGTAAATGTCCGGGGTTGGCCTGCATGCGCAAAGACCCACTAAATGTACTACCATGTCAATGGACAAATCCTTGACGACCTGGCAAGATCTCGTAAATCCAACCCTATGCGGAGTGCTCCACGCGTTCTAAAAGGTTGAGACTAATATAAATAATTCTTCAAACCAGTTCACTTTAGAGGTGAGGTCCAAACCTGCTTCTTCGTCTATTCTTTTTTAAGACTTCTACTACATCAGAGTTTAGACCAGTATGCTCCGATGAGTCCGATCCTCCAGTCTTGTGCGGTTACTTGATAATGATATGGATTTAACTACGGATTCGGATGTGTTAAGTATTCAATAATCACGAGAGTATTTGAGAATATCCATTTCTTTTAGCCTATTCTACTTTTCGATTTTCGTTCAAGAGCTGTTTTTGTGCTCATATTTGATTCATTTTACGTGTGTCACTACCGATACTCTCAGAGTAGATGCCAACATTGAATCCATTCAATAGTTAACAAACTGATAATCGCTTTCCTTTCGCTCATCAACACCGGCAGCGACTCGAGGTCTTCTTGATTTTGATCGTCATGGAGCCGGTCCCGGGACGCAATCTTCTGTCGTTAATGATGCTCAAGACAAGCCCAAGCCTCCGGTGGATTGTATAAGTAAATCTCCAGGAAAGGTGATTTCCAATGTTTCCTGTTTATTTATTTGAACTACGGCAATGGTGATAAAGCCCGTATCATAGGACTACATTTTGTATATTTCTAACTGATGTGCTTTCTATATAACCATGAAAACAATATATATCGCAGAGTAATACGTCAGGTATGTCTCTATGCAATCATCCCAACACTTGGTGGCATATTTATAGCTAATGATTATTCTCCAGAGATAGTACCAAGTATTTTGAAGAAAACGACATCTAAAAGTAGACACAAAAAAAGACATCCATGGATCGGAGTGTTATCAATTGATGCCTCAGGCAACTATCAGCTCCAGTAGGAGCAGTGGGAGGCCCTGCCCGCGGCTTATTAAGCCATCTCCAAATTACTCAAATCTTTCCCCTCCATGAGAATCCATCTTGCGAGCTTCTCTTTGGACAACTTAGTAGTTTGATTGGGATATCTTTCTTGGTCAATCTACTTGTAACTCAGCTGCCTAGCCAAAATGCCTCCGCGCAAAAGGCCACAGCCCTCTGCGGCCGGTCGACCCCGGCGTCCTTCGGAGGTAACAAAACTTTTTTTTTTGCAAGTCCCATACTTCTGCAGATTGTACTGACTGCTCTGCTATTTAACTAGGCCGGAAATCAATCTGCGACTGACTCTACAAAAAGCAAGCGCCCGTCACAGTCCAACCCTGTTGCTGAGCCTCACCAACATGCGGAGCCTAGGAAGGTTGAACCAGCTTCGAATTTCAAGGCTAGGGATCCATTCGATGCGCTTTTGGAGCCATTTTACTACAATAAGGGCCTCACAGACCCGATAGACACGGCCAGGGACAAATGGAATCTGCTACCGGCGTTCCTCAAGGTCAAAGGACTGGTGAAACAGCACATTGACTCCTATAACTACTTCGTGGAGGTGCAAATGAAGAAGATTGTCGAGTCAAGCTCTACAATTCGAAGTGATGTGGACCACAATTTCTACATCAAGTTCACCGACATCTACGTTGCCTCACCCCGACGAGCCGACGAGCAAGGTGATGGTGGAATTGATTTCGAATCCACAATCACGCCGCAAGAGTGCAGACTACGAGACACTACATACGCCGCACCCATTCTCGTTGACTTTGAGTATGTCCGTGGCCGGCAAAGGGTCATCCGACGAGCAGTCCCCATCGGAAGAATTCCAATCATGCTCCGCAGTTCTAAATGTGTGCTGTCGAATAAAACGCCTGCTCAGATGAGTGTCCTCAATGAATGTCCTCTTGATCCCGGTGGTTACTTTGTTGTCAACGGAACGGAAAAGGTCATCCTTGTACAAGAACAATTGAGCAAGAACAGAATTATTGTCGAAACCGACCCAAAGAAAGATATCGTCCAGGCCTCGGTTACCAGGTATGTTCACGTCAAACCCCTTTGGTTTGCCATCACTAACATCCACAGTTCCTCAAACGAGCGTAAATCCAAGAGTTATATTGTCTCAAAAAAGGCAGACTCTACGTCAAGCACAACGTGCTCAATGAAGACATTCCGATCGTCATTTTGCTCAAGGCCATGGGCATTCACACCGACAAAGAAATGATGCAAATGGTTACTGGTGACGATGCTCTGTATCAAGATGATTTCGCCATAAATTTCGAAGAGGCCATCAACGTCGATGTTTACACTCAACAACAAGCCCTGGAATGGATGGGCTGTCGTATCAAGATCAACCGGAAGCAAGCCGCTTATCGCAAGACTCACGTGCAAGAGGCAGTTGAGGCCATTGCGTCTGTCATTATCTCTCATATCGAGGTCAAGGACATGAACTTCCGACCCAAGGCCATCTACGTCGCTCACATGGCTCGTCGCGTTTTGATGGCAAAGAGTGACCCGGCCCTGGTGGATGACCGCGATTATCTTGGAAATAAGCGATTGGAGCTGGCGGGTCAGATGTTGGCCCTTCTATTTGAAGATCTATTCAAGAAATTCTGTTTCGATATCAAGATGAACATCGACAAAGTCCTGAACAAACGCAATCGGGCCGAGCAGTTCGATGCTTGGACTATCGTTACTATGCATGGAAATCATATCACTCAGGGTATGAACCGAGCCATCTCTACAGGAAACTGGACCTTGAAGCGTTTCCGCATGGAGCGTGCGGGTGTCACTCACGTTCTCAGCCGATTGAGTTACATTGCGGCTCTCGGTATGATGACTCGTATTAGCAGTCAGTTCGAAAAGACCCGTAAGGTCAGTGGTCCTCGTGCCTTGCAACCGTCCCAGTTCGGAATGCTGTGCCCTGCAGATACCCCCGAAGGTGAGGCATGTGGTTTGGTCAAGAACTTGGCCCTCATGACGCATATCACGACCAACGATGAAGAAGGACCGGTACGAAACTTGATATTCATGCTCGGCGTCGAGGACATATCGAGTGTTGGTGGACAGCAGCTCTATGCGCGGGGTGCTTACACAATTTCTATCAACGGTACACCGACTGGTTTGACTAGACGCCCCAAGTCCTTCCTCAATGCTTTCCGAAGACTGCGCCGCATGGGCCGGGTTTCGGAGTTTGTCAGCATTTACATCAATCACCACCAGCGAGCCGTTCATGTCGCGACCGATGATGGACGTATCTGCAGACCGCTTATCGTCGTGGAGAATGGCAAATCCCTTGTCGGCGTTCAGCATCTTGAGAAGCTGCGCGATGGAACAATGGAGTTCGATGACTTCCTTGCGCAGGGCCTGGTGGAGTACCTCGACGTGAACGAGGAGAACGACTCCTACATCGCCATCTACGAGAAGGACATCTCAAATACCCACACCCATCTTGAGATTGAACCCTTCACGGTCCTTGGAGCTGTTGCTGGTTTGATCCCTTATCCTCACCACAACCAGTCCCCCCGTAACACCTACCAATGTGCCATGGGTAAGCAAGCTATTGGCGCTATCGCTTCCAATCAGTTCCAACGAATTGATTCCATTCTTTACCTCATGGTCTACCCACAAAAGCCTATGGTCAAATCACGAACCATTGAGCTGACAAAGTACGACCAACTCCCTGCGGGTCAGAACGCGACTGTTGCCGTGATGAGTTATTCTGGTTACGATATTGAGGATGCTCTGGTCCTGAACAAGGGATCGGTGGACCGTGGCTTTGGACGTTGCCAGGTCTTCCGCAAATACGTCACGACGCTGAAGAGTTACCCCAACGGAGCCAAGGATTCCCTCAAAGGACCAACGTTCGAGAATGGTGCTCCAATCCGCAAGCACGCGCTTCTCGAGTCTGATGGCCTGGCTGCAGTTGGCGAAATGGTCAATAACGGCGAAAGCTACATCAACAAGGTCACGCCCAGGGTACAAAATTCCATGGGATTCACCGGCGCCAGCATGGGCAGTGGAGATGTTATTGAGGCATCCATGAACTACAAGCTCCCAGATCCTTCCTACATAGACAAGGTTCTGGTATCTGCCACTGAAGGCGAGACGCAACTCATTAAGGTCCTGACCCGACAGACCCGTCGCCCCGAGGTCGGCGACAAGTTCTCTTCCCGCCACGGACAGAAAGGTGTTGTTGGAATCATTGCAGACCAGGCAGACATGCCTTTCTCGGATCAAGGCATCAACCCTGACATTATCATGAACCCTCACGGTTTCCCCTCTCGAATGACAGTCGGAAAGATGCTGGAGTTGGTCGCTGGTAAAGCAGGTGTTCTGTCCGGCCAACACGGCTACGGTACCTGTTTTGGCGGTAGCCCCGTCGAAGAAATGTCTCAGATCCTGATCGACAAAGGTTTCAGCTATGGCGGCAAGGACTACCTCACTTCCGGTATCACCGGTGAGGCTCTGCCTTTCTACGTTTTCACCGGTCCCATCTACTACCAGAAACTGAAGCACATGGTTCAAGACAAGATGCACTCACGTGCCAAGGGTCCCACTGCTACTCTTACCCGCCAGCCTACCGAGGGTCGTTCGCGTAACGGAGGTCTGCGTCTCGGTGAGATGGAACGTGATTGTTTGATTGCGTACGGTACTAGTCAACTGCTGCTGGAGCGTCTGATGATTTCGTCTGATCGTCACGAGGTGGATGTATGCGAACAGTGTGGTTTCATGGGTTACTTGAACTGGTGTCCTGGCTGCAAGTCGTCTCGTTCCGTTGTGAAGATGGTTATCCCCTATGCTGCCAAACTTCTCATTCAAGAACTGATGAGTATGAACGTCACGGCTCGTCTGAAGCTTGATGATGAGTTCCCCGAGACGATGGGACGTTAAGCTCTGGACTTGGCTTTGGGTCGATTGGAGTTTGGGGATAACTAAAATGGGACATGTGTGCATACTTGGTCTTACGAATGAATGGCATAGCGCGGCGATTTAATATCATCTTTACCTAATTATGCTTTTCTGTAGCACGTAGCTGGAGCTTCAACTACAGACCCCTTCTCCCCCCTCAAAAAACAGCTGGAGGAAAAGAAGAAAAAGAAACGACTTCAAATTAAAGCATCAAAACATTTGACTCAAAAGCCACATGCTGATAGCGAGTAAACTCCTCCATTTCCTCCAAAACCTTAGTCCTCGTCTCCAAGGCCTCTTCCAGGCTCATCGGCATATCACCCTTGGACTTCATATTATCAAGGGCTAGCTTTTGTAAGCCCTCCTTGACATCGTCCCCGGGCATCTCTTTAGTCCAATCCACACGCTGCGGCGGGACATTGGCCGTGGAGATGATACGGAGGTTAGGATCGACAAGGAAAAACACCAAGGCGCGCGAGTGTCCAGGCTTAGTCTTGTCCTTTAGCTCAAAGCGCGTGAACTTGTGTTCTACAGTGCTCGGGTACATGACGACTCGGCCTACATTGGCGCAAATCGAGCCTGGGTATTGGATAGCCGGCTCGCCATTTTGCATGCCGAAGACTTGCCGCAGCCAGATGAAATCGTTTGGCTCGTGCTCGATTTCGGTGAGGGTGTCTGATTCTGCCATGTTGCGGAATTGCATGGTCGGATCGACTACATTGAGGTGATCGTATGGTATGAATGCCGCGGCGCAGATGTGCTCGTTCTGGTTTATATATTTTCATTATTATCAAGTACCGTTGGGGGGGGTTATTGGTGGGTATAAACTCACCATCGTTCCCTCAACATGCCAGTCTGTCTCAAAAGTCGGTTTCTCCGGAGTTAGATCAATGCCTAGAATACGTGTGATCACCTGCAGTCCACGATCCTTGTAGTCCCGGTTGAGATCGACGCCTCGTTCAATCCGAACGGCGCTGGGCAAATCCTCAGGCAGTTTGTCCATCAACCAGGGTGGGACTGCCCAGGGAATGAACTTGCCCGCGTCGGGTTGGATGGCACGGTAGTTCTCCATTCTCCATTTCTCCGTGCGCTCCTCAAACTCACTCTCTGCCTCTTTTGGATGAATCTGAGGTGTCTGGGCAGCGATTTCCTTTGGGACTGGGTAATACTCCGCCTTGTGATACTCGATTCGGGCACGAGAATGGAGCATGTCTTTGAGGGGAGTCAAAGTTGCGTTCCACTGGGAAATGATGCGATTGAAAGTCTGCTCCAGGATCTTGTAGATGTTCCGGTGTTTGACCGGGTGCAGGTTATTGATGTATGAGGCTATGTGCCATTGTCCATCATCGCCGAATTCCCAATCCGAAGGAAGGACCTGGTATTTCCGGCTGTAGGGCCGAACCTTGATATCTGCCCGGGCCAAGACGCGCCAGGCAATGTCTTCTCTGGTTATTCCAGTCTCTTTGGGAACTGGGATCACTTCGCCCTGGCCGATGTACCTGAGGGCGTCATCGAGCCCAATGATCCTGTCGGTGAGAATGCGGGTCTTTCCGTAAAGCAGCGGGTACAATGCCATGGAAATGAGGTCACGCTCTTGGCTTAGAACGCCTGTATGGAAGAACTGCATTGGTTCCAGGTCGTACTCTAGCACCGCGAACTGGGATCTCATCTCTTCGAAGAGCGGACTAGGCAGGTTTGTATCGGACTTGGTGACATCGCCGTTGTACAGGGCGACCACCTCTGTGGTCTCGTAGACCATGGCTTTGAATTGAAGCTCGTCAATGATCCACTCAGCCATGTTGAGTGTAATGTCTTTGCCACTGTTTAGGGCGGCCTTTTTCCACTCATCTTGTGTGCCGGGCTCAAAGACCTGAAAAAGACTTCAGCGGAATGCTCAGTATCAGTTGTATTGAGAACAACTGACCTTTTTCCACCACTCAGGAATATCAGTGAGTTGCTCCATGAACTCTACCATATGCATCTCACGGAGGGTCAAGACGGGCAGGCTATGAGAATCGTCAGCATTGAACATCTTTGGGATCTTGGGGACTTTGCACCTACTCCACCAATCCTGCTTGAATGTCTCTATCATCCAGGGCAGATGGGAACATGCTCCGGCTTTCCACACCGTAGATGTTTTTCTCCATCGGAGCAAAGTCTAGCGGCCGGTTGAATCCCGGAAGAGCGAAGCGGAAGTCCTTCCCTGCCTTGGACTTGAGGAAGCTCGGATCGTGAGATTGGTGTTGGAACATCGTTGCATTTAGTCAAGAACAGTATACCAAAGCGAAGTCCCTAAGAGTGTTATAATGATCAGATGATCTATATCTGCTCGGTTAGAATAACATAGGGCCAATGCAGGGCGCCAAAGCCTACTTTCAACGATGTCTTATTTTGCAATTGCCTGCACAATATCCGACACCAGAAATAAAATCAGTGAACAATAACTATCGAAATGGGAAAATACAGAAATAAGCTTACCTGGAGACACTTAAAATGAGGACCAGAGTAATGATGCAGGGGTGTCGTCGTCTTTGATTCTACGGTATATCGCAATGGCTGATGCCCTCTGGACGGGAGCTGCGGAACTTGGCTCCGGGCCTTTCAGCACTTTGGCCCTAACAAATCGGCATATGCCCAGGTGCACTTGAGGTATCAGTCATAGTGATTCAACCCTATGACCATGGAATTGCGAAACTTTGCTGTATGATTAAAACAAAGTCAACTGATCTTCAGAGGTTCGATGGAAGTAAATTCCTGGTCCTTGCGCCAATATAATTACGGGAAGAAGATTTTGTAGACCCCCCAAAATATATATTCATGTATGGAGGTAAGTAGATGTGTATGACTGTCGTACGGCATGGCTGTCGCATAGCATGATATGTATCATGTAGCACTCTAGTCTTTTCAAAACAAAACCGAAAAGCAAAGAGAACTGGAGTTGATAAATCACACTAACACCAAAGCTCCCAAGTACTCTCTGATAATGCCCCAATACCGATCGGGCTCAGCTCTCATATGCCCAACGTGAGGGGAGCTCTTGAACACTTCCCGGCGAACCGCCCAACCCTTAGCCTCGGTATCTACCGCATGGGATTCCACATCACGCCAGTCCACCAAATCATCCGTGTCCGAGTAGATATAGCATCGACGGAGAGTCCCGTCCGGGTTAGCCGCGCGCACCAAAGAGGTATCATTGACGAGCTCCCGGGCAAGGGAGATAGGATCCGGAAACACGGCAAGGGAATGGATCAACTTGAAGAGAACCAAGAAAGCAATAAGCAAGCTTTTGCCAAGTAGCCGCAAGATCCACATCTGCGGCAGTGCAAAGGAGAAAGCCTTGAGTCCTGCTCGTAGGCTGGGACTGCCCGGTGCGCTATCTAGGATCATTGCCGATATGGGCAATGGAGTACTTGTTGCATTCTTCCATGCTTGTAATAGGTGTGTCGTGCTCGACATGCCTCCATTCGAGAAAAAGTGCACAAATACTGGATTTTCAGGGGTCACTAGACCGCGCATTGCTTCCACAGCTGGGGCGACGCGGGCTCTCCGGGTCTGGGCCCCGAGGCGCCAGATGAAGTCACTTGATGAGCTTCTGACGAATATAATTCGCGCTGATGGTACTAGCCGTCTGTACTCAATCACATATTTGGCTAAGGCGCGCGGGGGTGCATTCATCCAAAAAGCAATGAATATCACTGGCAGATCCGTCTTCTCGCTTGGGTTGGGCGGGTCTTGGAGATAGACTGAGGGGGCCAGTCTGATAAATGCTCCCAAAGGGTCTCCAACTATTGTGGCCATGATGCAACGCCGAGTATCTGGTGTGAGATCGATAGCGTAGTCTAGTTTTTGACCTGTGGACGGCGATCCTCGGCTTGCCAAGAGTCGTGTGCACTAGTAGCCGAACTATAAGACACAGTTTCTGAGCACCAGGATGGCACCAGGATGACTTATCTGCTAGTTAAATTCATGTGCAGGGATATCCAGAAGAGATGTTTGATCCTTTGGAAGAACAAGAGAAAATTCTCAACACTCGGAATGTTGTAAAAGTCCCCGACATCCCCAGATTTGGTGTCAAAAGGAGTGCAAAAGAATACCACAGGCTTGAAAACCAAGGTTAGAACGCAGATAATGGAACGACCTACGAGAAATAAGGAGATAATGAGGTTTATTGCAAGGCCTTTTATGGATTTAAGTGAAAGTAAACAACTCCCCAAACGCCATGTTGAACCTTGCTCTATCTAAAAGCCCAGGAGAATCATGAAAGCGTAGGTTTAAATAGATCGTTGCAGACATTAGCGCTTCCCCAAAGTTCGACCACCACCGTCGGACTTTTTAGTGTTTTCCTTGCTCTTCTGGCCTTCAGCCTCACTTCCCGAGGGGGTGGCAGAGTCGGACAGGTCCTTTCGCTTCCCACGCAAAGTTTGTCCGATTCCTTGGAACTTTGGCTGGTCATCTGGTACAACTAGACCATTCTCATCACGGGGCTTGACAGGTTTGATTGCATAACCAAAGAAGAGCTGATTAGGCGGGAGCCGAAGTGGTTGAGGGCCGTTGGTTCTGCGGGTTGGAGGTGGATGCGAGGAATTTGAGGCACCTGGAGTAGGAGTGGAAGGATTGGGAGTCGGGGCCTTGCTGCCCTTTTTGGCATTCAGACGCTGTCCTCCGGACAAAAAGTTCGATGATGCTGCACGGGCACCTGTGGCAGCATCGGTGGCATCGGGGGCAATGGCGGGGTAGTTGATCGATTGTGCCATGGTGCCATGGGGGTGCAACAGCCCACCAGCTGGAAGCTTTCCACCGCTAATGACACTACCCGGCGTGCTGGTCCCGCTTGCCCGCTGTGGTTCTTCGAATCCAACCGGAGCGGCGAAATCAACCTCCAAGTCGGTCTCTAGAACAGACACAGCATTCTTAGTACCAGAGGGCTTTGTCTCCAGCACTGCCATCTCATATACTTGATCGTTATATGAAAAAGTGAAGACGTCGCCTTTGGAAAGGCATGAGAAATTCCGGAAGGCGTTTTCTAGCACAGCTTTGGGGTCACTGATGTCGAGGAAGGATGTTGACTGTGCTTGGAGCTTGATGAACTGGCCGGGAGGGAGGTCTGTCGATTTGATTTGAAGAAGGTCGCCAGGTTCAAGTAGTAATGTTTGCATCAGCTGTAGAGAACCGCGTCTTAGCACAATCACAACACATTCGAATCTGTCTTACTCACCCAGAATGGCAAATAGATTTTTCCTTCTTCAGCAATGAACTCGAGGACACCCGCATGTGTCATCCTCTCCTTAGCACCATTGTGAAGCTCGAACAACATCGGATAGGTAATGTGAAGTCGAGTAAGCTTGTCCAATGCGCTGGGAGGCATGATAACCTTGCCACCATGGTTCACATTCTCTCTTTCAGGACCAGGAAGCATCGCCACTGGATAGCAGCGATAGTATTCATCGAAGCGACGGGATGCAGCACCGGGGCGAGGCATGCCGGCACCTAGGACTCCGTCCATGGGGTCGTTCGGCCAGTAACCGGGTCGGTACTAGAGCTGTTAGTTACGAAAGCGAAGATTGAGAGAAGATTGAGAGACGAATAGAGAGTTCAAGTTGACTCACCATATCAAACTGTTTGAGTTTAAAGGAATAAAGATGGGTAAATAGGAAGAAGTGTGAGTGAGACCCGGGTTTATTTGAGGTACAATGCCGCTCTCTGGATCGCCATCGGTGACGCAGTTCGCTCCGCCATGATTTTCCGCTCCGACCCCGGACGAGGAAATCAGCTCTCTCTGAGGCGGTTTAACCTTCAATTTTGCGCAACATTATCTTTCTCGTTTATTTTCACCCTAAGTTCCCAACCAAAGCGCCATGTCGAGCTCATTGCCACGACCCAAGCGCACAGGCGAAGATTTCGCTAGTACCAGCTACAATGACGGCGGCGAGGATTCCTCAGAACACAAGAAGCCCCGCTTCGACCTTCGCAACCCCTCAGCTCTTGCAGCCGATGCGCCCGACCAAGATGCAGTACTGGACGCCGACGAGATTGGCAGGCGTGGCCAGAGAGTAAGACGCAAGGCGGTCAATCTCGAGGGTTACGATTCCGACAGCGAGAACGAGGGATTTTCTGCACACACAGAAGAGAAATCTAAGCGCAAACAAGCCAAGGAAGACGCGGATGATGAGGATATGTTTGCCGAGTTACAAGAAGACTTCGGCGAAGAGGAAGTCGACGGCGACGAGATAATAAACAAAAACAAAAAGTCTGTCCGCTTCCTACGAGACGACGAGATCGAGGGCCAAGTTACTTCTTCAAAAGGCGGAGGAGCGCTTCATATCGATCTGAGCAAGGGTGTAGCCCAAATTGACGAAGAGGAAGATGGAAGTGATAGTGAAGTTGGGGAAGAGGAACGCGCACGAGTCGACGAAGTGGTGGACGAGGAACTTGGCGCGGGTGGAAAGAAAAAGCACGCACCTCTCCTAGATGCCTTCAACATGCGAACAGAACAAGAGGAAGGTCGATTCGATGACCAAGGCAACTATGTCCGGAAAGCAATAGACCCCGACGCGGCCTACGACTCGTGGTTGGAGGGTGTTTCTAAGAAGGATATCAAGAAGGCCAAGGAGGCTGCCGAGCAACGTGACGCAGAGCGCAAAGAGAAGGACCGAATGGACGACAGCATTTTGACAGCGGATGTCCTGAGGACGATCATCACCCACCTCGAACGCGGCGAAACCATACTCGAGGCACTGGCCCGACTAGGTAAGGGCCTTCGCCGAAAGCCCAAGTGGCAAAACAAGAAGAACAAGAAGAACGCTCTCAAGGATGTCGAGATGACAGATGAGGACCCTAGCGAGGTTGCCCGGAAGAAAGCAATCGACGCTATTACTGGGGCCGCCGATATCTTGATGGGCCGCGGTCAAATAGATATCTATGACACAGAGCGCGAAAAGCTCACACGGCAGTACCGCAACGACATAGGCGAGGACTGGGTTGACCCTCCCGCGAACGGAGTGACTGAGCAAGGTCCATCCATGTGGGAATATCGGTGGTCAGACGCTAGAGATGGAGGGGACGCCCATGGGCCATATGATAGTGCGATGATGGACACATGGAAGAATGCGGGTTACTTTGGCGAAGGTGTTGAGTTCCGTCAAGTTGGAGATCCAGGGCCGTGGAGCGGCACTGTCAGTTTCTTGTAACATAATCCCCCTCATATCAATTACGATATTGCTTTGGCTACACAAAATACCATTGATGAATGAAATATTAATATCAGATCCTCCAGAACAGAGGACTGCAATTGAATCTCAAAGGCCAAATCACCTCAACAAGCGCCAGTCCTATCATACATCGTTTGATGCGACAAAAAAATAAAAAATCAAGATCCAGTGTAGTTTTTTCGACCCGCTTAACTGCCCACCGAATAGCCCAGTACTAAAACATCTAACACAATTAAGAAAGCTCCATGGCGTCACCATTGGTAGCAGCAGTGAAGCTCACAGTACCTTGGTCACCGATGAAGCGCTGTTCATATTGATTGACGAACTTGACACTCCGTGCAGGGTCGTAAAACAATCGGAAGCTGCGCTGGACGTCATCGACACTAACCTCCTTGGCCTTGCGTTTTTGACTCAAGAGGTGCGAAGTAGTAATGATGTTGCTGGCATAACGCAGGTTGGACTCCTGGCCAATCTTGGTGAGAAGAGCGAGAGCATCAGGCGAAAGATCGATCTCTTCTTCCTGCGCTCGGATGGCAAGGATTTGACGGATCTCGTCACCAGAGTACATCTGTGTGCTGACGATAACAACCCGATCGAGGAAGTCAAGGGGTAGCCCGTGAGGAGAGGTGTAGGTTGTTCCGCGGATGCGTGACTGGCCGCGATTACTAGCCATAATGACGATAGGGGCCAACTCAGCCTCAAGGGCACGGTTGATGTAGGAGTAACACTCGATATCGAGCATGTGAACCTCGTCAATGAACAGGACACCGGGAATAATCTCTGCTTTGCCCTCTTCCTTCCACTCAGCCACCTTGGTATTGATTTGGTCCCGAACTTCACTCCGAATCTCGCCCGTATCGCCGGAGAAGAGGGCCAAGAAGCCTTGTGAACGCGAGTTAATGACGTCGATCTCGTGGAGGCTAACGGTGTGGACGATCTCCTTGCGAACCTGAAGCTCGCCTTCGGGGCATTGGACAAACTTGGTATCGGCGCCCATGGCGTCGTAGTCTCGAGAGCGTGCGTATGACCGACCGAGCTTCGTGATCTTGCCAGAGGACTTGTCGATCGAGATCACATCTCCTGCCATTACTCGTTCCTTGGTCATCGAATCAATCATCTTGGTTCCCATGTCGTAAATCGTTTCCATGTCCGTAGTCTTGATCGTGAGCTTTCCTTGTTTATTGCCCTGGAGACAGTCAGTATCCAATGCTATTGATTCTTTCCACGTAGAGAATCCACTCACGCCAGTAACACTCCGGTCAATTTGAATCTCCACAACTTCACCCTCAATGATTTCGCTCTCTTCCTTAATGCGCACACCGATGGACTTCCGGAATGCTTGGGTCAGGGCTTCTGTCTTCGACATCTCCATTGAGAAAATCTCAGAAGCAGCAAGCATGGTGAAAGGTACGTCTGGTCCGAGAGATTGTGCCATACCCATTGCAATTGCTGTCTTTCCAGTGCTAGGAGGTCCCGCGATCAGAACGGCGCGACCGGCAATCTTGCCTTCCCTCACCATCTGCAAAATCACTGCGGCGGCCTTGCGGGCCTTTTCCTGACCCACAAGACCTTGAGATGATGTCCGAGGCTGAAGAGTGTCTGCATCGACACCGAGACCTCTGATATGCGAATGGGCGGCGATGAGGTTCAGTCCCCGGAGCTCCTTGCCCTCTGCGACAGTTGAGATTGGCTATTTTGGTGTCAGCAACCATGGAAATATTATAGAAGAACAGTAACTTACTACAGCCATATTTGAAAATTTCCAGAGGGAAATGTATTCTAAACTGGAAGATTATGTTGGTAAAATGCACCAAAGCTCTAGAAAAGCAAAAGAAGAGAGAGAGCCAGGGCAGATCGCAGATCGAAGTGCTCTGTCACCGCCCGGCAGAATAATCGCTCAAAGAAACGGGAAGTCCGTTTGCCTTCATTTCCACTTCCTGAATTTGCGTCGCTTGACCCAATTTCGCAAATTCTGATGCTCGTCACGTCTTCGAACTAACGTGTCCGACTCCCTTCACTATCTCAGGGAGAACTGAATAGGTGTTTTCAACAATACCTACCCCCATACAAGCACCCCACCTCGCAACAAGTTTCCACAAATTTTCGCGTGGTGAACGCGTCAAATTGCATTGCGTCTTAAGCGTTCCGTTCTAGGAATTTCCTTCAGACACTGCATCTCACAGTCGTCCTCCGAAGCACCGCACTTCTGTTTTGTTCCAAATACGATGAGTATTTTGCAATACATTCATTTCAGGGTGTATGGCCAGCAGAATGGATGTTGACTCTCCCAACCCCAATACCCCGAAGCGACTCGGGGGCCGATTGTCACCTGGATCCTCTACCAAAGCGCAAGATCCTCGGCTTGCCGGTACTGCTAAGCAATCAGTTGGTGCTCAATCGTCAAATTCCCAACAGGGACATTTAAACCCCCCACAAATCCCGTTTTCATCCAAAAACCTCCCGCAAAATCGATCCCCCAGGTGCCTCCACTTTCGATCCCTAACAGTGCCCCGAGCCCTACGTTCATAGAGAACCAAAGTGCACCCAGTCATCAAGGCGCGTCGTCGATCTCAGCTTTGGTCAACTCATTGATCAAGGTGAACAAGTGCGAGGAAGAGAAAGAGAGACTCCAAAAGGAAATAATTTCTATTACCAAAAACCTACATAGGGCGAAGCAGTCTCCACAATTTCCGAGTGTGATCACTCTCTTCCAGCAACAGCTGGGCGCGGCGAAGGATGAATTGGCCAACCATGTCAAGTCGATCACCGATAATCGATCACTCTCCAATCAGGCGCAGGATAATTTCAATTCGACATTGTCGCAGTTCAAGCCCCAACCACTGCTCGAAAACATACCTGGGCGGGTCGAGAAGCTAGAATCCACAATAAACGGAATAGGGCAAGGCCGTGGCCCAACTACCGAAGGTGGTAATCCAACACAAGTGGATACTGAAACCGACAAATCTGGATTCCAAACGGAAATGCGAGCCCGAGATCAAAATATCGCTGAAATCAACGGAAAGCTGGAAAAAGTGCAGCATACCCTCGAGAACCCCAAAGGATTGGAGGAGGCACTGGAATACATCCAAAAGATTGCAAACTCAGTCGCTCTTCAATCTAAATGGAAGGGTCAATTCACGGACAAAATGTCAAGCCTTGAACTCGAAGTGAAGGTTGCCGACAAGAAGCTTGATGACAAGATTTCTATTATCAAGAAGATGGTCGACACCGTCGAGGAAGAAATGAAAGTTTCCAACCAGCAGCTAGAGACCAACATTTCAGATATTGGTTGCAAACTGAGAACTACTAATGAACAGCTTCAGGGCAAGCTTTCTTCCATTGAAAGCGAGGTCAAGTCGCTCAGTACCACGCGACTTAGTCTCAAAAATAGCGCGTCGACTCCAGTTTCACAAATTGAGACTGACTTGGAAGGTCAAAGGAAGCAAGCCACGGAGCAGATTGCCGCCCAAGAAAAACTTCTGGTCTCACTCAGAACCCAACAACAAAATCTTGATAACAGCGGCCGGGTCTCCTCAGAAACAACACCTATCCCCCCAGCGGGGTGCTTACAAGAGTGGCGTCTCTGGAAAAGAAAGTCCAGAACCAAACAGACCTCCTTAACAACATCAAAACCCTTCATCATGACGTGGATGTCATCCGTGTGGGTGAGTTGAACTCTTTACGCCAGGACCACGAGTCGCACCAAAGATCACTTGAAACCAAACAAAGCGACACTTCAAAAAAGGTGGAGGACCTGACCAGGAAATCTGAGGAAATGACAAACTTCCAGACGACGCTCGATACGACCCTCAACCAAGTTAGGGTGTCCTTGCCAACAAACTTTGAGCAGATCCAAAAACATGTTCAAAGCGCGCTAGATGGATTCGAAACCCGCCTTGCTCCATTTGCCGACCTTGCTCGAGCTCTAACAAAGTGCGAGAGTAAAGTCGACTCCGTCAGCAGGGCCATTCGCTCACTAGAAACAAGATACACCAATATCACTACCGGCGAATTAGTCAATTCCATGGCACATGCCATGCAGCAAATGTACCCCTCTGTTGATCAGCTAAGTCAACAATTGACGGCCCACCGAACGGAAATTGAAGCTACACTTTTTGCACTCAAGCAAGAAGCAGAGTCGTTCAAGGCAGACACGAACCAATTCAAGGCAGATACAAAAAAGGCCCAGGCAGACGCACAGAAAATCCAGCCTAGCGCAGAGAGATCTGAAGCAGCACAGGTCTCACCGGAACAGCTCCAGAATTTGACTCAGATGCCGATTTTGCTTCAACAGGTCGAAGACCTTTCCGGCAAGCTTGCACCGATTGAGATACTCATCAAGGAGCATGGTGATGAGTTGCAGAGAAACCTTGAACTGCGGAGCGAATTGCAAAACAAAGTCACGGCTCAAGACGACACCATCGAAGGCATTTCTGAAAAGGCCGATGACCAGGGTGTAGAGATCGGAAACATCACTCAGTCCACGCGACATATCAGTCCATTGATCCACAAAGTCGATGCTCACATCTCACAACTCCAAGAGATTCGACAAATGGTTGACAAATTAACCAAAGACGCGGCAAAGAGAGACGATACCGCGACTGATAAGCTCAGCAAGATCTGTGTACGGCTGGAAAAGCTCGAAAGTCGGAGCGATATCGAAGATGAAGTTCTTGGCGAACTCCAGGGACAACTGAACGACTTGGAAAGCCAAAACACCACAGCCGACCGAGGTCTTGAAGAAGTCCGGAAAAAGCTGCAAGACCTGAAAGATCGTAACGCAACGGAAAATAAGGATTTTGACAAACTCCGGGATCAGTTGAAAGCCCTCGAAGACCAGGAACCACCGGTGTCATTGGAGAAATTCAATGAGCAGGGGGATAAGGTGAGGATGTATATTAAGCGCCTGAGGAGGGCTGAAGACATTTTCAAGGCCCTTGCAGGAGGAGCTAAAATTTCTGATGTTATCGGTGAAATGGAGGAGTGGAGCACCGATGGGCAGGAAGCTCTTCAGCCCCAACCAAATGGTCATGCTTTCACCTCAAAGCCGACGACAACACCAAAGACAGTTCCCATGGGCCCTACTCTAGGTGTATATCAGCCGGTCCAGATCAGCGTCAAGGGCCAGGCCGACAATTCTACGCCAATCAGTTCGAAGTCAAATCACTCTGCAACGCAAGCTCGTCAGCCCTCACAAACACCTAGTGGAGCTAGCAATAGTCATCCATCGTTATATTCTGGCAAATCCGTTGAGCCCCGTCAGGTTCAACATTTGAAAGGAAAGCGACGGGTGTCCTCTGTAATAGACTCTGAGGATGAAAGAAACACAACCGAGTCCTCTTCGGTGCTCGAGTCTTCGCCGGCTCCTACCTCTTCTGCTCCAACATCTCTCACTCAGGGCTCTAGCAAAAAGGAAAGGAAGAAGGCGAAGAAGAGGGCGGAACAGGCAGAAGAGAATTCCAAGCATTCGAGCAGACCTGACAAGAAACGAAAGCGGAACAAGCAGGATGAATGAGCGGGACCACGACTACGTCGTCTTACGTCTCCATCACCGTCGAATTACGACTCACCATGTGACCATTGATCTCTAAATTGTCTTTGGGGGAACCATTACTAGATACGTTTTCGCCACTCGGCCGATAGGCTTAAAGCCTGACCGCCAATGCGCTATTCAAATCGATATTGCTCAGCATACCACTGGGTGAATTAAGTTATTGTACATTTGACTCTTCAACACATACGTCTAATCTCTAAAGTCACGTGACCTATGCGATACTCCAATTATACTTACCCCATCTAAGTCGACCCCAAAAACTTGACCACGGCTATTATCATCACATAAGCATAAAAATACTGTTAAATGTTGTCGAAAAGAGGGAATAATTACCTTGGCGAAATGCTTCAGGGTTCTCAGAAATGAGCCAGTGACCCGCTTCGACGTCCGCAATCTGCGCGTTGGGGAAGAACTTCTTGATAGCCGGCACAGTATCGTCCGAAACATACTTAGACTTAGTGCCACGAACAAAGAGTGTCGGGCCGTCGTAATGGTGGTTATCAGATTCCTCGAAAGGGAAATCGGCCATATGATCCAACGAGCTGCCGATGATAGAGAGCGGAACACGGAACTTAAGTGTGTTGTCTTCCTCAGAGCGTATCAGGTTGGTGAGAAGGAATTGACGGATGGGAAGAGACTGGGACAGTTGTTAGCATGCGAAACATTGCTGAAGGGGAGCGAGGCATATCGCCGCGCCCCCCTAGTTAGAAAGATCAACACCCCTTACCTCTTCGTAATCCTCGAGAATTTTGTTAGCATCGGATTGCTTTGACACCTTCGCAGCTTCGATTTTCTGCATCCCGCGAACGTATTTGGGGAAATCGCCCTTTAGTGCTGCGTTTACCGGTGCGTTGTCAACGGGGATCAAAGCTGACACCCGCTCGGGGGTGCGCAGTGCTACCGCCATTGCGGCTTTAGCACCCCTTGACCAATTGTTAGTATGAGAAGAGAACCCAACATGGACGATTCATTCCATCACGTACATGGAATGTCCGATCAAGACGCATTTGTCGAGTTTCTGCTGTTTGATAAACTCCTGCACATCCTCCGCCATGGCACCGTAATTGTGCTCAGGGGCATGGAAAGAATGACCATGGTTACGTAGATCCTGTTCATATATGTTTAGATCTCGTGGACGACAATTTTTTTTCCATATCTTTCCGGAGACAAGCCGAAACTTACCAGTGCAAAGATCTGGCATTTCAAATCCCGTGCCAAAGCCCTGAGAGATACGTAAGAACATGGAATTTTATTTGGATGTTGGGTTACAAAACATACTTGCCGATACTCCTGTTGTTCTGCTTTGATCCAAATAGTCCGTGTAGAATCAGAATGGGGTCTCGGACAGCTTGGCCGTTTTCCTCGCCAAATATTTGATACGCCAGCTCAGACTGCAGCCTACGAGCCGTGGAGAAAGCCCGCAGGCCTGGAACACCACGTGTAACTGTCCGGAGAGAGAACATATTTCGATCTTCGTGTTGAGAGAATGGCAAGTATCAAGAGTTGGATCCCTGCTGATCGGGAACCTTGGAAATACCCGGGTCCGCGGGCCGGTTGCTGACTAAGTGATTTTGTTAGCCCAGGGAGCCCCGAGGCCCCAACTTTGGAAGGTCCCGGGGGTCGGCCTACCTAAGGTCAAGGCCTAGGTACCTAAGGTATCTAAGGGGGGTGCCCCCCGCCCCGACCTAGTTATGGTCTAGCAAGTCCCGGCCCCCTGAGGGGATTTGCCCAGGTGGTTGCTGCCCCGGGGGTCCCTGCCTGGCGGTGAAGGCCGGGACCGTTAGGGAAGCCGCAACCCCGCAATTTCCTTGCGTGTGGTACATGACCAAAGGCATCACACTGCAAGGTCTGAGACTCTCGGGTGCAACTTCATCTCAAACCTCAAACCTCCCCCGCTGCCGCTGACTCTACCACACTACCTCATCAAATAGTTTTTAATTTCCATCAAATCAAATCAAATTACTTTATTATGGCCGACCAACCGAAACCGTACAAGATTTCCATCCCTGATGAGAGTCTCCAAGACCTTCAGCAACGCCTAGCACTTTCCAAATTCGCAACCCAGCTGGAGTCACCCGAACAAGATCCTTGGGATTTTGGAACTCCAGTGAAAGAAGTGCAGCGACTCATAGAGTATTGGAAGGATGGCTTTGACTGGCGGAAAGCAGAGGCAAAGTTGAATGAGCTGCCCCAATATCAAACACAGATCGAGGTTGATGGATTTGGTAGTTTGGATATCCACTGTGAGTTTTGTGCATATATTCTGAAGTGTTTTGATATTCACAGGTTTCAACTTGTAGATGTCCACCAAATCAACACCAACAAGAACGCCATTCCACTGCTTTTCAGCCATGGATGTAAGTAATTATCTCCTCTCCTATAACACTGATTATCTTTCCTTATCCCAACACGGTATCTGATCTCTAAATATAGGGCCGGGATCATTCATCGAAGTCTCAAAACTGCTACCGATGCTGAAAGGCGATGACTCCATTCCCGCATTCCACGTCGTGGCTCCATCGCTACCCAATTTCGGCTTCTCTTCAGGAGTCATTCATCGCGGGTTTTGCCTTGAACAGTATGCTGAAGTCTTGCACAAGCTCATGATCAAGCTCGGCTATGATCAATATGGTATGACCCGAAACGAGCCGGGATGTACCAGCCACACCCGAAACTAACTTCATCACACGTAAAGTGACTCAGGGTGGAGATTGGGGATTTTGGATTACTAGAACCCTCGGTCTATTATACCCCAAGCACTGTAAAGCCTCTCATATCAACATGGTGCTGGCCAAGCCCCCTCGATTCACCGATAACCCATGGTTAGCCCTGCGACACGCATTGCTGCCGTATAATGACCGGGAAAAGTCAGGCCGCGAAAGGAGTCAATGGTTCGAACGTGAAGGTTACGGTTACAACCAGATCCAAAGCACCAGGCCGCAGACCATTGGTGCGGCACTAGAAGATAGCCCTGTTGCCTTGTTGGCTTGGATTTACGAGAAGTTGCACGACTGGACAGACTCATATCCCTGGACCGATGACGAAATTCTAACATGGGTATCTGTCTACTGGTTTTCTGCGGCTGGCCCCGCGGCTAGTGTCCGCATATACTATGAGGCCTTTCACGCGGCGACGGTCAAGAGGAAGTCTTACAAGGAATTGATTGCGTATATCCCGCATGTGAAGCTGGGAATTGCGCACCTCCCTCGTGAAATCTCCGTTATTCCTGGCTCTTGGGCTGCTGGTCTGGGCCCGGTGGTTCAACAGAACGAGCATGCCCGTGGAGGTCACTTCGCCGCTTGGGAGGTTCCCGAATTTATCATCCAGGACTTGCAAGCCATGTTTAGCAAGAATAGTTCTTGCTATGGGGTTGTTTCAGGCAAAGATGGATACTAACTATGTAATGGTTACTCACTATTATTTGCAGTGTCTTCAGTTTGATATTTGGATATATATTATTTCAGTTGGAGTTTTTTTCAAGATAATTTCGTGTGCTTGCGAACTTTACCCGAGGACGGCGAAGACTTCCTCCCTCCCAAAGTTGTGCGCTCATACAACCATGACCCCCAAACTGACCAGTAAAGACAGCAGTACGTAGTACAATGAACGACTTATCACAGTAGCACTGCCAGTCACTGTCTGAAAGGCGATTAGTGACGCATTGTGGCTCGACGCCCCTGGCAGAACCACCTGCGAGGAATTCGCAGCATCCAAACTACCCGTGAATGTGAACTCGAAAGTCACATTTACTTTTGTGTCGGTGTCCGGCCATCGAGAACGACCTTCGAACCCAGCAATTGTCGAGCCGGAGAAATTCAACTCAAGAGTTTCATTCGTCATAGAGCCATTGATGTGTGTTCCAGTGGGCCACACAAAGATAATCTTTCCCAAACTCCTCCTCTCGGAGCATAGACTATCCGGAAGGGAAATCTTCTCACGCCAAAGACCGGTATTGTCATAGAGCGCTGGTTCTAGATGGTCCCTTTCACTGTCTGCCCAGTCTTTCAGATCATAGACCCCGTCAAACAGAATCTTGTTGCGGTTGTCAGCCGCCTGGGTAATGTTGAACAAAACGGCATCCATGGCTTCCTCGACCGAAGTTTCATTGAACAAGTCCACCGTCGTGGTGAGTTGTATGAGATCCGGATCTTCACACAGTGTGTATGAATAATCGATATCCGAGACGCGCACGTTGCTCTCCCAGGCCTTGAAACCCAATGTGAAGGGATTGACGGGTCCAGCAGGGGTGGGAGTTTTGGCACCGACCCACGCAACACCCAACATGCGCATGGACTGTCTACCAACGGGACATTCGATCAAAGATGAACTAACGATATTGTCTTCGGTCAGATTGTTCGGTGGTGTTATGATTGTGTACTTGAGCATGGCTTCGCCTTTGAAGTAGACACCATCCCAGTCGGTTTTAACACTTGCATGACCACGCCGTGGTGCCTGGTTGTATTCGTAGTAATGTGAAGGTTGAAGATTGTCAAAGTTGAGGAGGTGGGTATCAAAGCAGTGGGTTTCGCCCGAGGATGATGATGTTGATGAAGAAGTGTCATCACCATCACTGGAATCGCTGGAGCCACTCGAGCCACTGGAGCTACTGCTGTCGCTGTCGCTGTCGCTATCACTGCTAGAGCCATCGCCACCGCCCTTTCGTGATAATACTTGCGTTGGGACGGCCAGCAAGGCCAACATTGTGAGGAAAGGGCGACGAAGTAACATTGCTCGTAATCGTAAATCAGTACATATGGTATCAAAATAAAATTGTCTGTCAGCTAATCATCCCAAATTGTTCGTCAAGAAGAAGAAAAAGAAAGCCAGGAAAATAAAGAATGCTCCGGTCGAGCCCGAGTTTATGAACACGGGGGGTTTGGGCGTAAAAATGATTAATTTTATGCCCTCGTGAAGTGATGACACGGGATTTATACCTATAGCTGACCCTGAATGCCAAGGTGCCAAGGGATTGAAACGGGACGATGCTCGTGTTCACGGAATAACTATTGGACAGGAAGTCATTAAGTGCCCTTTTCTTGGAGTAACCTACAACTTTAATGGTCGTATTGATCAGGTGTTTGTTTAGGGTTTGGGGCTATGGATTGATCGGATTTAACTTGATGGATCCACGATTTCCGGTGAGAGCTGGTTGCTTCTGATTTCAAACCTCTTAGTAGACTGGAGCCAACTGATGAATATACAGCAGAAGCCACATAATGGCTAAATCGATTGGCATTTTTATCTAGCCTCTGAGGCTCCCTTAAGAAAACCATATCAATGCTCTTTATGCTAACGTGTACTCTAGTAGATATAATTCATACTTAAAGCCGTGCAGTGTGCTTCATCGTATCGCCCACCTAAATCAAGATAGTCTTTCGAAGATGCATTTTTTCTTAAATACAATTCTTTCTAACCATGATTCAGGCAGGCACTTCCTAAGCCGGAACCCCTAAGGTCCTAGATCATAGTAGGCAATGTCTGATATGGTCTAACGATAGTTATGGCTACATACGTAGGTTGCTCTGTATCTTTTAGCATTCTCGATAGAGTTAACAGTTTAGGTAGGCGCCGTCTATCAAAGCTTAGGACCGCTATTAACAATTCCTAGAGCTCAGCGAAGTCTACGACTAGGTATGCCATGTATTTTTATTTGTTTATATGTTCATTTATTTGGCCAACCAGAACGAGATCTCGTTACACTTCGTTCCGTTCCTCTCGATCTAATGGGCTCTATCCACTTCAGCCGCTTTCGCTATTGCTTCAACAGTATACTCATCCGGGTCCCATTTCAGAATCCTGGTTTCTTTCTCCTCCAGCTTCCGAACAACAAGTTCTTCCATCTCCTCTATTTCCTTCTCACCTAGTAGGCCGAGCCTCTCTTTCCAAGCTGTCTCGGGGCTGCTCACAGGACTTTGAGCAGCCCCGAAAAACAAGGGATCAATTTTCTTCCAGTAGATTGCGTCAAATGCGAAACTATTCAACGCTGCGTACACGATCCAGAAATTTCCGCTGTCCCAGCTCCGTTGCATATGGCTAGACAGGCGTTGGTTCTCTTTCATATGACCTTTTTGAATCTCCGTGTCCTCGCGGCTTTTCATCGCTCTAAGAAACATCTTCAAGCGATGATTAAACACAATTTCCCAGTCGTCCATGCCATTTGGCCAAAGCTCGGGCTTTTCGATGAGCAACCACCAAGGCGGTGCGTGGGAGAACTCAACTGGTGCCGCATATGTGAACTCCCAATCTACCACTCTAGCAATTTGCATATTTTCGTGGAGCAGTACATTTCCCGGTCGTAAATCGTCACACTAGACTTTAAAAGGACCTTGTTCGAATGGTAAATCAGTAAGTCGCTTCTCTCTAGCGAGCTTACGAAAAAGCTGTCGCGCCACAAACTTTCGTCGACAGTCATCTGCTGACTCTACAGCATCGTTCCTCTAGTGCACTAGGTGTTCAATATTTAGGTCCGCAAGGGCTTCGAAATAACAAGAAGTTGTACTGAATATAGTGTCGGGAATTTTAGATCGCGGTAGGCTTCCTAGTCGTACCAGTTTATTTATATTCATTGATAAGGGTCGGCGCGATACTTCCCAGGTGAATTCATCGACCTGGGTAAGAGATCCTATACGAGGAAAAGAAATCTTCGACAGCTGAAGTAGAACACCCGCTAGCTGACCATATAAAGACTCAAGCTTATTATCGTCGATGTTTAGATCTAGAATTCTACGTTCCCTTTTCGGGCATCCAGGGGTATTGAGAGCGTCGTATATATTTGTTTTGTGTTCGATGTATTCCATCATAATAAATGGACTTAGTTCAAGGGGGCTTTCCTTCTTCGTGCCCGAGTCAAGAATGAATGGAACAGGTATCGATGTCTGGTCTGTAAGAAATCGCATCGTGGCAACTTCGTTCGCAACTTTTTCCTTAGGGAAAAATACGGCACCGGGCTGGCATAGCCGTATGACAACAGCATGGTTTTTGTACTTCATCCGTAAGGAGATATTATAGGAACCCTTTTCGAGTATAGCAAACTCGGGACCATCACCTCTTTGGCGTTGGAGGATGAACATCGCGATCGGTTTCTTGATGTCAAGTTTCAGGAATTGAAGCAGCCAGTTGTGAGATATTTTCTCGGCAAATTCCCAGGTCATATCATCGGCACACATTAGTGTTTTCATGATTGTGTGTGGAATCTGGATAGAATAGTTTGAAAGTGATAACAATACAGTGAGTGAAGCAGAAGAATTATTGATTGCCTTGGGCCTTTTTGGGTGCGGCTTGGCATCACACGACAATTATTTTTTGCCTAGAAACTCGTTGCATCTCTGCGGCATCCATCAACTTATTCTGCGACTGATAGGATGACCAGCACGTGTTAGCTGACATAATTGATGTGTTAGGAAATAACAAATGAAATTTGACTTACGGAGTACTGTCTTTCCCTTCAATGTTTGCTCCCTCAGTCTAATAATAAACTGTGGGGTAGTTGATGAGCAACCACAGGCGTTTCTTCCGGTTACACTCCCTCAAATTGCCAGAGCTCAGGATTTTCCCTATCTCGTGTGGCTTTATGGATTCATTCTCTCTAGTTAGTTGTTTAAGAGCCACCATCTGACACCGGTCTGAGTGAAGTCTTCATTTTATGACACCGAAAAATGAATACCGGAAGAAAGACCCAATAACACACCCCGCTTCCGACTTTCACGAAAAAGAAAAACTTCCTATCTCGCAGGCAATATTGCGGAATGTTCTTTGCAGTCTAGGAGTGACAATCAATGATCGACTTTTATACCGAACTGCGTGGAACGTCATGAAAGACCTGTCATCAAACGTTTATTGAGGCATGGACATATACATGGTCATATTTACAATGTCTAGCTGTCCAGCAGCACGGGCACCTTCTCAAGCAGATATTCAACTATGGCATCGGGCCCACGCTCGACCTGCAAGCCCTGGGGAATGGCGTGAAGCTTGATATCGGGTCGAACAGAACGAGCGATTTGGTGGATCTGTTGGGCCTCCTCAGAAGACCACATAGAGGCACTGAACTATTCAGGATATTAATGTGGAATTCTAGCTCAGGAATGCTCGAAAATTCTAAGTCAGACTTACCAGAACCTCGGGTTTGTGCTGCTTGACCTTGGCCTCGACTTCGTCGATTTCTGTGCGAGGGTTTGTCAACCGAAATTCCTTTACAATGGCTCTCAATATTCTTACTCTCGCAGTTGTCGACGTGGATTATAGTGTACCGATCGCTCAGAGCCTCGGTGAGGCGGCCGATGAGGCGCTTGGCGCGCTCGGGTGCGGTGTTGACGCTAACCAAGTGGAAGGGACCTTTGGGAGTAGACATGGCGGCGGGATAGGAAGGGTAATTACTTACAAAAACCCGACAGTCGCTGGGGGTTTCATCCTTTTTATTCTCCAAGCTGATATTGGCCGCGCTCGCCACTTCCCCACATTGTGGGATGCTGCCCCTCCGGCTTATACAACACCGGGCTAGACATACTCCGCTATCGGTCTCGATAGTCCGTATTATATTTGGGGGTTCTGCTAGAATCAATCTACTCACTTCCCCTCTTTATTCTCCAATTAATACTGCCATGTCCAAAATCGCATCTACCTTCTCGCGTAAGAACCCTCAAATTGACCATAAATTCCCAACTGACAACAAATAGGGCTGGTGCGCTTTGTCCCCAAATCGAACCCCGCCAAGGTTCTAATCGGAGAGCCCGTCGATCCCAAGCTGGATGTTGGATTGGCTCTCTACCAGGGCAAGGACGTTGCAGTACACCCATTCTCTGGCACTTCAGTCTTAAGTCCTGGCCAGGTGACTGATGCGACGGAGACCATCTCGCGAATTCTATCCCCTTTGGCGCAAAGCGAGGTTGGAACTATTCGCTGCATTGGACTGAACGTGAGCTTTGAACTATGACAAGGAAATTCAAGGAAAGGAAGCTGCTAATGCGCATTACAGTATGTCTCCCATGCCAAGGAGATGGCTCTCCCGATCCCTGAAGTCCCAACATTGTTCATGAAGCCAGCCAGCTCTCTGGCGGATCCTTGGCCTGCGCCAACCGTTCTGCCTAAGATTACGCAGCAGGATAACACCGGTGACTACGAGTCTGAGATGGTTATCGTCATTGGCCGTGATGCTAAGGACGTGTCCGAATCCGAGGCCCTCGACTATGTCCTTGGTTACACGGCTGCAAACGATGTCTCCAGTCGCACTTCCCAGATGAATCAGAGCCAGTGGTCTTTCTCCAAGGGCTTTGATGGCGCATGCCCGATTGGTATGTCCATAAGGCTGGATAGAATGCACAAGAATTTTGCACTGACTCGATATCTATAGGTCCCGTCCTCGCTTCCGCTGCTCTCATCCCCGATGTCAGCAAGCTCCAGATTCGTGGTCTTAAGAACGGAAACGTGATGCAGGGATACTGCCCATTGACGTTAGTTATATTTGCTTCGCATTAATCCTGGTATATAGAATAGCACCTGCTAACATTGAATTTCACCGCAGTGACCTTGTCTTCGGCGTCCCCCAGCTGGTCAGCTTCCTCTCCCAAGGTACCACCTTACCTGCCGGTACAATCATATTGACGGGCACCCCGCCCGGTGTTGGCGCAGCTAAGAACCCGAAGGAATTTATCAAGGCTGGCGACGAGTTCGCCGTTGAGTTGCTGCCCCATGTGGGAACACTTATCAACAAGATCGAGCACCAGTGACGAAATCTAGTATATAAAATGATAGATGTTACTTCTTGAGGCAATATATATCCCTTTATGTATGTTCGTATGCACCAAGATTTGTAGCTGCTGTGGTCACTATTAAATACTAGTTATGCGCCGACGTATCCTTGAATACACGGCACAGTCAATAAAGCCACCAACGACTATCAGATAGGACTGGATATATTTAATTCCTGGCCCAAGCCACAAAGGTAAGGGGAATCGCGTAGCTTTGACCAATCACAGAGCTCCACCGGATATAAACTCTTCCCTGGTCGGAGTAAATCTCTCCCGCCACATCGCCCTATATTGTATACAACATCGATCCTTTACTGGGCAACTTTATTGTAGAGGGCTAACGTGCCCAGAAAAGAGCAAAGATGTGCCAATGGGTGAGCTGGATCCATGGATTCGATGCTTATAGACTTAGCAGAGATTCCTCTTACTGATGAAATGTTACTATCATGGTCATGGTATAACGTATCCTATACTAGAACAGTATAACTAGTCCTGAGATCACCTTCCCGCATTTCCTTCTATGTAGTAGTCGGCTGGAAACATTTAGCCAGAACCGCAAGCCGAACTATATACCCGGTAGTTGTTAATTGTCTGATAGGGCCCGTGGGCCTTGTTGACCCGCGATGGGTCGATTTCAGCGCCACAGGATTATACCGGGTCGGTGTCCCGAGCTATCCCCGTTAAGAGTGATTTGCTTTAAAGACGGTCTGCGGCCTTTTTTTGGGAAGAGATTTTTGCTGGATTTTCGATTGTTGAGTCAAAATCTTCTCTCTCATTTTTCTTCATTTCTTTACATGGATGTTGTTGCTGCTAGGGCTGTCAAAGTTTTATGCCTCCACTCCATACACATTCCTATAGATGGTGATATGAGTTATTCAACAGAACTCAACCAATCTTCTTGATGTTACTGTTATAGGTTGACTACAGATATATCCTGTCGCCGATTAAATCTCTTTGAAGAATCATGCAATTCATGAGTCAAGCTATATACTGTCCGGAACTACCTTGCCGTGGTCGATGCCGACACCGATGCCGATGCCGAATCTTCATCTAACGAACCCGAACCCGAACCCGATCACTCTATCACTCTATCGTACCCATTTACCCCCGATGCTCTAAAAACCCAAACCGACACAACGATAACGAAACGCGTGAACCCGAAACACCGAAATTGAAATTGAAGTTGATTTCTATTCTGGTCCATTTACTCCTCGCTACGCCAAATCTTACCCCGCCAGTGCAGGAAGATGGTGGGAATAACACTGACGACGATAACCATCGCCGACCCAATGCCCGCGCTAGGTGCAATACCGACAGTCTCGAACATGGGAGCAAACCTAAGCTAAGGTTAGCAACGACCCTTACAAAACAAAACGAAGAGAAAGAAAACATACCAGAAAGGACCAAGGAAACCCCAAATCTGTCGGACAAACGTGATGAACACACCGATGTTACCAGCTTCCTGCGGGAAGCAATCGATAGCATAGGTGATCATCACCGTGGTAACAAGCTGGTTCCCGACAGCGCCAATAGCAGTACCGATAATGGGCGTGACGTTCCAGTGTCCACTGGGTGATTCCTGCGTGCAGACCAGGAAGACAATTATACCGATGATGGTGAGCGCGAAACCGAAGTAGCTGAGCCATAGACGGAATTCTGGCTCGGCCTTACGGTTGATGCGTCGGCTGCGTCGGCTCATCCAGAAGTCTGATAGCACGCCGCCCATTTGCTCGCCGATTACGGAACCTATGATCGCACCTAGGAACTGCATGCCTAGCTGTTCGGCATTGAGCTCGAACTTCTCCTGGAGGAGTTGGGGAATCTCGACAGTTGCGAGAACGTTACCGAAGAGGAAGACCATGGCGTATGCGCATGCTGGGATGAGGATTGACGGGTGTCGAGCCATTGTCAGTGGGCTAATAAACTCGAACCATGAGAACGGTGTGGGGTCGATCCGTCGCAGTGACATGTACTCGATCTTCCTTGTTGACTCCTTGTTGTCGATGCCGGTGTCCAGATAACGGGTTTCGGGGCCGAAGAACAGATACAAGATGAATTGGCCGCCGTTGATCTTTAGATTTGTAAGCTCATGAACAAGGTTATTGACTACTATGGAGATGGGAAGGGAACTTACCATTGCGAGGATCCAGTAGATCCAGTGATAACCAACACGGTAGCTGACGAAGCCGAAGATGAAAGGCCCAACCGGGACACCCAGGGTGATCATCAGTGTCCAAACGCCCATATAACGGGCACGGTCTTTCTTAAAGGTTGTCTCCATCACGACCGCACTGCCAATGGCAGAGGCGGGCGAGATGAAAAAGGCCACGAGGGCCCGACAAGCAGCCAGAGAAGCATACGTGGTGCTCTTTGCACACCCGATATTACACACGAGACTGCATATGAGGGAGAGGAGGAAGATAGGCCGACGCCCGTACCGATTGGACAGCGGTTTCCAGAACAGAGGAGCACCTCCAAGGATGGCAATTTGCAAAGAGGTCAAGTAACTAGCATCTTGCATTCCGACACCCATTTCTTTGGAGATGTCTGAATAGGCAGGGATGATGCCGGCGGCGGTGAAGGTGCCCATACAAGCGTGGAACGCCACAAGGATAAGATTAATCATTTTCTGCGCGTTGGTACATCAGTCTTCTGTTCGGCCATTCCTTTTGTCTCGTTTCAAGATTATTGTCGATGAAGTCATCTTGTAGCAGGGAGAATATTGACTTACCTTCCACTCTGGCCAGTTGTAAGGGTCAGCTGGACTCATTCCGGGGACAGGGTCAAGCTCCAGAGTCCCGTGTCGCTCCATCAGATAGTCTCTGTGTGCCTTTGGCAGATGAGCAGTCATTGACTCGGCGTAATTGGCTGCCCGTCCATGTCCTGCACTCTCAATGAGATCGATGTCGGTTTTCGTTCCTGGCACCTCGATCTCGTCTCGACGGGACGAGCTCTTTTGCAACTCCAAGGAAGCCATGGTGCTTGCGTTGTTCCTCGATGAGAAGTGGAGAAACACTCAAAGGCTCGAATTACCCTCGATCTATGACCCGAGGTGGTGTGTTGATTGTGGTGAGAATAGGAGAAAGTTTGTGGGAGTATTGAATGGGAGGACTACAGGAAACAATATTTCAAGTTGGGTCAGTTGGGGCATCCAGGACAAACAATAATGATGACAGATCTGGGACTTCTGTACCTACCTAGGTATCTCGGCTGGGGACATGAAATCAGTGAGGGACTGGTGAAAAATGCCGGAGTGAGTGGGTATAACCAAGACGCTAAACCCACGGCGTTCACCCAGTCGGACCTCCCCTGCGCCTGGGGGGGAGGTATTCCCCGGAGTTCTCGGCTCTGTTGCGGGTCCTTCGGGAGGAAATAGAACGAAAATGAGGAGAAAATGGAGGGAAAATGCGGAGTCACTCCACGGTTCCTGATTGGAAAGCGTCGATACCGACCAGTCAAGATGCGGCTAAATAGACTGTTGTCATGGGATCGTGCAAATGGAATCGCCATGGCACTTGAACACGGCTACCCGATGAAGCCTTTTAGTATGCAAGTACGGCTCCCATCCCGAGCCAAGTACCGACACACTTTGCATTTTGACGTCTTGGCGCAATTTCCTTAGGATCGAGCTATTTGTTTCGCTACTTTCACCATTCGGCTGTGGAACTTTTAATCGGGACGGCATTTCTAATTCTACCTGCAAGCCGCGCCTAAGACGTATTTGATGAGATTTGGCCGTTGGGTCTAAGCATAATAGCCACACTTCCTTGGCTGTATTGCCACGGCGCCTTGTTTTCGCTTGAACGCTTGGACGCTTGAACGCTTCTAAGGATAGTTGACTTGATTTCAAACACCCCTTAGTTGCTTGAACTTCAATCTTATTCACTTAGAGTAAAAAAATATACAATTGAACCTGATCTTTGTAACTACCTACCAACAACATAGTCTAATCCCGGGGCAGGCCAAATATAATTCCGTGGTCGCACAAGCACCTGGGCAAGTTCACGGGTCTACGGGTGCCCGGGTGCCACACCCCACAATCTCCTCTCCACAATCTACTTTCGTGCTGTTTCTTCCTTCTCCTCGGCAAAAATGGCGTCAATGAGGACCATGACAGCACTACCTCCGCTGTCAGGAGGCAAGAAACTGATTTGTCGAGTATGCCAAAAAGCATTCTCCAAGGCCGAACACTTGAGGGTAAGTAGACTTCGTAGACTTCCAAGGTTGGCTTCAAATCCAGCTTCTCTACGAAAGAGGGACCGGTAAGTGACACGAGATAACTAACGGGTCGTTACACATAGAGACATGAGCGGTGCCGTATGTTCTAATTTTATCAGACCCACTGGTCCTTTTTGATCCCTGCACAAAGTTCAACAAGAGTGACCCACCCAGCTGACCGGAAGACTTAGATACGGGATCCAAGCCATATGTCTGCAAAGAATGTCGAAGGCCGTTTGCCCGACAAGATGCTCTTACCCGACACGAAAAGCTCCATGCTCGTGCCGTAAATTTAAAGAATGACTCCTCGGATGCACACTTGCCGCCGCAGCCTACCTCTTTGGATTCTCTCCCTTCGTGGGATACAAGTAGTGCGTCTACTGCTGATCCAGCGTCAACTTCAGCAACAAGTCACTCTTGGGATGAAACGCATCCTGGAAATCACAGGGGTATGCATAATGTTGCCTCGGAGCTGGACTTCGCGTTGGTCTGGCCTGATTCGGAAAACTTGTTTCAGACCTTGATGTCCTCAGATTCGACAGACCAATGGCAGATGCCGCTTGGTACCTTGCCATTTGCGCCTGTTGTGCAGGATATCAATGGTATGATCTTCGGGTCTCCGAATTTATTCGATGACCATAGTTCTTCTGTCGGGACAATACCATCCGGTGGAGGGCACCAGGCAGTGCGGGATGTCACAGAGATGGTGACTAGCTCGGTGAGTTGCACTTTGCATTCTGTCAGACGAGGAAATTGAGGTTTTTAAAACCGTCGATCAACACAGATTGAACCTAGATTCGAGCGCAGCTGACATCTCGTTATACTAGTCATTCAGTGTTACCGCCGCCGTCAAAGCTACGTCCATCACTTCTGTATTCCTCGACGAATGTCTTCATATGTTCTTCATCCGATTCATCCCCACGTTCCCAATCCTACATCGTGCAACTTTCGTTTTCCGACAATGCACACACGCTCTCCTCCTTAATGCCATCGCCATCGGCTCTTTGTACTTAGGCCCCAAGGACTCGGTTGCAAAAGGCGAAGCCTTATGGCACTTAGCGCATACCGCACTTTCAACTTCATGGCAGTCCATGATCACACATAACGGCACCTATGATGCGTGCAACGGCGTTCAGTTGATGCTCACAGCCCTACTGGGTCAAATTTATGGGGCGCTATCCAAGAACCGGGCAATCCGAACCACCAGCCAGGTCTTCCACCCACTGGGCTTCTTATGGGCAAGACACTGCGGCATGTATGACAGCGAGCCATACTCAATGGACAACCTGCCCTCGATCGATGCCCCCGCTGCAGAAAAGGAACACCAGTGGCGAATCTGGTCTGCGCGGGAGATCCAGCAACGCACCCTACTAGCGTACTACGTCCTGGACGGACTTTTGGCTCAAACATCGAGCGACGGTGCCTCTTCTCGCCATGTGGCAAACCCACTCAGCCTCCCGAGTAGCGAGGAAGCCTTTGATGCGAGCACTGCCGATGAATGGTTGGCTCATATGCATGCCCAAAAGCCGGACCAGTCCTCATTCAGGACGATTTTTCGCTCCCTCTTCCCACCAGTTGGTAACTTCCGCCCTCTTGAATACAAATTCTCCACTTTCGCACTGCGTGTGGTGCTCGAAGGGCTCCATTCTCTAATCTCCGACTTTGATGATAATGAACTAGCTGTGGGAGTTCCTAGCCAATCAGACGTCCGGCGAGCCTTAGCTCAAGTCTACGAGACCATATCCATGAGCATCCACTTCACCGCAGCGGAAAGACTCGAAATTCTCCTGCGCTGGCACACGGTCTGTCTAGATACAATGATAAACTCGGCCATCCTCTCTCGCCACGTCTGCTTGCGCTACAACATTATCCAGCACGTCTCCGGTGGAGGCGGAATCGTCCGCCCGGGCTTCGATATAGTCAAATGGGCTAATTCAGAAGATGCGCGGCGGGCCGTCCTCCACGCGGTCGCTATCCAAGATATTGTAGAACAATTACCACGTGGCCGCGCGCATGTCGTGCACATGCCCAGCTCACTGTTCGCAGCGGCGACAATATACGTCGTTCTTTCACTTGCAGGAGTGGCCACTGTGAATTTACCTCGAAACATTGTTTGGCAAGACGCTTTGCTGTTCCATTCGGATCTCAACTTGGGCCACGATGATATCCGGCCATTATCTGGCTCGGAGACAAAGCGCTTTGTTGAGAATGGAAATGGGACTTCCTCACTTTCACTTCCTATCGGTGGTGCTGTGAGGAATCTGCTTTATGAACTCAACTCTATGCAAAAGCTTTTCCGGTGTTTGTCTTCGCAGTGGGGTATTGCGCATGACATGGAAGATATCATTGCGCAATGGATTCAGCTCTGTCATTAGGTGATCCGACTAGACAAGTTGATTGTTTAACCACACAGAACTTTGAAATTTGGTCGTCTTCGGCGTTTATTATGGTAGTGTTTTGCGTGCTGTGTAACCAGGGATTGATGATAGCCTTCACACTGAATGAATATCCAAATTTAATAACGTCCTAAATGCTGATATATACAATGTTTGTTCACATATTCTCCAGCTAATCGAAGATAGTGTTCACATTCTGTGTAGAACTGCTTTGACTTCTTGGCGAACACTACTGGTTCATGTGGGCCAATTTCCTTGCCAGTCGACATCTATCTAGCCCGAGACCTGCAACACCCATCATGACTGGAAAATACACCCGAGGTTGTCGACAGAACTACTGGTATTACAAATCCAGCTCCTGGCTCGGGTGAGCGGCCGCTGTAGATAGGTCAGTAGAGGAACCTCAAATAGCAACTCACCCAAGGCTATAGCTAGCAAAAGACGGTCTGTTGTAGTTGATTTAGGGTTGTGGTCCGTCCACGTGGTTCACGTGCTCTGTCATCCATGCACGGTTGCCCTTTGCCCTAGTTTCTTGTATAGGGAGAACTAGATTGTCCAGTATTGCAAGGTATTTCAATTCATTGTTCTGAGTTTCAAATGAACAAATTCTTGTGCTTATTGTTTAGCCTCATTTTGACTCGCAATGTTGACGAATGGATCTCAGACAAAAGAACAACAAAACCTCATCACGTGCGCACACAGAACACGGGATAGACCTCGGGACGGGACGCGACGCACCACCAACCTCTCCGACCCACTGCTAGTGTCATCCGCTGACATTCTTAATCTCCTTGATCTGTGGGTCCAACTGTGTGCTATCCGTTTAAACTCAAGCCAAGTCATCCAACTCAGTGGCAGCGTGGCGTCCCATGCCAAACAAGACCAGATGATCATCAATCAAAACTAAGACCCCACAACTTGGAGTTGGTTCCAGCGATGCCCCCAATGGATCTTGCGTCCGCCGGGGGACCAAGCTCAGCGATATAGTGATCGATCGCCGTCCTTTGACAGGCCGCGGCAAGAAGCTTACTCTTGCGCAAGAAGGTGTTCTCAGGAGGCTCTATGAACAAGAATTGCCCTCAGTATCCAATGGTGAGCTGCCAGCGAAAGGGTTCTGGATGAATCTCGCGTCGCAGTTTCGCGAGCAGACCGGTCGGGAGTATTCGTGGTTGTCTGTGAAGCGGCGGGCTGCAAGTTGGGGTCGGAAATCTGTAGAAATTGGCCGGCAACTGGATACCTCTAGTGCGAGTCAGCTCGGTATTCAGAATTCGGTACCTGGACCTAGTCATCAAGAAATTGCTCATGAGTCCCCACCCCAGGAGGGTTCAGACAACAGCGAACAACCCACGATATCACAAACAAAGCCTTCACCGTACCCTCAGGATTCGAAGACCCCGGAATCGTCTCAACTTGAAAGAAGCCTTGGTATCGGGGACTGGTTGCAGCGCAGTTGGGTTTCAGGTGGCCCAGACCCAAGCCCAGACCCAAGCCAAGACACCAGTGGGAACCACAGATCCCCGCGCTTGTCCCAACCCCGGCCCCGATCAAGATCGCCCCAACGTGTATCGCAGCTCAGAGATCGCCGTCGATCTCCTTCACCGACGAGACGCACCAAGGCTATCTCCAGACGGTTGCATGACCAGCTGGCGTCTTCCTCCAATGGAATAGTTGCGTCTGGCCCCAACCCTTTGTCTGGCTCTTCCTCAGCCTATGAACGTGTGCAGTTCAGCCATCTGAGTAAACGAAACCCCCCTGGATTCAACCGTATCCGCAAGAGGACGGAGAAAGATGAGCCTGAAACCCCTGAGAGTCGCCGTACTGATTCAGAAAGATCTAAACCCGAAGAAAATAACGTTAGCAACGGTCTTCCTGTGTCGCCGCACTTATCTGACCAAGATGACTTACCGCTGGCTCCAACTCGGATCTTGAGAAGGCGTGCAAAATGAACGAACCTGCAAACGTCCACGGAATAACGGAAAGCACGGAGATAATATCAAGTTGCACATGAATGTTGCTTAGGCATCAAAGCGGTGTGCCTGAGGATCCAAATGAGAAACTGCATCCTCCTGTCATGTCATTGCACTAGTTATATCGGAACCTGGTCTATCTGAGCGTAATGCTCAGATATAATGGTCTTTTGGCCGAATGTGTAACTCGCCAGTCCAGGGGCGGGTTATAACAATCCTTAATACGAATAAACCTGTCTTTCTAAAATGGACCGGTCCGGTCCGGTCGCCCTATCCCTAAGTTTGCAGTATGCTTGACCACAAGGCAGCGCAGATTATTTGAGCGTCATCGTTTGTCTCGTTTGAATAACTACAATGCGCGACGACAAATCCCATCGGTCTGATACATTTAAAATGTTTGCCTGTCTCTTCCCTCTTTCCTCTTCCTCTTCCCCTTCTTCTACTCAAGTTACTCAAAAGATTTCTTGATCTGAACACGCATTGACCCATACCAAACATCAAGTTTACATCTACATCTTACCATACCATTACCACGAACTATTTAAACTGCCCAAGATGGGAAAGGTTAAGTGGGATTCCAATGCAGACCAGACTGTGAGTTCTTTTTTCACTTTCCCGTTGCTTTTTATTTCAATCCAATTGTCCGAGCCCAATTGATCAACCTACACCGGCTATCTCAGTTTGCCCTAGCTTTTGAACTATATCTGGCTGGGCAAACCTGCAACAAGCTTCATGCACTACCACACAAAATCTCTTTGATATTGATCTCTGCTTGGAGGTCGCCATCATTTTATGTTTCCAAGTTTTCATTTGGGTCGCAAATTTCGTTTACTGTTCCATATTTTCTTCAACCTCCCTCCCTCACCCTGTGTTCATGGATCCCGCTCAAGCCTGACTATGACAACTATGACTAACGAATCTCATCTGATATAGCTCCTTGCCAAAATCCTGGAGACCCATGAACTGAGCGTCGATGCGACTCGTGTTGCCGAGGCCTGGCGTAAGTTCTCCGTTTCACAGTCACTACAGAAACCTGTGATCGCCGAAAATAGTCACTCTAACAATTCTTTAGCCACTCAAGACGGTGGCCACAAGCCAACCCCTCGTGCAATCAAGGAACGACTTGCCCGAATCAAGGAGAACGTTCGACTCGGCAACGCCGCTGGCTCCGGGCCCTCTAGCCCAGTGACCCCAAGAAAGCCAACGCCGCGCAAGAAGGCAAGCGAGAACGCCGCTGCTGCTGGCCCTTCCCGCAAGCGTAAGCGGGTCGCCAAGGAAACAGAGGACATGCCTGGGCCTAGCAATGAGCCTCTTGCTGAGCCGGCTATCAAAAAGGAAGCCGGTCTTGACGTTATCGACCCTCTCCTTCTGTCGCAGGTCGAGGACGAATCTCCCAATGCCGACAACGGAAACAACGACCCTGAATGGACTGAGTTCAATGGTGAGGTCGCTGATTCGGACTCTGACCAGCTGCCCAAGTAACTCAACGGTCGTTCGGAAGGGAGTTCATGTTAGTCGCCTACAATTTCGGCGGTTTGAAGAAGTCCAATGATGATCAATATTCAACTTGGTGTTTTCCTGTTGGGTCGTGTTGGGTGCTTTGTTGTTCCCCAACCCTCCCGGTCGTTCAGAGAAACAGGAAAATCATCCAGGTTGACGGAGAATTGTTTTTATTTCCACCGTGAGGTGATGAGAAAAATTAGCAAAAAATAAAAAAAAAAGGAATTGCCGGTGCCCATTTGTCTGGATTGCACCGAGGTACTTAGTTCAATTGACAAGCCACTCCCCACGTTTACCTTGTATTCCATTTTTGCCATACGGAGCTAAAAGAAGATTTTGGGGATCAATAACGGTCTTTATTTCGATAAAAGAGACTCGACTACTCGAGCTCACTGCCATTAGTCACAGACCCATCTGATAATAACCCCTTGTAAATTGTTCCATTGCATATCTCAATATTCCTCCCTGTTGTGAGATTCTGAAAAATTCCCCCGATAAAACCCGGATACCATCAGCATCTTGACACCTTCACCATGTCGACGCAGTGCGGTTCGGTTGTGAAAAGAAGAAGAGCGCGGTGATGGCGCTTAGATATCGGAGGAATCTTCCTCCGCCTTGATGGAGTCGGAGCTAAGGAGAGAACTGGGTCAACCAAATTAGCACTGTGGACTTCTGTATGTATCGTCACAATTGCCAGAGACTTACTCCTTGATTTCCTCGTGCTTGATCTTGGGCTTCTTAGCCTTCCTGGCCTTCACGCCCTCAGTCTGGTTTTCCCCATCCTTGGAAGCTCCGCCTTCTCCACCGGACTCGGCATCAGCGTCCTTGGCCTTGCCAGCAGTGGCCTTGTCAGACTTCTTCGGAGTGCGCTGACGCTTCTTTGCAACAGGCGAGACAGACGAAGAACCCTCATGGCCCTCCTCAGCCTTAGCCCGAAGACGAGCGATTCGGTGACGGAGAGCGGAGACGGTGACTCCTATATTGGTTTAGTATCGTGATTGTATCAGTTTGGAAAACAGGTTGAAAAGGACATAAGAGATTGGAATGGGTTTTCAGATCAAATTGTGCATGGTACACAGCAAACAGGCGACGATCGGTGGGTCATGCACAACAAAGAAGGAGTATATAGTTCAGGCGAAGTGCATAAGCAGATGAAACATGTATGTGTGAATAGGAGCATACATTTGTAGGCAGGTGATTTATACAGATAAAGCACAAGATAAAGGGTGGAGGCTATGGTCAGGGTTCGGTATTAAAAGTGCATATGAGAGAGATATAGGGGGGTTCTCCGTGTAGGACTAACCGTCACCCATGTACTCGGCGAGAGCATTGAAATCGATGGAGCTGGGGCTGATAGCAATTATGCCAGCCAGTAACTAAATAGAATGATGGTTAGTTGTTGCGACTTGTTGAGACTTGACAAAGATGGTAGAATATCTAGGCCAATATTGGAAAAGGAAAAAGGAATGTGAAAGTGCGTTGGATGTATAACATATCCGCCACATGTCACCCGCGCAGGATAAGGACAAATCGTGCAGTGAAAATCACACTGGACCAATGCAATCTGATCTTCAGTCCAATCTTTATCCTGCGCGGGGCAGGCAGCGATATTCATCATGCGAGTAACGCGAGTAACGTCAATCACCCAGGATATCAGGGATGGGAGACAATGACAGACAGATTATAAACGTACCTTGGCATCGGCCTTCTCATTCCAGGTGATCGTCATTGTTGCTTTGGCGATCAAACGAGCTAGAGCAGACGGTATCAGTATCCATGTGGACCAAAGTGACGAGTAGGCTAAGAACAGGAACAAAGGGTACCGTAACTTGATGTATATTCTGCTCGTAGAGGGTGAATTGGAAATTAATGCACCTGTTGGTTCGGTATGTGTAATTGGACGTGGTTATGAATAAGATGAGTGATGTTGAGTGAGAGAAGAAGAAAAAGAAAAGGTGGGAGAAGAAGCGATCAAGAAGCGATCGAGATCGATCGAGAGTCGATCGAGACGACCCAAGAGTCGATCATGAGTCGATCAAGACAACCCACGATCTTTAAATATCGATGGTCCGCCAAATGCACAAAGAAGTCACCCACTGCTTCCTTATTTTCATAAGCGTCGATACAAATCTATGTAGGTTAACCCGAGTTAGGGTTAGATCTACGCTTTATTATATATGCTATCACCCAAGATACAAAGCGAAGTATATATACGGGATCTAACAGGCGCATACACGGGATAGTATAAGCAAACAGCAAACAACTTTCAAGGAACGAGCCTACAAAGCGTGTCTTGTTCTAGAACAGAGAAATAAAAGGCAACAAATTAGGTCACTGTTGGTTGAACCTCCTGAAGAACTGCCTCCAATAATGGTGATACATGTATTTATATGGTGTGAATTGCTTTATCTTTATTGGTAGCAAACCAGTCACCAGTCCCAAAAGTGGTGATGCATGAGTTTTTTTAACTAGCGTGATAGACAACTTTGCGTTTAGGTCCGAGGTCATAGTAATTCAGGTATCTTGGTCCTTTTTCCACAAAAGTCTGGAATTCAGGCCATGGCTATGACACAGCATGAACCAGTTTATTCCATGCTGAGATGGCTTAGGAGAGCTACTGCAATTACATGAACCTGAATTCCTTTCAGAAACGAGTATTCATAAAAGATTTGCTGCCTTTGAAAGCAAGAATAACAAGGTACAAGATAGACCTAGTCTAAAGGCCAAACGATCTCATCCCTCATTATGTCTCAGCAACCCCTTCAATGTCTGGACGATAGTCATTCTCTCCCAACCGATGTCACCTAAGAAGGGGAAGCTCTTAGAGCTTGCGCTGCTTAGTAGGACTGGAGGCGGATTCATCCCCTTGCTCATCCTGGCTCTCGACAACGGTGTCGTTTTCCTTTTCAGACTGGGCGACCGACGCAGTCTTGCGCTTGCCGGTGGTTTTGGTAGACTTGCGGCCACGGCCAGTGGGGTTGTCGGTATTGTCCTTGGTAGGAGATTTCGCGGAGGTTCCTTCATTACGGTTTTTCAGACTGTAAAGATGCTGTTTCACAGCTGCAGTGCTGTCGCCTATACATCGTCAGATAAGTTCATTTAATAGCGAGGTAGGATAGAGAGCTCATGGGGGAAAAGGATAGAAGTTGGGGATGATTGACGTGACAGCTTTGGTATAAAGCCCTTGTACTCACCCTCTCCTATGGCTTTAGCAATCGCGGAATAGTTCAGGGGAGAATGGACGGCTAGGATAGCCACAAGCAACTACCAATCATCAGTCATTGACATTGACAACAAGACCATACCAATATGAGTAACAAAGGGTCAATTAAGGTGAGAATAGTCCAGGAACTACCATCCCAGGGGATGTTGTTAGTGTCCCATAAAATGAGAAAGCTTACCTGCTTGTCTCTCTGGTGACTCCAGGTACTAGTCATTTTGATAACGAAATGAGTTGGGGGGGATGATTTGGGGATACGAGGATAAGGGTGAGGTGAGGTTATAGAAAGGTGAAGTGGAGAGAAATGACAGAACGTCAAAAGTCATCGTCTTATGTCGTTTGTCAATTTTCTCGGCGCGGGCACTAATTAATGGAATATTCAGATGAACCTAATACCGGAGTTCGTGTGATCATTGTAGCCGTAATGCATTAATGCATTCAGGACAAGGAATTTGTGGTAGTTAAAGCGAATGTTCTTTGGCACAAAACTCAATTGAAGTAACAAATTAACAACCCGGGAATCTATACTGAAACACAAACAATGACAAAGATAAACATGTTCAAAGAAGCCGCTCAAAAGATGAAATCATGTACTGAGTCCCCGTTTACCATAACGATGAACATAGACAACAATCAATGCCTACAACTGTCCAGCAGAAGGCGGTGTCGACGTCCACGGCCCACTAACAAAGTGCGACTCCGAATGTCTCCCTGTCTCCCCGGATGAGCTTTTGACATGCTCACGGTAATGACTCGGCTGCTGGTGAGGAACTTGATGAACAGGTGCTGTTTCAGGGAATCCCGTCGGCCCACCGCTAGGACCAAATTGATGCTGATTCTGCGAAACGTATTGGTTGAAATTCACTTGCGGCATTGGGTTGTGATATTGCTGATGGCCTTGGGCAAGGTTTGCTTGGTGTGATCCTGGCAGTTTCCGTATCATGTGCTGCTGTTGATATTGACTCTGTACATGTTGCAGTGGCGAGAACCCCTGTAGAGCAGGGTCTGCGGGGGGATGTTGCGAATGAAAACGTGGGTCGTGCTGGCCTTGTCCGAATCTACCTTGGTCAACCATGGAGTGCGGTAAATTGTTGGAGAAGCTCTCCGTGGAAGTTTGGTAAGGCTGCCCTTCCCGGACAAGAGAAGCATTCGAGGTACGGCGAGCAAATTCTCCCGAAGACGGTTCCGCATTCTGGTTGGATGAGTAAGACCCAAAGAAGGGCTTAGACATGGTTGATGGGCGTAAGTTCATCGGGACACCCTCACCAGAGGCATTCGAATGACCTTGTTGTGATTCCGGTTGCCACCGTGGTTGGGAATCGGAAGCCCCATCAATTGACCTTGCCATTTGGTCCTGTGAGTTGCTGCTTATTGTCCACGATGCTGGTGGCTGGTGGCCATGCAATCCAGCAGGATCAGCGGAAAATCCCTGAAAGGATTGTGTATGTTGCGTCATGTTATAACCGTTTGGATGTCCCTGGTAAGTACCTGGATTATTACCCCAAGCTGATGAGATACTTTGGCCCATATGGTGTGGACCCGTGATTTCATAACCTGGGTGTGTCTGGCTCCCATAAAATGCCGACTGAAGACCAGCCATCTGCCCAACAGGGCCCTGCTGCAACGAATTCTAGAATCAAATAAGCACCACAACCAATCAGCATATCGGAGACTGGAACATTTAAACATACCGGGCAATATCCGGCTGCGTTTGCAGCCAGCTGCTGCTCATATCCGCCGGGGAAGTGTTGACCCGTTTGATTCGAATACCAACCCGGTACCCCGGAAGACCCATAAGTTGGATTGTCCGACTGCCCATATAACTGGGAGCCAAGGGAGCTCTATCCCATTATCAGTGCCATTCTTGCAATGCTTACGCAGACATAATGAGCGCGATTCCCTACGGAAATTCTCGCACTGTCCGCCGCAGAGTACGTCCCGCCTGCCATTGTGTCCGTGGACTCCACCGCTCGAGTGCTGCCGCTTGTCGGATGCGATGTTGGCTCCCGTGATGGGCCTGCGCCGATCGGAATCGGCGTCGTTGATGGGGTCAGGACGATCGGCTCGGTTGGAATCTCCCATTGCGACTTCCCGGTTGTCCGCTGTACGTAATACCATTTCCGTCCGACACCTTCCCATTGAGGTAGCCTATCGGATGTTACTGTTAGGATGCAGTAGGTTCTTTGGTCTTCGGGTTTGACTTACCAGCCTTCCGGAAGTTGAGGTGGTGGGGAGGATGGGCCTGCAGTGTCCGCAGGAGCCTCAGGGGCCATCTCGGACTTAACACGATCCAGCCGATGTCAAAATGTCAAAAGGAAAAGTTCAAGACATCCAAATTCTGGATCTAAACGGATCAAATGCAAATATACATGGAAAAGAGGGGAGGAATACACAGATGTGAGGTTCAACGAGACTCGCCGAGGAAGACGATCTTGTGGGGCTTGGCCTTTGATCGCCGTGCACGGACCCCAGTCAACACCGCCAACTGCGAAGTTGTGATTGACCATTAGTCCTATATAGTAGCTCTGTTGGAGCTATAGCTGACAGCAGTTAGGTGAACTATATCAGCCATTTCCTCTTCACGAATTGCTCATCCCGACACTCCAGAAAACAGCACAGATAGCCGAAAAGGGAAGCGTGCGTATTGTGAATGTATATAGCGACGGGCACGCCAAGTCGCACCCAAGGAGGGCAAAACTAGCTGCCAACCCAGCTGCCAAACCAGGTGCAAGTGTCTGTTCCAGTACCACCAGGAGCAATAAATGGAGGCTGCAGGCTCGCTGCTCGGTATGTACAACTGGTTCCTATTCTAAAGGTAACCCCAGTCAGTCATGATTTGTAGTCCAATGATGGCCTTAGCCGTTTCACTCGGTATCCCGAGCATCCTGTATGTACCTTAGACAACGGGTGCACTTTGGAATGATGCGATCATATCTACATTTATGCACCTGACACCGTAAACATGCATTTCTCCGCACTAAATCGTTTCTCATAAAACGTTAAGATTAATTGTAGGGCAATATCGAATAATAGCTCATGTTTATCCTCCTCCCGGGTGAATAGAAACCCCAACGCCAGATCCTAGAAACATATCGGCATAAAAGGAAAAAGAACATACCCGTCTAGGCGCATCATAGAGCAACGATAGACGGGATGGTTACAAATACAAAAGATACTGCCGTTGGGAAACCGCCATAGCTTATTGCCCCAAATTTCCAAGGACTGGCTAGAAGTCATCGCCAGCCCAGTCCTCGTCGCCACTGAGTTCATCGTCAAGGAAATCATTTTCGTTGAATTGCAACTCAGTCGGTCGCTGGTTGTCGATTCGAATGTTCACAATATCACACATTGCTTGTATCTTCCCGGCTTCGGGCTGCGGAATCCCCACTGACGAAGAACCACCAGTAGCATCGTCGGTTTCATTGGACTTTTGATGTGCCAGCCGAGTGCTTTGGCGTTTGGAGGAAGTCGACGGTCCACTGTCAGCCGTGGATGGTCGTGAATCATTAATTCCTGCACCAAGTTCACCCGGGTCATTCCTTGCGATGAGTGTGGTGGGCTTGAGGGGGCGCTTCTGGAGGGAGCGGAGGTTGGGATCTGGTGGCATGCTTCGTCGGAGGAAAACTTTTTCGAGCAGACCGATCCATCGCTCACGAAAAGTGGCACGGTCACGCCAGCCAATCTTCAGGATTGCACTGATGACCAATCGACGTAGGTCACGAAGTTGTGAAGCCGCATTCACTAACGAAGTGAAAAACACCTCTGCAGTGGCGTCATCCCATTTGCGCAGCTGGGTGAGCTCAATTTCTTGGAGCTTTACTGGCCACGTCGGAACTTCGGTTTGAACAAGTAGATCTTCAAAGTGTGGCTCAACGTCATGGTAACTGGACGCATCATGCATGGAAAGGTCCATTTTGAAAACTTCGAGATTCTCACAGCACTGACCCAAAGTCTGGATGAAAGACATGTTGAGATGGCGATTATGGCTTAGACTCAGCTCTCGGAGGTTGCTGCCGTGTAAGGACATGTAGGCGGTGAGATCTGATGACCACAATCGATCACAGTTGTTCAGAGTGAGCGAACGGAGGGTATTTGGTAGACTAGCCAAAATCTCCCCGCTAACCAATGAGCTTTCAATAAAATCCAGTCGCTGAAGCTCTGGAAGCATATCGAGGGCTTCAAGGAGGCCAGCCTCTTTGGCAGCGGACGTTTCTTCATCGGAATTATCGAAGTGGAGCAACTTCAGCTCCCTGAGACCTTGAAAGGCGCGCTGCGAGTGCATTTCCACCATCAATTCGACAAGGTTATCAGTTTCTAGGAAGCGGCTGTTCCAGTCCCAGCCACGAAGGGTAATGCCACAGTTCTCGATGGCGGAAAAAACAGGTTCAAAATAGGTCCACTTTGATTGAACAATGTGCCATGGAGGTATTCCCACCGTATAGTCATCTTTGTGATACAGTCGTACCGACTGCAAACGAGGCGTCTTTTCAATCAACTGAGCAAGGTCGAAGTAACCGTAGGGTCCACTTTTGTAAATGAGCACTGGTTCAACCTCAACATGCAGATGCTTGATCTTGCTAGAGTAGTTCATCGAGAGGGACTCTTGTGGGCGTGCCAACAAAGAGAGGAGCACATGGCTCTTGTAGGCAGGAAGAAGAGGGGGACAGTTATAGAGTGCGGCGAGCGCAGGCTCGTGGAAGCTTCGACACAGAAGAGCGACATTGAGTAGCCACTTGACAGATTCGTTGCGGGCTGAACGGCTTTCGTCGAGTAATGGATGCGACGCGCGCAAGAAAATGTCAAAAAGAATTTGGTAGGGAAGAGTTTGCCAAGGAGGAATGACACCAGACCCTAGGAAGATTGGGTCATCCCCATCTGTTTTGGCACGTTTGTTCAAACTTCTCCCAACCTGACTGCTGGGTTTCGATCGCTTGGTCTGCTTTGGCTTCGGGGTGGTTGCAGCGCGCCGAGGACGTTGGGATTTGGAAGGGCGAGGAGTCGCAGATTCGGCTTCGGGATTTGGTGCGTCGATCGGCGCAGCTACCAACTCATCAGACTCTTGGTCCTCCACGGCTCCATCAAAGCTAGCATCGGTCGAATCTTCACGATAGGATTTTGGCATTCGAGTTGTACTGCGCGACCGAAGAGATAATGAGGCACGCCTTGAGCCATTCAAAATTGTTGATTCATCTTGAGAGGAACTTTCCTCGTGATAGTTCTGCACCTTTGTGCGGCTGGACCGCATAGGGCGAGTGGACCTTGAACGTGAACTCGAGGGCGCCATGACGGATAAGGTGTCGCGCTAGGATAAGAGAGTGGGTAGCAGAAACCCGGGCCACATTGTACGCACGATGTCACGCGCAACGATGTGAGCAGGAAATAAGTGTCACTATGCTTGTGAAATTTGGCAACTCCGCAATTATTGTCGTTCAAATTCACCCTTGCGACGGTCCAGGTGAGTCCGGTTTCTTTGACGGATGAGGTCGAAGAGGCCAAGAATGCCAAGACGACAAGCTTATCGATAACACTTGGGAGATGCTCTGGTGCTAACCCTAATATGGTTAGCGTACACGTGATAACGAGGCAGGAACCCCGCCCTCAGGCCACGACACTAGTCCCCATTGGGGAGCACTAGATGGCCCCAAAATAGATTCTCAGCTTGAGCTTTAAAGATGGGCGCTTCCAGCCACCTCGAGGGGAAACCTCCTGGAACCCTACACCATCAGCGCATTGCTTTTCAGAATTTGTTTTCCTTCCATTTTTCTTTGTATTCATACACCGAACAGATTGTGTTGAAGATAGCCTACATCTATGCCGCGGCTGCTGATTTGACGATAATGACGGCTTGCCTATGCGACCTAAGATCCGCATGATTGTTTGTCTACATCGCATCTCTAGCTCTATTCTACAATTAAATATAGAGGCCTGTCGCTCTGAATCGCCAAGTTTCAGATGGAAACATCATTTCCTGTTATGATGGACTCCACCGATCGCCCGAACCGTGGTGAGCTCAGCGGACCGCAAATGGTCATTCAACAATATGCGCGATATCCTCCGACCTTGGAGTCGACTTTGCAGAGTGCTTCCTCCTTGGGAAGCGCTCGTAGCCAAATAGATATCAACAAATCTCCTCCCTTGCAGCGAAGAGAAACCCCCAGGAGCTTACAGTCTTCCCCGAGGGGCATACGTTCTGCTATACCCTCATCATCAGCCAATCGCTCTGGGACTTCCATGTCTCCCCCGCTTTTTGATCCTCATCGCCATCAGCCGATAAAAGATCCTACCGATCACGCAGATTCCCGGGTTCTTCCGTCACGGGATATCACTGACGAGACGATTGATGATGCCTATGTCTCCTTTATCTTGTACTGCAATCCTAATGTCCCATCCTCGGTTGACACATCAGATCTGCGAAAGACCTTCCGCTGTCTCCCTCGGAGTGACGGGAAAAGCTTCAACATCTTTACCCTATTCGGACTCATTCGAAGGCGTTTGCAGAATGAAGAGTTGAAGACATGGATTCAACTAGCCATTGAATTGGGTGTTGAACCACCCTGCATTGAAAAGAAACAAAGCACCCAGAAGGTACAACAGTACACTGTTCGGCTCAAGGTACGTCTGCCATGAAGCTTCCGACCCATATTTCGTCTTGCTAATCTCGGCCAGCGTTGGATGCGTGCTATGCATATTGATGCTTTCTTTGAATATTGTATGGGGTTGCCCCATTCTTACTATACACAGCTCCCACCATCTGGTCCTTTTGTCAGCGAATCCCGCGATGGTGTGTTATTGGAAGAAGATCTCGCACTCAGGGCGCTTGTGCCACAATGGAAGCCAAAGCGGGGGAGGAAAAGAGTTGAGGATAGGTACACTGAGGAAGACAAAACAACCAAGCGGCCCCAGTTGGATACATCTGTTGGCGCCCTAGAACAGGGTAGCTTTCAGTCCCACTCTGTGACATTCCCGCAGAGTGCTATTCCATTCAGTGCATTCCCTGATGATATGGAACCAAATGACCCCTGGATAGCGGCGAATTCGTCGTTTCATACTACTTCCGGGCCGGGTCAGCAAAATCATGATACACGCTGGAGACTTTCTGAACGGGATGCATCTCCTGCTAATTATCCACAGTCTGCTATCATTCCCCGGAGTCATCTACCATCGGATGTCCTCATTTCTGCGGAACCACGGTCAGCAGTCACTCCGTCAACCGGTGAGAAAAGCCGTTCTAGGAGACGACATGGCCCTGCAGTTTCATCTGCTTGGCCGAACAGCAACGGCCTGTCAGCTGGGAAAGGCCGAGGAAGACCACCAAATAGAGGGTCATCATCGGGTTCCTTTTCTACCTTCCAGGTCAATCCTAGTCGGGAATCATCACAGGCACCAAATCCCAATACCCAGACACCCCAACTTGCTATTGACAGAAACCCGCCCCAAATATTTCAGACCCCATCTCACAATCAGCCTCCAACATCTATCTCTCAGGCGAGGCCCAATAAACTTCAATTGCAGGTTCCTCAACATTCAGGAGCGCCGGTCCGACTTGCCACTCCACCACGACTAGTAGTTAATGGCGTGAATGGTGCTGTCATTCCCGGGTCTGAAGGGCCCAATGGTTCCCGCCAACATTCCACCACTGATACTCCAAAGAATGGTATCACTACTCAAACATCTTCCTCGAGCGGGCAAAGCAATACGGCCACTGCCCCGAACCCCTCCGTCGATGACATTGTTCATGCACTTTCTGCAGAGCTTCTGCATGCTAGGCTGATAGGGCGGGCGGCGACCCTCGCTCCCAACGAGGCGGGTGCCCTGGCTTCGGCCATGGTGATCAATTTGTCCTCATTATATTCACAGTTCCATTTGGGCACTCCTTCGCTGCTACTGGCCTTCCATCTTGGCATTGGTCATCATTTCGGGCTCGCAGGCACTGCTCCAGAGTCAATGGTTATCAGGGTTGAACGTGCTATTCCAAGCAACGATGGGAACAGGGGTGCTCTTGCCTCTAAAGAATCATTTAATGGGGTTCATTACACCGTTTCTCATGGGTTTAAAGCTTCAAGCCAGTTTTCGATGCAAATCACGCTTTCAAATGACAATCCTAGTATAGGAGCGACGGGTACATCTGACCACGCAAGCGCGATTATGAGTCGGAGGAATGAGAATATTGACAATGATAAGACAGTGGAGCTGGACTCTGACAATGATGACTCCAGTCATCCTGTTTCCGAGGCAACATGGAAGCAGCGCTACACAAGGCTCCGTGCCCAGATGCAGAAAAAGGATCAGGCCTTGTCGCAATACAAACGAAAGATAGTGGAGTCGGTCATGGCAGACATATAACGCTTATCAACCGGCTATTTCTCTTTGATTTATATCAAGATCTTAGGATCATGTTTTTGATTGTTCGTGTATATTCGATAGGATACCCCTTTGATAAAACCAATCCTACTGTTTGCTTTCACTTGATAAATGAAATCCATTGTCCCTGCCCCTACTTTAGGGCTGGGTTGAGATTATTTTGCACAATACCCCATAGGAAATACATGGTGAATCAGGAGCTATAGATGGGAATTTTGAATATCTTAGCTTGACCATTTTTGACTGCGTATCCTTACTGTCCTCCTATAGTACTTGAAAGTCAAAAAGAAAAAGATTTCTCAGGCCCAAAAGCTGTAGGAAAAATGTGTGATGTTATCTCAAGGAGTATCCGGCATCTGTTGGCTCAGAGCGAGTCAAGTTAAACAAACACGTTTAATGGTATAACAAGGCAACTAACGATTCTTGTCTACACCGCCGCTCCTCTTGCATCCCAGCTATCCAACTTCTACCGTCACATTCTTCACTGGATCAACCATCGTATGCCAAATCAATCCCATCATCGTGCCAGAATGACTTCCGTCAATACGCCAGAGGAGCAGGCCATCGCCTTCCTTCTGACCTGCGTGGAAAATTCTCAGAAGGGCGAGGTACGCAGTCCCCCAATTCCAACAATAATCCCTACCATCCAATATTACCTACTAATGTTACTGGCTATTACAGATTAATTGGGACAACGTTTCGCTCGATATCAGCATCAACATGACCCCCGAAGCGGCGTAAGCTCCTCAGCCATGCTACGAGTTTTATTGCAGTTATTGACAATCAGTAGCAGTAAATACTACTTCAGCATTGTGAAGAATGCGAAAGAGTTCGAGCGCTCTGACAAGTATCCCGAAATCCCTGGAGACCCTTCATGGGAGTCCGTCACGGCTGAGGATATTGGTCCCGTCGTCATTGTCGCAGACTTACAATGATAGCGTTTCCTAAGATACACATTGGAGCTCAATCAACTGTCCTCTCCCATATCCACATCCTTGAACTCTTAATTGTTTACACATCGGGTCCACGGCATATCCTTTCTTGGGGAGTGAAATTCAGTTCTTTAAATGCCTGTTAGTCCGCAGTCTTCGCTGATTGCTGGTTTTGATAGTATCTAGCTAGCAACTTAATATACTGTGAACTTCAACTATCAACATTCCACCTTAGCAGCATAGTTGCTAACCAATTCTATAATATACTGTAGTATTTTACTCGGCATGTTATTATTGTCAGGGGAGCCACTGGGGTAGATCTGAAGATCAGGGATTGCAATTCCGATGCTCCTGGTGACGCCCCTACAAAAGATGTCTTCCGTTGAAGTAGAATTCATATTCAATTGGAGGCTATCACCTTCTGAGTGGCTATTCTCTACCTTAGCCGTAGAGTGTTTGGACGCCGAAGACCTTTGTCACGGAGCTTTGGCAGGTGAAACCTATCTCTTCTCCTTTTTCTTCTTCTTCTTCTTCTTCTTCTTCTTCTTCTTCTTCTCCGGTCTTTTACCTTTCTTCGTGGCACCATGTTCCTTTTCCTCACTTTCCTTTTCCTCGCGTGCTCTAGTCTCCAACATGAGCTCGCCCCAAGGTATTAAGAAGCTTCTGAGTTGCCCCTTGGCCTCGTCGCTGAAGGTGTCCTTAACGGCCTTCTTGGTCTCCTTTAGGTGAGTCTGAGTTACGTCGGTGGCAGCCGTCTCGGGGGTAGGCACCTCGGGGGTCGCCGTCTGGGTAATGCTATTTGGATGAATAGCCGACTTGTCTTACCATGTAATCGCCATAGATGTGGCCGTTGGTCAGATTGTGTGCTTTCTTCAGTTTGGCATATTTCTTCTGGAACGACTTTCCAGTAGTATAGCCGAAGTCCTTGGCCACGAGTGCGAGATCGACCTACGACTCGAGTCTTAGTATGTAGATCGTTGACTCAAGCCAAAGTCACACAGGGTTCTCAATGCATCTTACCTTGTTGGTTTCTCCGTCGGTGTGTTTCTTGATCGAATCCAGATACTTCTGGTCCGTATGGTTATGCTTGTAAGAAGGCATTGCTTCCGCAACTGAAGGATATTCCTAACCTCCTTGAATGATGATGGAGGGTAACCAATTTACAGTTTATGTATCTTTTGTATGACTTCCCTATACAAAAGGTACTTAGGCATAATATACATTTTTCTCAGCCCTCAAACTAGTTAGGCAAGATATAAGAAGATATATATAGTATAAAGGATGTCTATATTATTTATCCAAACCTTAGCAAGGAATATCAAGTATACTAAAATAAAGAATGTACCTGGTTATTTCCCCCATATAGCCTTCGGCCCTTCATATAGTGTCATTTTAAAATTATTATTCTTCTTCTATATTAGATGCAAAGCATTTATACTACCATTAAATTAATTAAACTAGCCTATACTATATATTCGTACACTTTCTATTACTTTAGCTAGTTCGAGTGCTGAGAAAATGTATGTTATGTCTACGGGCTGTCTAGGTACCTTTTATATTGGTAATTCATACAAAAGATACATAAATTGTAGATTTGGTTATTTGGGCTATCTGGTGGGGCGCTTGGCACGGCTACTCAAAGCTTTTATCTATCATAGATCGTTCTAAGCCGCCGCCGCCAAATGAAAATGATTATCAGACTCCTCGAATACTTGTAATAAGATACACGCATACAGTACTTAAATTTGGCAAGTGACGAAGAGTACTGAGACTAAATCAACATACTTGATTGTAAAAACAACGGTTACTAGGTAATGAACATATGAATGAAACCTTTCCACTCTCCAACATAACCTGATCAATCTTCAATATTTTCAACTTTGATAATAGCAGGCTGATCTTCCTGGCTCCCTGTACTCGGTATCCCCTGCTCGGCCTGCTGCTCTTCTTCGACTTTTGTAGTCGAGACTTCCTGGCGAGAAGGAGGGCGTGGTTCCCAGCTGATGGTTGGGGCATAATTGGTGAAATAAGGCAGTTGGTCAAACTCTCGCATGTCAAAGCTGGATTGGGTGCCGGCTGATGAATAAGGGTAACCGGCTGACGCGGTCGAGAACTGGTATGGATTCCTGAAGGAGGAGGATGTTGGACTGGGTGATGGTATCCTAGATGGTATGGCTGACGCCAGTTGAAACTGCATTGAGGCAAAGTCTTGAGGAAAATAATACTGTCCTTCGGTGCTAGTCTCCGGCATGAACTGCGGGGGATACTGCATAAGGCTCTGCAGGTGTGGGTTGCCTTCGGTGCCCGGCTCGCACTTTATAAAGGGATTTCCTGGAAAAGAAGAATCGGTCTGTTCCATGGTGGGCATCATGAGTGGCGGAGCCATTGGGAATACTCCTTGCATCTCAGGAGGGGGCTCCATGGTCTTTGCCTTCTTGATCTTTCGCTTTGGTTTGTTTGCCGCTGTGGTTCCGTCCATTTGTTGCCGGAAGCGGGAATACCGCATACGAGCAGCATGACCATTGGAGATTTCGACATCAGAAGCTACCCGATTCCAATCGATCTGTCATACTCAAGCAAGATTAGATCAATCTTCAGCTAACGTTTAACTTTGGGACAATACACTGACCGACTTCAGATCCAATTGCTTGATGATTGTGTAGAGGAACTTTGCAGTAGGAGTATCGGTCTCTAAGACTTTGTTCCGTTGACCCATAGTTGAAAAGATAGTCTCAGTGACAGAATGATAAAAATGAAGTTGTGAGGACACTAGGAGGATTCATGAACAGTTTAGATCGGCTATATAACTGGTCCAGGATAAAAAGATGATTGGCACATGCAAAGTGCTTGCCAGCCACATCAATGCTTGCTTTGTACTTTACAAATATAAGAGACAACAATAAGATGTGTGCTAATTGCATGCTACTTAGTTTGACTTGTCTAAACCCAATTTCATCCTGCATTATCCCGCCTGCTTGTTTAGACCTATGCTTTGAGCAAAGCTTCAATGAATGTTAGTATTCACCATCCAAAAAAGAAATGAAAGGAGAATTGTTCATTCTTTACGGCTTCTTAGAAGCATACGAAGACAAGTAGATAGTTGTATTAAGGTACGCAGCGGGCACCAATGGGCACGTGCGCTCCATATATTGATCACGTGATGGCTGTTACCCTAGTCCGACTCATATCGAGGGAGTAATCTTCTCAGTGGCAAGAAGAGGATGAATAGCTAGAGTTCCATTCTAGAGACTGACCATATCGAGCGAGCTCTTATGTCCTATAGCTGCAGATCCTTTTTGTAGTAGAATGACTTATTATGGACCGTGTGTGGTACTACAAAACTTCAAAGGGCTTTTGATGCCAAGACAAACACATTGTGACTATACACCCCGCCTTGCAACAAGCTGACTAATCCATCCGCTTTGGAATGCCGCCGGTGTCGTTGACTCGATCAACAGCACTATTAAATAGACAATCAATCCACACGAATATTAGCTCCTGGTTCTTTCAAAAAAAACAAAAAACGGAGATAAATCCAGGTCAAATCATAATCATGACTTTAGTAGCTACAGGGGCGTGCTACCTTGACACAATTCTAACGTGAGTTATTTCCGCTGTGTCTTGAAGTTGCCTGCATTTGGAGTCTGGTATTCACATGCCTTGCTCAGAGCCCCCCATTACCCAGGTGAAGATGAGAAGCTTCGTGCGTCCAGAATTAGTCGCCGGCGTGGAGGGAACTGTCCAAACACTCTCGAAGTTCTCGGCCAATTGTTACAATATAGGCCGTCCAGTGCCGAATCATCCCTGAATCTTATCACTACCCTTCCATCCAAAACATCGTTGGCATCTCAACAAATACAATCAAGCTTGGGGGATATTGTTCAGCTAGATAGCTGCATTTACCGAGAGAGATTTAGGGAGCCAGCTTCCAGCTACATAATTATGAGCCAGGCGACCGGTAGTAGGACGATCGTCAATTACAACGAACTGCCTGAAATGACTTGCATTGAGTTTGCAACTGCCATTGAGCCCCTTCGTACCGTAACTGGTCGCCCCTGGTTTCATTTTGAGGTGCGTAAATATTGGGGAGATGCTCAGCGGGGTCACAAATCTAACTTGGACTCAGGGTCGTGCACCAGATGTAACATTAGAATGTATTCATCATCTCCGAGAGCATTTTCCAGAGGCTGAAATCAGTGTTGAGGTGGAAAAGCCAGGCCGATTAGGCTTGCAGGAGCTTGCAGATGCGGCAGATGTTGTTATCTACTCGAAGGGCTGGGCCCAGGTGAGATTTGATTTTCGGCTTCTTCCAGGCACATCTAATAATATATGGATAGAACAATGGATATACGTCCGCTGAGGATTGCTTACGGGATCAATCATTAAAGACAAGCCGAGCGTATGCTTTACAGTCCAAGTCCCCTGAGAAATAATCTAACCTATCGTTTATAGAACCTTGCTATGCTGTACTTGGGGCCATGACGGGGCTGCAGCACTTGAACCAAAGACTGGCAAGTTTGCTCATGTTCTGGCTCATTCTGAAGAAGTGGGGGTCGCCGAGTGAGTTTTGATCGTTCCAATGCACTACAGCACAAATTAGACCATACTAATAGTCTATAGTACTATCGGAGCTGGAGATACGTTCAATGCTGGCTTGCTGTACGGTCTTGTCTATCGGAGTCACGACTGGGATTTCCGAAAGAGGCTGGAATTTGCAAATCTTATTGCCGGCTTAAAGGTTACCCAAGAGGGCTTTGCAGACCTGCAAAGAGCGTTGAACTTCCCGTCATATTGACCTATTCTTTACTTGACTGAATTCAACCAGATCTCGAAATCATCCAGATCAAATCAAATCAAATCAAATATTAGGTCAATGCATTAGATTCGCACACACTTTATCTACTATGTTAGGGTTTGACCTTTACGGTTGGAATGGCTTAAAGCTTTGTTGATCGGACTATTTACCTAGACAACATGAAGACAAAGGAATAACTAGTTAGTTAACTATATATATTTCGCCACAAAGAGTCACACTTTTCGCCCCGTTGAGTTTCGATCTACTTTTTAGAGTGACATTAGGCAGATAAGCCAGATAAATCATAAGCTGGCAAGTATGAAACACTATGTACTAGACCACATTTTTCCAAAAATATGAAGCGCATGCATTTATCATCCAAAGTTTGGCAGGAAAATAGGGCGGTCAAGAATGGCAAATATATCGGAAGCCCACCTGGCACGTGACATAGCAAGGTTCAGGGCGGTGGAAAACAAAAAATATTCTGCCATCAACTTTTTGATCGCGGCCTTCTTTTGCACGATCAATTTCAATTCCATTTTAACAAAATCAACTGTCACCATGGCATCAGTTTACAAGAGTGTCTCAAAGAAGTCGGCTAGACAGCCCACCGAGGATATGTCCGACGAGGATATCGAGATGGAGGAGCTCCTCAATGCGGAAGACGACACCACCGATAGCGAAGAGGAAGAGTCCGATGATGGCGAGGCAGCTGAGGTTGTGAAGAAGCAGCTTGCTTCTGGATTCATGCCCAAGACCCGCGTACTTATCTTGACCTCCAGAGGCGCTTCTTACCGGTATGGATATTGCGCCTTGAGATACGCTGAATGGATTTACTGATCTAACAATTTGCTTTTCTCTAGCCACCGACACCTGATGTCCGATATTTGTGGCCTCCTGCCCCATACCTACAAAGAGACTAAGCTCGACACGAAAAAGAAGGCCGCCGGATACAACCTCCTCTTGAACTCTCTTGCCGATCTGCACTCCTGCAACGTGATCTTCTTCCTCGAGGCCAAGAAGAACGGCCAGGATCTTTACCTCTGGCTTTCACGCCCTCCTAATGGTCCCACTATTAAGTTTCACCTGAACAATCTGCACACAATGGGCGAGCTCGGCGCTGGATTCGCAGGGAATTGTCTGAAGGGCGGCCGCGGCTTGGTCGTGTTCGATCGCTCCTTCGACGAGCAAGGCCCGGATATGGGTGCTCCTGGTAGTGAATACCGTGCGCTTGTTCGGGAGATGCTGCGCGGAGTTTTCTGTGTGCCCAAGCGTGGTGTCAGAGGCATGAAGCCATTCGTCGACCGCATCATTGGTATCTTTGGAGTGGACGGCAAGATCTGGATTCGCGTCTATGAGATCCGCGAGTCTGAGCCCGGCAAGAAGAAGGAGGGCGAGGAGACTATCAAGCCCGTACCAAAGGGCAAGGACAACGCCCTGCCCGAGGTTTCTCTGGTCGAGATTGGCCCCCGCTTCGTTCTGACCCCCATTGTCATCCTCGAAGGCAGCTTTGGTGGACCCGTTATCTACGAGAACAAGGAGTATGTCAGCCCCAACCAAGTCCGTAGCGACATCCGACAGGGCAAGGCTGGCCGTTACTCCCAGCGCCGAGACGGCCAGACTGATCGGGTTGCCAAGCGCTCCGACCTGGGACTATCCGAGAACTCTGTGCAGAAGGTGGATGCATTGGACACAAGGAAGCTGTTTGCATAGGGGGTTTATGTTTTTGTTTCGCCGTGCTATTTCTAGACTTGATATCCCTCGGGATGATGTTTCGACTACATGTGTATATTTGATGCGACGCTTTCATCATGGTCCGTTAAGGCGTCGGGGCAAAGTCTCATCCTGGTTAATTTCAAAAGTTGATTATTTCTATCTGTTCCTTCCTTTTACCTGTTTCATTGCCATCTGGAGAGCTCTACCTTCAGAATAACCAGAAGGCAAGTTGGTTGGACCCCGTGGACGCAAGGGGCAACATTAGCTAAGCGCCATATAAAGCCCCTCGACGCCATCGCCCCAACCCAGTCTGTCTTTGCCTCCTGTCACCATCCATCATGGCATTATTTTTGATGGCTAGCCCTATATGGCTACGAGGTTGTTCTTCCAATATGTTTACTCTTATTCCCACACCGTCTCTTGCTTCTATTAGCCCCATTGGCGGGGTCTGTATCCAATAGGTCCAACATAACGCGCGACGGGTGTTGCTTGCTTCACTACATGATAACACCTTTCAACTTGATCCATACATAAATCCTCGAAACTTAACTTTGTTTGTTTTATTTCGGGTTACTGATTACTTTAACACAAATAACAACCCCTCATCAGGTAGGTCGTCACTCGTTGACACTCTATGAGTCATGCTAATGGTGTTCCAAATTCTTTATAGCAACAACATAGATATTTACATCATGCGAATTGATCATCTTGCAACGGAGCTTCTGCTCCATATATTTCGTTCATGCGACTCGGTTTCTGACGTCTTGAATTTATCAGTCATCTGCCGTCGACTTCATCGCGTCCTCAACTCAACAAGCAAATTGCATATCCTAGCCAGTGCCGCGGAGACCGAATTCGGTCCCCTGGACGATATCATTCAAGTGGTGACGCAAAATGAGAGTCAGCCTGCTCATCTCATCCGACATGCGCCTATGTCTGGTCCCCTTTTGAAACAAGTCATCCAGCTCGGCCTGGTAGCGCGAAAATGGGAGAGCATTTATCCATTCAAGAAGTGGAAGATAGACTTCGAGAATCGTCGCTCGCTTACCGACGAAGAGCGATTACGACTGCGCCGCGCAGTATACCGGCTATGGCTGTATCACAGTGCATTCCATTCTGGTGTTTATGATCGCCATTCTCGTAGTCTTCGCCATGTGGTGTTGGAGCGCGCTCAGTTGCTCCACAACTGGTCCACCCAAGAGCTGGCCGAGATTGAGGATTTGCGCCTCGTCATGGGTGATATTGTTCAGAATCACATATGTCCTAGTAATGTGACTATTCAACGCAAATTCCGAAAGCGGTATCCAGACAGCAGCCATCAACTCTCTTTCAATATCCACCTCAATTATCCTTCGCTCTCAACTACCTCTCTGTCTCCGCATGATCACTCCTTGTTTCAGAATGGTCCCGAGGCCTCGATTCAACAATACTTCCACACCGCCCACCCGAGTAATTATGCTGAGTCGTCAGCCAAATACCGGTCTCGGTTTCGCAATGACCTCTCTCATGACCCAGGGTATGAAGGCTGGGGTGATGAGATACCACATTACTATATTATACAAGACATGCTGAAGCTCGATCCTGGTCAGATATTATGGTTGCGCGACCATGCTTTGCTGAAGGAACAGGTAGAGGAATACATATGGTCTCTAGGGGAATGGTTCCGCAACAACGGTGAAACGTTTGGTGACACATTGGAATATGTCATGAATGAGCGTGGGCTCGAGGTTGAAGAACTTCGATCTGCGGTGGTTGGTCGTGACATGGGCATTGTCCTAAACTAGATTTGTGCTTTTTTGACCCTTTGACATTTATCGAGTACATACACATGGACTTTTGTAGTTTCACATAGGTTCCTTGCCTTGGTCAAAGAAAAGACGACATATCATGTGAGTAGATTTCCATAACTATGAACCTATGCAATCTTCGAAATATATGTGCCCCCTATCAGCACAGTTGATCATAAATAACGATCTACTTGCCTAGCAACTGTTGTCTGTGGACACAGGCACTAATTATTACTATGGGGCTATTTGGCAAAGCCTAGCCTAGAGAAATTAAATTGCCCTGATCACCGTCACATAACTCTCTCATTGGTTCATATTGGCTGGCAGTAACTGAGACCCACTCCCACTTTACAAAAACAGTTAATTACTATGTTGTATACAAATATTGAACTCATAGATCATTAGGTCAGTGATATTTAGGCCTTAGAAAATGCATACTAAATGTTGACGCTATTCAAATCTCTTGTGATACCTATATATAGATAGTCAGACGTACTAAGGAAGTCATACTAGGGGTATTAGGGTTCAAGATCGATAACTACATAGTTAGTCGTACTATTGTGAAGTATGTACTCCGTAGGTGTAAAAATAAAAGAAAGTTGAAATTAATATACCTTACTTCAAGAAGGCGGTGATAAAATAGGCTGTAAGGTATTAATTAGCCAATGAGAGAGTTATGTGAGATGATCCCTAGAGTCGCCCGTACACGTGGACCCCGTCTTCGATAGCACGAGGCATTCAACATTAATAGGTTGTCTCCTTGTTGGCATTGCATGACTACTCCGTACAGATTGTACAATTCTACCAAAGGGATGGAATGGATATACGAATTTGGGAATTTTCATACAAAAGTCACGCAGCCGAAATGTTAGACGCCCAACCAAGCTGTGTCCACCATCGTAGAAACATATCAAGCACCCCAGTTGAGCGAGCAGAGCGAGCAGAAAAAAAAGGGGTCAATTTCGTTGAAGACCACGGTAAAAAGAACAAAAAAAAGGACTGAAGAAGGGGAATCCAGCAGCCGGTAACATCAATTCTGGTAAACCCCTATCTTCCCGTGTGCTTCTCTAACCTGTGTATCATGTTTGTAGCCGTCAAATTTCAGACTCCAACACAGATCAAGACCATCTCAATGTCACATCACAAAAGAAGAGTCGTAGCAGTCGGTGCGTCGTCCCTGTGAAGGGTAGTCTAGCAGCAGCCCGGCTTCTGCTCGCTGTCTTGCTTGCTGGGGTCGATAACGGGACGGCGGTCGAGGACCTGCTGGCCACCCTCTCCGTTGTCGAGAGCCTTGCTGGAAACGATGCGGTAGATTTCTACCGAAATTAGCATTGTATATCAAATTACAAGGAATCAACAACCAACCTGTAAGGATGTTCTGGAAAGCTAGCTCGACATTGCTGGCATCTAGCGCGGAGGTCTCGATGAATGAAAGGTTGTTCTCGCCTACTGAATGTCAGCGCCATACAATGAAACGGATTGTCGGGAAACGTACTGGCGAACTGCTTGGCCTCGTCTGTGGGGACCGCACGCAGGTGGCGCAAATCACTCTTGTTACCAACGAGCATGATGACGATGTTCGAATCGGCGTGATCACGTAGTTCCTTCAACCACCGGTTGACATTCTCGTAGGTCTGGTGCTTGCTAATATCGTAAACGAGGAGGGCGCCTACAGCGCCACGGTAGTAGGCAGAAGTAATCGCACGGTAGCGTTCCTGACCAGCGGTATCCCAAATTTGTGCCTTGATTGTCTTCGAGTCGACTTGAATGGACCGGGTCGCGAACTCCACACCGATCGTTGACTTCGAGTCTAGGTTGAATTCGTTGCGGGTGAAACGACTCAAGAGGTTAGATTTACCAACACCAGAGTCTCCAATAAGCACCACTATTCACTCCATAATGTCTCCGCAGTCAGTCTTGGGATCTTTTAAGAGAAAGCACAAGGGGGAATGGTGGACAGGACGAGGGCGGGCATCATCATAAGGTGGCGACGTTACCTTTGAAGAGAAACTGCGGGGGATATCATCGTCAGCATATAATCCTGAGACACGAAGGAGCTCGTCGTTCCCGATCAACTCACGTCATATTCGTCGTTGGCCATTTTGAATGTGATCGAGCTAATAAAGCTCGAAAGGTGGTATCAAAGTACAGGTAAACGTGGTGGGCAAGTTAAGACTGAGGGGTGTACTTGGAAACTTCAGAGGGCGAAAGTCAGATACGTCAGCACTGAGTTCGCAGCAGGCAGAAAGTAAACCAGGGGAGAGCACACACGGGAAGTAATAGAGAATCAGCAGGGGATAGTCAGTGATACCTGGGCCGAGTGTCTCTCCTTAATCGTGGCCCCCCATTATGGCTTAGCGTGGTGATCACGTGGGTTGGCGTCTGACGCGCGGGCGGTATCTTTTATCAATCGGCAATATCATTAACTCTCTACATTTTTGTTCTTGCTTGCCTAGCCTTTGCTTTTTGCTATTATCCTGACCTTTTTTCCCTTCTTTATCATATCCAATGAATATGAAATAAGGTGTGTATTTGCTCTGTCTTGATATTCCCGGAGTCTCGCAATTCAAAGTTGCAACACCAGCACTGTCTTGCTTGCACCTTGGGCATGGGGCATTGAACGCTGCATAATGGATCATTTATTGACTCAATTCTCAGGCGACTACAATGGCGTCTGATTCTAAAACGAACAATGCCTCTGATCGGAGTGGAATTGGTGATGCCGACTCTTTGGCATCTACCGCAGAAAGTGAAGAGGAAGCGGAGTACTTCGTGAATGGCATCCATGCGGAACGGCGGTTCTACGTTGAACCGGATTCTGAGGATGATGAAGGTTCCTTCATCACTCAGTATTTGGTCGAATGGGCTGGATACAGCATGGAGAGGTGCAGTTGGGAGCCGAAGGAAATGTTTACTTCGGAAGAGACCCTAGATGGCTGGGAAGAGAAAAAAAGGCAGATCGCGGAGGGCAAGAAGAAGCCCTTCGATCTCAAGGATTGGGAGAATAAGGTGGATTTGTTGGAGAAGGAGACAAAAAAGCGAAAAGAAGACCGAAGGCGCAAAAGAGAACAAAGGGCACGACGAAAAAGCCTCCCTCGGGCTGAATCACTGGCCAACCTCGATATTATAGATACCGATGAGCCCGAAGCAGGCATTGCATCCCGCAGAGCTCCCAGTCACCTATCCGTGGATTCCATCGCTTCGGCCTTATTTGTTCCAGCTGAAGCCCCACCACCATTAAAAACCGTGGTGCCTCGCCACTCGCCGCAGCAACGATCACCTCGAAGATCAGCTACCTCTAGTGCGCAAACAAATCGGAACGAGCCTCCAGGATCAACAAGCTTGATTACGCAAACAGAAACAAGCCCAAGCAAGCTTCCAAAGTCGCGACTTTCTCGGCTCGCAAAGAAAATCAACACCAAGAAGAGCCCTCCGGCGCGCCAAAAAAGCCCGCCACAAGCAGCGAAGCCAGCATTGTCTTCTTTTGGTACGGGCCCCGGGGCCAAGCGCGCATACCGTGAAAATAGATGGAGCGAGCGAGCACCGGATTTGTCACAGGTGGAGCTGATGAAACCTTCTGAATTCCCACCCAGGATGAACATAGGCACCACTACCTCGGTTGTGGGCCCATCTGTGACAAGTCCTAAATCCCCGGAAGGCCAAAATCAACCCGCTTCTGAGAATTCGGCCAGATTGACCGGTCTCCTAGAGACAAATACCGGTCAAATAAACGATAAAGCTGCGCAGCCGCCACAGAAACCTGCTGTTCTGGCGCCTTCGTCAGCCATGGCTCCTCCACTGCCTCGCTCTTCGAACTTAGGCTCTACTGCGTCAGTTCCCTCGTCAGTTTACTCCTCGGCTGTGTTGTCTGGCCCCAGTGCGATGTCGAATCTAGAGAAATCTGTTGGTCCTGTAGATTTCACTACTTCTATTTCCTCGCCAGCTACCCAATCAAAGCCCCTTCCACAGGCCAACCTCATTCAGCCTGCCGATCCTGTAGATAATACTGCCTCCACTTTCTCGCCGCCAGGTGAGGCTCCTTTCACAAATCCCGCTGAGCGGTCGAGATCTGCCCTTACTGCACCCTCACCAGCTGCTTATCCCCGCCCCACACCACAGGCCAATACCGACGGGCCTACCGATCCTTCGGCCTCTACTAGCTCAGTCTTACCTCCAGTTGTTCTTCCAGGAGCCCGTGTGGAGGCTACTTCAATGAAACCTTCTGGACTCTCCGGTTCTAGCCTTACTGCTCGGTTGCCAGCCATTCCAAATAGGCACCGTGCAATGGTCAATCCTGAGAGGTACACCGAGAGGTATACTGAGAATCGAGACTCGCGGGATAGCCGCGAGACAATCCGAGGTTGGAACAGCTATAGACCTAACCACACACTTGTGGCTGATAGCTACCGACCGTCAGAGCTCTCTCGTCGGTCATCGCCATCCAGACGATCACCACCCTCTCGTCGGCCACGGTCACGGTCACGGTCACGTTCCCCTTCCCCTCGAAGGGCGTCGCGCTCCGGTCAACTGCCAAGGTCTTTGGGTGGTATGGGTGATTATTACACGCCTCGTAGCCCATCTCCCACCAATCCTCGGATTCCGCCAAGGCCTTCAAATTCAAGCGGGTGGAATGAAGCTCCATTAGCCAATGCTCCAGCATTTGCTTCCGTCGAACCCAGAGCTGGAGCCTCTGTTCAACCCAGTCTTTCTATTACGGCCCAAATTGCAAAAATGCCTATGCGTGATAGCCGGGCGCCTGGTTGCAAGAGGATGGGTGATTACTGGTGTAACATAACCCTGGGAGAGATCCTTGTCCACGTCTTTATCGGACCCGACAAGAAAGCCCTTGGTGCTTTCAGATTATGCGGCATCCGTCCGGGTCTCCGCAAATCTTTGGTCTTGGCTAAGAACCCGAAAACAAAACAAGTTGAGGTTTGGTTTAAGCACCTGTGCACAGTCGGGGAGTACGAAGGATTGTGCGCATCCAGTGTCAGTATCAAACCCATAGACTTGCCTCTTATAGAATGCTAACATTGGCTATAGGAGACAAATTCTGTGCTGAGTACAGGCTGGGCCGAGGGCTTCAGCGACACCAACCAAAATCTGTTTCATCTAGCAGAGGATCTGCGAAAGGACGATCTCATCGCCATTCACTATCCTATAAGGCCAAGAAGTGGACCAAACATTGTCTGGGTTGCTTGGTCACGTGCATCACAGGTATTCAAGTTTCCACGTCCTAAGGATGAAGTGCCACCCGGAATCCCTCTGCTTATTGCCGCTCGCACTATGCTCGCACCGATTGAAGTTCCAGGCTCAAGTGGACCTAGCCAGCCTACTGGTCAACCGCATGGCCTTTTACCAGGTGCATCGCTTTCACTGCGCGTAGAGCCACATGGTGTAGATGATGGCCGGGATTTCGGCAGTTCCTCAAGACGGTCGAGCTTCAATCATGATGTGAGGATGGGTGGATCCTTGCACTCGCGAGAGACGCCGGTCCCAGTGCCGGCCCAAAGCTTTCCACCCGCAATTGAACCCCGGGGTGATTTACTTTACGCTAACCCCCAACCCCAGGATAACCTCACGGTTCAAGTGGCTAAGTTGATGGAACACTGCAATATCAACGTGGAAGAACTTGCGACAATCGAGGAAGGCGGGAAACTATCAAAGGCCGGGATGTTCTATTTGCACTTTCCCCTAGGCAATAAAGAAATACACCAGGAACTGCTAGCTCTGCAGGTAGTCTTGAAGCACCACGAGAAGATCGTTCTCACGAGCGACAGCCCCGGAGATTGGGCAAAATTTATCAAGAACAGTAGACAGGGTGTGGCCATAGTATGTGATCGATATTTACATTTTCACAATTGTCAAACAACTAACCGAGAGCAGTTTCACGAATCGTTCGCCGGATACGACATGCTGCGTCCTGCACTCAATTCTGTGCTTCCTCTAAACTCGTTCAATTTCTGGATTATTCGCATTGAAAGTCCACTCCAATTAGTTGATCCCCGTTATTGTTCACCGGGTGACCATCATCTACGCATCTTTCCATATGGCGGCGTCATACTTCTCACCGAGGACATGTTGACAGACCTCGAAGGGGTGGCGGTCACTCTCCAATGGATTCGAAGTGCTAACATGAACAAGCGAAAACCTTGGACATTGATGTTTTTCCCCGGCATACTTGAATGGATCGAAAGGAGGCTCGATGATGAGAATCACTCGCAAGATCATGGACTGTATGTCATACCTCTTTACCACTAGTTGGGTCAAGCTTCTAACGAACTTAAATGTAGTCTGCTGCTCATCCACACGTTGATCATCAAGAACAACATCACGGACCCTCGCATGGACTTGTTTGATAAAGCCAGTCTACACCGCAACTCAAAAAGCAACGTCATCGCACCCTCTCTCAATGAATACGGCACTCGAACAGAGCACCACAGCCTCAAAATCAAGGACAAAGTTGAACGCGACGCAGATCATCTGATCGAATTCTTCGCAGGGTGGTCATTGGTTAACATACCACGGTTCCGGAATTTCGTCGCTGTCACGTCTCTCAGGCCCTCCACTGGAGCACGGTGGGAGGAATGGGGCCATATGACTGTCATGAGAGATGGGTTCAATCATTTCTTTAGACGGTTCAAAATAGACCGAAAGAGCATTATGACCTACCTGTCAGGTGGTTCCAACGCACAGGTATCTACTAGCCAGGCAGCCACCCCGTCGACCATGACCACACCACAGACACCTAATTCGGCATCTCATAACTCCAACACCGCCGTCCAATCTACCTTCACAGGCAGCCCAAACAATAAAGGCATGAATAAAGACCGTGCTCCCTACAAGTGATCTTTGGGCCGTTTCGACCAAAGCAGGTTACGCCCGACATACGCGTGATTGTGCTCATGTTTCTCTTCCTCTTCTTGCACAATCTTTTATGATACCCCGTCATTTTGTTCTTGGATTTTTTATTCCTAGAAAGCTATGAAAGCTATGAGGTCATGAAATGAACCCAACTTCTATGAAATTGAACCTAGGAGACTTGTTGTAGTTGTGTATACTAGTTTTGTCCACTTACCTTCAAAATTGAGATCCAATGCTAGGAGTCGACCTGGGGGCCGTTTAGGAGCACGCTCCTGGTGGACATGCTGGAATCTATCACGGTAGTGTTGTATTCACTGGGCACCCCAGTGATGTCACGATCACTATCACTCGGTCTAGGGCCGCTGTGGTCTCTCTTGGAGGCGAGTCGATCTCGAGCGGATGTTCTAATTCTTTGGGAATTGAAAACTGAAACGCATGGGTGGGCAGTGAAATGGTCGGAAACTCAATCTCAGTCAAGCCAGCTTTGCTGACTGATCCGGTCTATATCGAAGGCTAGGGCAATGGCAACTTCAAAGGTCTATGCGGAAAGAACGTTGTGTTGTGTTGAGGAAGGAACCTGTGGTATAAGAGCAGTGACTTCCAGCGAAAAGAACTTCCCCTTGTCAACAACACACATCTCATCACGCTTCGCCTGCTGTCGGCCTCTTTTCTTTTCTTTTCTTTCTTTTTTTTTTTAAAAAAAAACATGGCGGACTCCGAGGGCCCTCGTGTAAGTGTTGACACCACTGCCATGGCTTCGTTTCCCCAAGCCTCCCATTCCCCAATGCAATCAGACCTCTACCATGACCATCATACTCCCAACGATTATCACATATTCATCGATTGTTGAAACACGGACTAATAAATGATAGCGTTTTTGTCACTTTTGTAACCTGGCGAACCACACGGAAGCCAACTGCCGCCGCTTGCTGGCGCTGCGTGCCCTCAGCCGGATGGCCCTCCCCCCGCCCCCCGTAAGATCCACATACCTGCTTTGGGGACATGTTATTGATTTGAGATGTGACTGCTGCAGACCAAGCGCAAAGCACACCGCGCCTTTCGAGGCGGAAAGGCCAAAAAAGGGTATGTTATGCTATTGTCCATAATACCTTACCCAAAAGTTCCCTCTCGATTTCGTCCCACTTCACTCTCACTTCTTTCTCGCTTCGTTACTCTGTTGCTCTGTTGCTCATAGACGAGTGGCTAACGTATCAACAGCCAAGCGTGCTGCAAAGGAGGGTACGTGTTTATCCCAAACAATTATACGGAATAAGCGAACACAATGCTGACATACCTTGTGTGCTCAGCAGCCGCCACCAACAACAGCACTGCTCCCGCCGGCGCCCCCCCCCGGCTCCCATCATGGCCCCCGCCCCCCCGGGCCTCCCCGCCCGCCAATGAGACACAAGCCTCTGCTGTAGTTGGTAAGTTGATCCTGATACAGACTGTCGAGGTCAGTGTTGTTCTCGTGGGATCAGGTTCTAATGAATGTTGATTAGGACGTGCCCTCACCCCCGCCACCACCACCATCGGTAAGCACAATGCCAGCACGCTCTTATTTTGCACCAGCACTATATTCTACCCTGACGTGTTGCTGTGTTGCTGTGTTGCTGTGTTGCTGTGTTGCTGTGTTGCTGTGTTGCTGTGTTGCTGTGTTGCTGTGTTGCTGTGTTGCTGTGTTGCTGTGTTGCTGTGTTGCTGTGTTGCTGTGTTGCTGTGTTGCTGTGTTGCTGTGTTGCTGTGTTGCTGTGTTGCTTGCTGCGTTTCTTGGTGTTGTTGCGTTTTCTTGTTACGCTGAAGTGTCACTGTGTTCTGTGTTATTGAGCAGATGTGCTAACGATTAATCAGTGGACGGCGCCTCCAGCAAGGAGGAAGACGAAAAGCAAAAGAAAGAATGAGGAGGCTGGTTATTTTTTTTCGTTGTTTTTTTCATCTTTTTCTTTTTCTTTTTTCCTTACCAGAAATTCAATGAACAGACCAGCATGACTGGTTGCCCTGCGGGGCACTTCAAACAGCGTTTTTTCTGTAGAGTAGATATGTGTTAGATTCATGCTCATGATCCTATACGCCCGCCCTTTAATGGCCTCTTTTAGACGGTTGATGAATCCTTCTAGTCAGGCTTGAACACCGGTGCCCAGATAGTTCTTCTCTTCTTCTCCTCTCTGACATTTGCTGAGGGAGTAACTCCAAATGACGGACCGTCTCTGCGACTCAACTGAGCCGAGCAGCGTAGGTATCTATGAGCCAAGCACCCAAATTAGGCATAGTGTGCTTGAACCCAAGGTTTTCAAGATCTACCTAGGTACGGGTTTGAGTCAAGATTACATAACTATAGTACATATAGTACATGTATGCATGACACCTATACCTAGGTAACTATAAACTTTAGAATTTAGGCACCTACAGGTACCCATGAACGTTCACATGACACCTACACCGTCTACCATCTATCATTTCTTATCTTTTTGCAATTTTCTTCTTCAAACATCTCGATATGGCTGAGACACAAGCTCAACCCCATGCCTTTCTCAGCTCCCTCGTTCAACAAGCCAGAGACCTTGAGCCCGACTTTCCTTCTCCTGATGACTTCCAGAGGCTTGGAATCAAAGCATTCCAAGTATCATTGGCCCCGGAATATGACAAAGGTCTCCAATTTGAACCCTGCTTCTTTCGACCGCACCCCGATGAACTGTTTCAGAAATATCCAAGCGTCGTTTGGGATAATGATCCGCAGGACATACAGTACACCAAAACCTTGAAGGGTTACATAGAGGATGCCCTGACGGAGCATTCCCCTGAAAACGCCCCAATAATCGGGAGAATGGAATACGAAATGATGTCACATGTTCCGCCAGAGCGCGATCCATACATCCATGCCAAAGATGTAGCGGAGATGATTGAGTCTCACATCGAGGCGGCAAGATACGGACCGCAGGAATGGTTCACACTTGGAGACCTCCAGGACGATGAGCAGGAATTGTGGATGTAAGTAAACAATCAAGTGTTGAATGCTAAATATAAAACTAACCATTCGTAGCCCGGACCGGAGAGAAAATGACCCTCATATTTACGAGGGATTTCGAGATCCAAAGCCGTGGCAAGTGGTCTATCATTACCGATACACCAGTCGCCCTCTGAAGCCACATTCAATTATGTCATGTATCGCTCAACTCTGGCCTGATACAAGTCAGGGCCTCACTACCCACGAGCTGAGAGCCATCGTGAACATGATGCTTCTCCGAGTGAATCACAAACCGTTCCGCAGATGCCATATTCATCCAGTAAGTGATTCTCCACATTTTACATGATAATGTCTAAGATATGTACAGATGTTGGTTCTCTCTTTTATGGGCGATTATCAGGGGAGAATCATTCAAGCTTCGTATGATGGAAAGGAACTGATCCTACAATACTCGAAACTCTGGAGCTTTGCGGACATTAAAAAGGCACCAGTGGAATTGTTCGTCCGATATCGTTTAAGTCAGACAGTTGGTGGTATCCGCACTTTGTCCCTTAAGTAGCTAACTATTTAACTAGTATGTTCTACATGTCAACCCTGGCAATTCAAGTCCTAATGACTGTTTGTCCTGTCTTCAAAAATACATACATGGGGTGCCAAAAGTTTGGTTACACTTTTATTTCCCTTTCCCACTCTACCAACCAATCATCTTTAAACAACCATAAATCCACCAAAATGCGTGCTTTCGGTACAGAAATTAGTGGAAACCGAAGGTTAAAAGCAGAGCTTTTAGAAACAGCGCGTGCTACAATTCTTTACGCGGTTTCTAAGGGTCAAAAGAAGACGCATATTACACGCGACTTTAGTTGCTCCCGTAAAGCTATATACGATACTATTAACCGCTTTAATTCGACTAAATCCCTTTTATCTCGTCCCCGGTAAGGTAGGCTAAAGAAGCTTATACAAACTACTATTCGATATATTTATCGGATCGTACGCCGGTTTCCTATAATTAGCTAGAATGAGCTAATTACTAAACTTCCGACTAGCGTTTTAAAAACTATAATACGCTATATATTCCGGAAGCTAGGAATTAGCTATTAGAAGTTAAAGAAGCGTATTTTCCTAAAGCCTTTTAACGCGAAAAGACGACGCGAATTTGTTAAGAATTAGTTAAGTCTTAGCGATTTAAATAATATACTATTTTCCGATAAATACTCCGTCTAAAGAAAATCTAATTCCTACGTCTAATTTATCTTCTAGCTTAAAAATAAGATATATCGATCTAATCTAGTAAACCTTTAGCTCTACGGAAAATAGATTTCGTAAATAGTATAGGCTACTATCTAGATTAGCGGCCGTTCGGACTTGATTATTATAGAAAAGGAGCCTAATTATAGATTTAACGCTAAAACCTATATTAAAACTCTCGAAAAAGGACTCCTTAGAATCTACGAACCCGGTTCTATCTTTTAGTAAGATAATACTCGAATTTATATAGTAAAAATCATATAATTATAGTTTAAAGAGTATAGTATTTAGGTTATAGAATGGCCCCCTTATTCGCCGGATCTAAACCTAATCGAGAATGTTTAGTTCCTCCTTAAAAAGAAACTCTTTAAACTCTATCCGGAACTCTATATGTAGGGTAAATCTGAGATGGATTAGAGGCGATTCCGTACTACAATTGATGTTGCTTAGAAAGCTCTTGATCAGAGTCAGATCGACGCTTTTATCCGATCTATGCTAAGCAGAATCTAGGCAGTAAAGAAAGCAAAGGGCTGGTACACAAAGTATTAATGTTACAGTAAAACCTGTTTATAACGAACCTGGTTATAACGAATACCTGGATATAACGAAGTAATACCGGCCCACCAATTAATCCGCCATAGTAATAACGAAATTACCTCCTTACTACGAACTTCGTTAATTCACCATTCCTCTCCATACAAAATTCGTTATATCGAGGTTTTATCTCCACTTTTTCAAGCATTCCCAACCAATCAAAATGCCTCGCCGATCGATCCCAACCTCCCAGAAAGCGGCACTACGAGAGCAGCGCCGAATCAACCCTTTACTCTCTAGTAAAGAGCTCGCTCAGTGGTTTTATGAAGCCTATAACCATCGTCCCTCGCCCTCTACGATCTCCGAAATCCTTTCCTCCTGATACCTTTATATATGAAGAGCAGCAGGAGCAGGGAGAAACCCAGTTAATTAGTGCGCTTTATAGGCATGAAAGGTTACTGGAAGCGAGGAAATTGGAAGGGAAGAAGCAGAGAGATATTAGGGCTTTTTTTAGAGCATAAATTTGTATGTAAACTAGAAATATATATATTTTATATGGCACCTGGATATAACGAATACCTGGATATAACGAATATTTCATCGTGTTTCAATTAATTCGTTATAAACAGGTTTTACTGTATCTTCATTTATATATGATTATTAAGCAATTCAATTATTAATGGTTGAGTAATTCAAGTTTAAAATTAGGTGGTTGAATAAATATATATATATAAATGGGGAGTGTAACCAAACTTTTGGCACCCCATGTATTCCCCTTGTCATACCTGTGTAGGTGCAGTGCCTGCCTGCCATGTAGATATGTAAACATTGGGCTTTATGGGAAGGAGCGTATACACTTAAACTCGGTAAATTTAGTTATAATCTTCCAAGTCTCTCATGCATATTGTTGAACAATCTCTCATGCTTGTATGCATGTTGTTTGCTGCAGACTGAGCCTTTTACCTTTGTTTGCTATTTGCTATTTGTTTGCTACAATTGAGCAATGTTCAGGGTATATAAACCCCTGCATTATTGGTTTTAGCAATAAGAATTCTTCCTCTGCTTTTTCTTCATCTGTAGTATTCACTACAACACATATCACGTTGCCAAAGCTATCTCACGCAAAACAAAAAATTATCTATATACCATGTGGACCACTGCCACCAAGCACAAAGTGCCCGAAACCACCTCCGAGTGGGGTACGCGCAAGAGAGTTAGGGCTGGAAAACACCGCTCTACACCAACTTCCATCTGTCCATTCGGCATCTCAGTTGGAAGAAAAAGACTTCATTTGCATGAGAGCCTATTGGCCCGAGAGGAAAAAGAGGAAAAATTTCCCATTCCCCGGAGAATTCGATGACCACGTAGCACAGACAGCAGTCACTATTACGGGCGACTTCCGGATCTCCGAACATACCTTAACCATCTCAGAAGAGGCACAAGAAGCCCCGTTGACCGAAATATGGGTGCCTTCAGCCTCGTTATGCAGTCTCAGCTGCAAATTCCGTTGGTGCGCCTCCCAGGCTTCGAAAAACCGTTGCCGTCATTCGACGATCACCACGCAACCACCAGTCCAATGCGCCTCCCACCTCAAGCACCGGATAATTCGACGAGTGATTCGGGGTCAACTCATCACACGGCTGCCGCTGATTCCATACGATATTAATTTTTTAATACCGGGCTCTTTATACTCCTAAGTCTTAAGTCTTAACTCTTGATTTCTTACTATCTTACTATCTTACTAACTGAATCTGAACTGAATCTGAACTGAATCTGAATCTGAATCTGAACTGAATCTGAACTGAATCTGAATCTGAACTGAATCTGAACTGAATCTGAACTGAATCTGAATTGAATCTGAATTGAATCCATAAAGTAATTAGTAAATGCTTCCAGAAGGCAGTAATCTTCGCCAATCTGACCTTCTTGCACGGTCCGCGAAGCTGTATCGGGCAAAACTTTGCCAAAGCGGAGTTGAGGACTTTGGTTGCCGTCTTCGTGTCCAAGTTCAAGTTCCAAATGGCGGTTCCGGGGGAAAATATCGTTCCTGTTGGGATTGTGTCTGTGAGACCGAAGGATGGACTACAATTGAAAATAGAGAACAGGGGTTAGATCTGGCGTTACGAATTTGACACTGAGATATCCTTCGGGACTTTGAAGTATGTGTACTCAGTGACGTTCTCGAGCGTTTTTCGACCTCGTGTCTCCTCGTTGAATACCGAGGTGTATAGACCTTGAAGTTGACCGTCCTGTCAATATTTGGCTAGTGATGTTTCGTTATTTGAAGATAATAGATGGTCAAGATATGCTGAATATCTATAACCGTAACTGATTATGAGTCAAATGCCAAACAATAGCTTTAAAAAGCACCCAGTATACTGGTCTCTGATGAATAAAAAGACATTGAAATTATCCGTGAATAGCCGGACCACCTGTTCATCGGACAGATGACTCATCAGATAAGATCACCTGCGGGGAAAGCTATCCGGTATCTGATCCCTCTCCAATCCTCCGAGGTCCTTCCTTTACCTTGTGACTTCAGGGCTCTCTATCCGCCTCTCATAAAACCCTTGAAACTTACTGGTGCCCGGCAATGCTGTGGCGACATTTTCAACGTCACGTCCCGGCCACCTTGGCTCGTCGTGACATTGTCCGGTGTCGGCTCCCTCAATCATACAACTGGTCCACACGCCAACTATCTAGCTGCTCCGCCACTTTTCCGACATCGTCTCAATTCAACCGGTCAGAATTTTCAAGCCAGCCATTTACTGGTAGCTATGAAACTGGAGTCCCTACTCCCGGGCCATTAGGGTCAACTCCGGCCTTTGGTGCCCAGCGCATCACACCGAAAGTGTTAAAGCAATATCTCGATCAATATGTCGTCGGTCAAGATCGCGCAAAGAAAGTTCTCAGTGTCGCCGTGTACAATCACTACCAGCGCGTGCAAGAGTTAGTGCGCCGGGAGGAAGAAGCAGCCGAGGCTCTCGCGAAGCGTCAGCGGAGGGAAGCACTCGAGATTCATCCCTTAGACGGTATACTACCTATTGATTTTTGGTGCTGTGGCTTATTTCCTAATTTACATTTCCATACAGCAGATAATATTACAGACGCGCGGAAAACTGCCAGTATACCTCAGACCCCCAAATCCCGCTCAAACACGCCCTTGGAGCAAGCAGATTTCGCCGATCCATCGCCGCTACACCTTGAAAAGTCCAATGTTCTGTTACTTGGTCCGTCTGGTGTAGGAAAGACACTTATGGCGAAGACTCTTGCTCGGGTTCTTTCTGTGCCTTTTAGTATTTCCGATTGCACTGTGTTCACCCAAGCCGGTTACATTGGGGAGGACGCGGAAGTGTGCGTTCACCGACTTTTGGCAGCCGCAGACTACAATGTGGAGCAGGCAGAGCGTGGAATTATTGTCCTCGACGAGGTGGACAAGATTGCAGCCGCGAAAGTTAGTCATGGCAAAGATGTCGGTGGCGAAGGAGTACAGCAGGCGCTTCTCAAGATCATTGAAGGCACAACCGTGCAGGTCCAGGCCAAGCCCGAGAAGAATCCCCGCGCAACTAGTGCCCCGAATAGCTTTCCCTCCAACAGTCCCCTAGGGAATGGGCCATTCCAACCCAATAACCCCAATCCAGGCGCTAAGGGAGAAGTGTATAATGTGCGCACGGACAACATCTTGTTCGTATTCTCAGGCGCCTTCGTTGGACTGCACAAAGCCATTATGGATCGAATATCTCGTGGGTCCATAGGCTTTGGTCAGCCAGTTCGGCCCGCCTCGAATACTAGTGGTTTCCCTGGCTCGCCAAATATCTCTACCAACCAGCCACTTCCAATCCTCCCAGGGTCTGAGGAAGAAGCGCTGTATAAGAAGCACCTCCCCTTCTTCTCCTCTGCCTCGCCAGCTGGTTCTGGTGCCGAGCCAACCTATTTCAACGCACTCGACCTGTTAACACCCTCAGATCTTCAAAGCTACGGCTTCATCCCTGAGCTGATCGGCAGGATTCCCGTCACCGCCGCTCTCTCTGCACTATCTCAACCCTTACTTATGCGCATCCTTACCGAACCCCGAAACTCCCTTCTAGCCCAATACACAACCCTATTCTCCCTCTCGGGTATCGAGCTGCGCTTCACCACACCGGCACTCCACAAAGTCGCCGACAATGCCTTCACAATGGGCACTGGCGCACGCGCGCTACGAACTGAGATGGAGACCATTCTCAGTGACGCGATGTTTGAAGCGCCCGGCTCGAGCGTGAAATTCGTCCTCGTGACCCAAGCTGTGGCCGAGCGCAAGGAACAGCCCATCTACCTTGCCCGTGGACAGGGCGGACGTCTCCATGCTATGATTTCCACTGAGGAAAGCCAATGGGAAGCAAAGATTCGAGAGGAAAAGAAAGACCAGGATCAAAAGACTAAGACCCAAGATGATACGGATGGCTCCAATGCGTCGAACTTTCAGGAGTTCCAGAATCGAGCCACTGGTTGAGTGTACATAAATGGTATGCATTCGTCTCATCCCCGGCGACTATTTTTATGTTTCCGGGTGTTCTTCATGTCCGAGTTGCATTGACGGCAATTAGCGTGCAGTTTAGCAAAGCCATATTTTCTGGAATTCCGAAGGTTCGTATGATAGGTCTCCCATTACTTATCAAGCCGTGATCACAACGTCAGCGGCGGATCCAAGCAGAGCAGAGTAGAATATTTTACCTTAAGGGACATCTTTGGCGTCGAACTCGAGCTGGAGCTGGTTCACCTTTTTCCTGTGGTGCCACTGTCCGATCCACATGCCCCGGCAGCATTCAGTTGGTACTATATAGAAACACCCTCCTCCATGATGGCTGTGACGTCCTTTTTGTAAGTATCGATGAGGAAAGGCAAGAATGCCCGCTATCCGCTACGATCATATGTCTCCGCGTAGTTGTACGGCGAATCACCATATCCCTCGTCAAACTCTACGTAGCTGGCGGCTGTGAGGTCATTGTGACTGTCATAAGAAGGCCCAATGTACTGATATTCGCCGTAGTAATTCCACGAAATGATCTCCACAAAGTCGGGTGTAAGGAATAGTACTTGCTGCCAGCGGTCATACCACAAGTCGTTTCTGTGCCATAGCCAATTTTTGTTGTAGCCGGGCATGTTTGTGAAGAACCATGGGGAGACGGGCATTTCCATTGAGGTAATGCTGGTACGAGGCATCGCCGTAGGTATCTATATCGGCGTCACCATATAGCCAGGCAGCCCAGCTAAGGAGACCATCAGCGTCTCCATTGACCTGTTCAATGGCCATTTTAGCCCCGAGTGAAGACCAGTCCGGCATAAAGAAACAGTTTGTCTGCTTCATGATATCCGCGCAGTCAGCAGCATTTACAGAGCCTTCAAAGGTTGAGCACAGAGGTTGGTCGTTATAGTTCCAGTAGGCCAGGGAGCTTCCTCTATATGAATTGAGAAAGCTGATCCCGTCGCTTTTGTCCCAGGGCCCATTTCTCCATAATCAAATGAGAAGAACAATCGGAACCCGACATTTTGAGCGGCCAGAAAAGCATTGCCTACAAAGCTCTCGGTGATGCTATCGCCACTGGCAATATTGAGGGCAAACGCATCGATATGTGCGTGGATAGCTTCAGTTATATGGTCTTCCCAGTCAGACTCAGAGACTCCATAACCGGCCGTGTTGGAAACCTAGGAAGTCAGCTCGACTACTCAATTGGATTAATGCTAAAAAGGAGGATGATACGCACCATAAAATGTCCAAAGACTGCTCTCGCCTGGACTTGACGAAGTACGATGCATGACGCAGTGATTAAAATGCCAAACAGCCGTATCTATAAATTAATGGACGAGATAGAAAAAGAGAGGCAAAAGATGAAGGGAAACTCTGTCAAAGACGAACAAGAAGAAACGAAATATGATCAATGAGAGACTGGAGGTGAATGCTCGGTAGGCATTTGGCTAGTCGCCGATGGGAGAACAGGTAGTCTTTAATGCCGTACCCGGATGAAGTGGAAATTACACTAGATAGATCACACTAACTATAACTACCTAACTAGGTAACTATGTCTTCGTTTGTGCCTTTTGGGGGCCAAGCTACTGCCCTAATGGTCACCTATAAATTATTTCCACGCACCACTTACATCGTGCTTGTTTCTGATTCACCCCTTTTGTTGCCGGTCTTTGTCAAAAGGTCGATTCTTGCAATTCCATCCTCTGGTTTGAAGAATAATTGCTTCAGATTCAAGTGGATTTCTTGCGCTCACCTGTCTGGCCAGCATGAGTCAAGCACAAAAAACGGATTATACGCGCTGGCGCATGCTAGACGAGGACGGAAAGCACACGTGGCATTACCTCGATGACGACGAGGCCGTTGCCAAATGGCCTCAGACACTAGCCGATAAGTATTACTTAGGGCTTCCGCTGGTATGTCCCTGCATGCAGAATGATCCGCTACCATTGCTTGTCCCAAACCTAATGGGATAAAAGGGTCTTCCAGAACTTCCTCCTGCCACTTCCCCATTAGAAAGTGTCTCCAACTGCTTGACCTTTTTCTCTAAACAGCAATTACCGCCGGGAAATTGGGGCTGCGAATATGGCGGACCGATGTTTCTGTTACCCGGGGTTGTGATCGCATGGATCGTGACCGATACACACATTCCTCCAGTATATGCAGCGGAGATTATAAACTACCTGATCTCTCACTCGAACCCTGTCGATGGAGGATGGGGTTTGAACATCAAGGGCGACAGTACCGTGTTCGGCACGTCCCTGAACTACACGGTGTTGCGACTTCTCGGTGTGGAGGCCGAGCACCCGGTTATGATTCAAGCGCGGCGTCTGCTACATCGTCTAGGGGGCGCCTTAAATGCACCGCACTGGTCGAAATTCTGGTTAGCTGTCCTAGGCGTGTGTGATTGGGAGATTGTCAATCCCATTCCCCCAGAGGCCTGGCTGCTGCCAGACTGGTTGCCATTGGCCCCATGGAGATGGTGGGTGCATATCCGACAAGTCTTCCTGCCAATGTCGTGGATCTGGTCGAAGCGATGGACGGCCCCGGAGACGGACGTTATCAGAGCCCTACGACGGGAGTTGTTTGTTCAGTCATGGGAAAGCATTGACTGGGCAGCACACCGTAATGACATTGCTATAACCGATAACTATCACCCCAAAACGTGGCTGCTCAACTCAATCAATCTATTCCTCGCGGATATCTGGACTCCATACCTACGACCGAACATACTGGCGAGACGTGCTGAGGACTGGGTCAGCAAGTTGGTAGATATGGAGGATGCTAACTCGGACTACGCCGATCTGGCATCTGTCAACGCACCTATGAATCTCCTTGTTTGTTATATTCGTGATGGACCTGATTCTTATTCTGTGCGTCGTCACCGAGAACGCATGGAAGAGTTCCTATGGGTGAATAAAGAGGGGATGTTCGTCAATGGTACAAATGGTGTACAGTGCTGGGATACAGCGTTTCTGATCCAAGCTGTGTCTGCAGCTGGGTTAGCAGAAGATGTAAAATGGAAGCCTATGCTGACTCGGGCACTCGAGTTTCTAGACCGACAACAGATTCGCGAGAATTGCAAAGACCAAGGGGTTTACTATCGTCATTTCCGAAAGGGAGCCTGGACATTCAGCAATCGTGACCAGGGATATGGGGTCAGCGATTGTATATCAGAGGCACTAAAGGCGGTCATTCTACTGCAAAAAGAGGCCGATGGATATCCCCAGCTACTCGAAGACCAACGGATCTTTGATGCTGTGGACACTTTGCTCACTTACCAGAATAGCTCAGGCGGCTGCGCTTCCTATGAGCCGACCAGGGGAAGCGAATATCTGGAGATGTTGAACACAGCAGAGGTCTTTGGACGCATTATGATTGAGTACGACTATCCAGAGTGCACAAGTGCAGTGTTGACTGCTTTGACATTGTTTTTAAAGTACTGGCCTGATTACCGGCGGACTGAGATTCAAGCATTCATCCAGCGAGGTGTGAACTATATCAAGAAGGCACAACGCCCTGATGGGAGCTGGTACGGAAGCTGGGGTGTGTGTTTCACATACGGGACTATGTTCGGTTTGGAGGGCTTGGGATCGGTCGGCGAAAATTACGCAAACAGTATTTCTGTTCGCAAAGGGTGCGAGTTCTTACTTTCCAAGCAACGGGAGGATGGTGGATGGTCAGAAAGTTTCCAGGTAAGCACTACGCACAGAATGACCAGCTCTTCCATGACCTGCTCAGAGAATAACAAGCAAATCCCGTGTAGAGCTGCGAACAGATGAAGTATATTGAGCATCCTACGGGGTCTCAAGTTGTTCAAACCGCATTCGCCATTATTGCACTTATGAGCGTCGACTATCCCAATTCTGAGCCAATTGCCCAAGGAATCCGCTTAATCATGTCGAGGCAACAGGCGAATGGGGAATGGCTGCAGGAAGGTATTGAAGGTATCTTCAACAAGAGCTGCGCTATCTCATACCCGAACTATAAGTTCATTTTTACGACTCTTGCTTTGGGCAAGTTTGCAAAGAAATACCCCAACTTCAAATAGCTTGATCAAGTTGTGCATATATGAGTCCCATGCACAGTAATAATTAATTACTCCCGGCTCAAGCCCAAGGCACGCACCCAGCTTTACCCAGCTTTCAATACTAGAGTTGTTACAAATCCAGTTCAGATACTTACGGGTCGAAAGAGGGTAAAATGGTAAAATAGTAAGATAGATGCAGCACTTTGATGACAATGATGGGTATCTGGTTATTGCTTTCTAGTGTCGAGGGCTGCTCGATGGTGTCTGTGGCCCCAGAAGGTGTTATATCCCGCAAGAATATAGGAATGCTTGAACCGCAAGAGCTGCTTGGAACCAGGTGTGAATTTCACCGTTCAGATCCAATACAAGCGAGTGGTTCGATCGTGGTTTGGTTGAGCACAGTACATTCCAGTGTCTCTGGATGCTTTTCCCCCACGTTATTTCCGGAGTTCACTTGTTAGACGAATATTCATGGCTAGCAGCACCGATCGAGAGTTTTTTTTATTTCATCCTGCCCACCCTTATTTATTCGTCTTGAACACAGGCTGTTGTTCCATTGTTTGTGAGATGAAGTTACGGAGAGCCGACCACCGACCGGCCGTCGGGTTCGACTCGGTACTGGCCTCGCCAGTGTTGGCAGCCGGGGCTGATGTGATGTTTGACATCTCGGTCAAGTTCTTGTTGAAGCGGTCTCGCTCCAACTTCTCAAGTTTTTCCCGGCGCTTCAGGGCACCTGGCTTGTGTCGCAGGGTCTTCTGCTTGATCACGTTCACTTGACTGGCGGCATCGGTGGATTCTTCAGCTTCGGGCAGGGCATCGGCCAAGGATTCGAGGTTAGCGACAAGCTTCTTTGATGCTCGTCGACGCTTGGGAGTGTTCTGAGAGTTTTTCTCAATCTTAGACACGAGGGCAGCATGCTTGATCTGACGTTTATCCCTCTTGCTTGTGCGAAATTCGTCACCAAAGACATTAGGTTTGGCTATCGCGCCTCTGCCCGAGACAGTTTTCGTTGATTTTCGAATCGGAGCCTATGAAGATAGAACGATAATTAACCGGCTGAAAGTGGAACAAGATATGTAATAGTGCAGCTTACCATGTTGGCATGTGAGATCTACAGCGAGGAACAACGAAAGACGAATTTGCGACGGGGAAAAGCGAAACCCCGACTCCAATTGTTCACCGCCTGGATCCACTCAACCCACTGTTTTTTCCAGAAACTCCAACGTTGTTTGGCTCTTCAGGTCAATTAGTCCATGTGTGTGTCAAAGGCAAAAAGGGAAATACTACATGAGCCCTAGAGTCCGCTTTGACTGACGTTATCAACGTTCTCGTGCGCAACGGCTTTCCGGTGACATCAGAATTGGTAGCCAGAAGGGAATTTGAAATCATTGGGTGGTCCCAACATCCCAACACGATAACTTGTATGGATATACGTCTCAATCTACGTCGGATCTACGTTCCTCACACCTCGACCGCATTTCGACCTCGGTCACTCACCCGGTCAGCCACCCGGTTCCAGACCCGATTCATAAATCCACACCGTTTGCCCCCGCCGATTTCTTCTTTACCTTTTAAACCCACCTTCTCCGGACCCCTTTCCCGCAGATCAATTGTTTCTTATTCTACACACACTATGGGTTCTACCGCTCCTTATCAGCGCAAGCACAAGATCACGGTGGTGGGCTCCGGTAACTGGTAAGAGATCAGTCCCCTAGAAGGGCGGTGGTTTGGTGCTAATTGTGTTACTCGATAGGGGCTGCGCCATCGCCAAGATCGTTGCCGAAAATGCGGCCAGCAACCCCGACCTCTTTGAGGAGAAGGTAGAGATGTGGGTATTTGAGGAGAATGTCGAGATTCCGCAGACTTCTAAGAACTACAATGCCTCAAACACTGGCCCCCAGAAATTGACTGAGGTGATTAACAATGTCCATGAGAATGTCAAGTACCTCCCAGGAACCCAATTGCCAGTCAACCTGCACGCGAATCCGTCCCTAGAGGATGCGGTAAAAGACAGCACACTTCTCATCTTCAACCTGCCTCATCAATTCATCATTAAGACCTGCGAACAAATCAAGGGCAAGATCCTCCCCTACGCCCGTGGCATTTCTTGCATTAAGGGTGTGGACGTCAACGGAACAGGTATCCACCTCTTCTCTGAGACCATTGGTAGAATCCTTGGCATCTATTGTGGTGCCCTGTCTGGCGCAAACATCGCCAATGAGGTCGCCCAAGAGAAATGGTCCGAGACCAGCGTCGCCTACGACCCCCCACACATGGACTCCCAGGTACCCACTCCCCAGCGGTCGCCTTCTTCCTCCACAACCAACCTGGTGGAGTTCCAGCACAAGGATACCTCGGGTCAAATCTCGGAGGTCAAGTTGCAGGCCCTACCGTCAGAATATCCTCCTGTCGACCATGCCGTGCTCAAGACCCTCTTCCACCGTCATTACTTCCACGTGCGTGTTGTCAGCGATGTTGCTGGTGTGTCCATCAGTGGCGCCCTTAAGAACATTGTTGCTCTGGCCGCTGGTTGGGTTGTCGGCATGGGATGGGGTGATAACGCCAAGGCTGCTATCATGCGCGTGGGCTTGATGGAGATGGTCAAGTTCGGAGACGCGTTCTTCAGCGCCACGATTGACACCCGCACCTTCACCGATGAGAGTGCCGGTGTGGCGGATTTGATCACCAGCTCCAGCAGTGGTCGTAACTTCCGGTGTGCCAAGTACAGCGTTGAGCGCAACCAGCCTATCGAGGAGATCGAGAGGACTGAGCTCAACGGCCAGAAGTTGCAGGGTACCCTGACTGCTGTGGAAGTCAACAGCTTCCTGAAGAACCAGGGCATGGAACATGAGTTCCCTCTATTCACTGCTGTTTTCCGTGAGATCCCCACCCCCCTCCCCCCGTGTGACCACTCGATCTAAGCTAACGTTTCACAGGTATTTTGGAGGGAACCATGAAGGTCGAGGAGATTCCTTCTTACATTGAGCGGTAAAAGAAAACCCATCTAATGTCTTTTTTGTTATGTTCGTGTTACTTATCAAAACGGTTGGTTCCCTCATAGCCCTTCTCAGGTCCCGATTTCTGCATCACAAAATTCCAATGGCGAGGATAATGGCGCTCGGTTCAGTGCTGCACGATTATAGTTAGGGCTGGGATTGGGCATTGGACATTGTATAGACTTTTCATGACCTGTATTTATGAACTGCATGCGGATTATATTCTAGACATTTTGATTTGAATCTAAGACTGTTCGATTCATGCATTCATGCATACACTTCGATGTACATCGACATAACTAACTAGGTAGGTGTGTTATAGCCCCTGCAGATGTGTTGGCAGCTCTGAATACCAAGGAAAATGGATGATGTCATTCCCCGCGCGGTCTGGGCCTTCTCCAGGAACACCTGAGGGGAACGCTGGGTCCTCTGTCCCCGACTTTTCCTTGTCTTTTCCTGCCCTGCTTTTCAATTCTTGTTTTTTTCTCCTTAAATATTCTCTCAAGTTGCACCTCTCTGCCCTCTTCACTATCGCAGTGGAAGTAGGGTGAATCGTTCCAGATTCTCCTGTATCCTGTACTCTCACGATCCGTTGGTTTAGATCCCGGTTTCATCCAATCGTTATCGACCTATCGCAATGGCCTCCCCACGTCAAGTCTATTTGCTTCCATTGAAGGATGATGGTTCTCCAGACGTACCTGGTGGCTACATTTACCTGGCCCCGCCGCCGAAATCTGGATATGTGCTTCGATTCATCATTGAAGGAACGAGCTCCATTTGCCGACAAGGCAGTCTCTGGGTGAATATCCCCGAGGAGGGAAAGCCCTTCGAACGTTACTCATTCCGGGAGTTCAGGTATATCTTCCCAGTTCACATACTGTGTCTAAATTGAAGGTGGCAGTTACTGAACAGAAGCAGATTGCAGCCAAACTTCAACGAGAACATTCAGATCGATGTCCCTGTGACATCCGCGGGAGCGTTTGCTTTTTACACAACATTTTCTCCGCTACCAGAGTTCTCAGTCGAGGAGGTTTCTGCTCCGAAGCCGACTCAGACGTCTGTTCACTACATTGATGTGTCACCTAAACTTACCCTCCAGGGGAAAGACTTGCCGCTCAATGCACTCTCTATTTTCTCGGTGATCTCAAAGTTTATGGGTGAATATCCTACAGACTGGGACAGACACCTTCGTGGAATTGGTCAGCGGAACTACAACATGGTTCATTTCACACCTCTCATGCAGCGTGGCGCATCCAACTCGCCCTACAGTATTTTTGATCAATTGACATTCGACAGCGACTCTTTCCCTAATGGGCAAGATGATGTTGCTTTATTAGTCGCGAAGATGGAGAAAGATTATGGTCTTCTCACATTGACTGATGTGGTCTGGAACCACACGGCTCATAATAGCAAGTGGCTGGAGCAGCATCCCGAATCTGGATACAGCGTGGAGACCGCGCCATGGCTGGAGGCAGCACTCGAGTTGGACTCAGCGCTTTTGAAATTCGGCGATAGCCTCCAGGACATCGGTCTTCCGACGGAGTTCAAAACGGAGGAAGATCTGGTGACCGTCATGAACGCGGCACGCAAGCAAGCCATTGATGGAACTCGTCTATGGGAATTTTATGTTCTCGACGTAAAGAGTAATGTTAAGAATATTTTGGATGAATGGATCAATGCAAAAATCGATCCTGCGCTCGTCGAACGGGATGAGATGCGGCAGTTCAAAAACTGGTCGCTCACACAACAAGCCAACGTTCTCCGTGAGATTGGAATCCCATCCGTCAAGCAGGTTCTCGGACGGTATGGCCGTGCTGTCGATCCAAAGTTTGGAGCAGTTGCTTTAAATGTCCTTTTTGGGGATTACGATGAGGGACACACCAACCTCGACGAGGTCGAAGCCTCTCTGTCCCAGCTCCTCGATGAGGCTAACTTGCCATTCTACAAGGAGTATGATGCGGACGTTGATGTTATTATGGACCAATTGTTCAACCGCATCAAGTATCTCAGAATTGAGGATCATGG